GTTCTCGCCATGGTGGACAACACACTCGCCAGCTGCGTCTGGTTCAAAGGCCGGGAAAATCTCCCAATTCTTACTCGCGACAGCAGCCTAGAAAGTTATTAGAACCGTTACAGTAACGTTACCGTAACGGTAGATAGGTACTTACCTGGTATGCCTTATATTCCTTGGATTCATACACAGTATCCATTTCTGCGTAGGAGGGTGGTGGGGTAGGAGGGTGGTGGTGGTGGTGGTGGTGGTGGTGGTGGTGGTGGTGGTGGTGGTGGTGGTAGTGGTGGTGGTGGTGGTGGTAGTGGTGGTGGTAGTAGTGGTAGTGGTAGTGGTAGTACTACTACCATGTCAGTGCTGAAATAGTATTGGAATGTTAGAAACTTACCTTTGTCGATATTTTACAGAACTTAGTGGATTTGAAAACGAGTGCAGTGTTTTATTTTCGAGTGCGTGCCAAGAACTGACGCGCGCGGGGTACCTCAGAACGAGTGCGCGTCAGGTGTACACGCCATACATTGTTCTTGGCGGCTCACAAGTGACATTATGATATACACAAGGTGAACTACCTTAGGTAATCCATTATCACGCGGTAACGGTCACGCGGACGGGAGTGCCCTCAACGCAGGCCTTGGCAAGATTTCGGCCCCACTTCAGCAACCTCGAAGTGCTTGTATTATACATAGTCCACTCAATAATTACTTGACCTCCTACTGCACTACGAGGTACCTCCTACTTTCACCAGAGACGCCGCTCCAGAATTGCCAACGGAGCGACACTCACAGTACACAGTACACAGTACACGGTACAGCGGTCTGCACCAACGAACGACACTGAATACCTACTCGCGAACGACATGCTACCATCATCGCATGATCCTCCCCGCGAACCAGCAATATGCTGAATAGCAGCCTCCTTCTCGACTTGCGTGCATCACTCCCGCGCGCTCTCGTACGACAGCACACCTCCCCCGCTGCCACCGCCGCCGCCGCCGCCGCCCGATCATAACCGTCAACATGTTTGAAAAGGATATCTACCAACTCATCCGCGGCTTGCGCGCCCACAAGGGCAACGAGCGGGAATATATTCACCTTTCTCTCCAGGAATGCCGCAAAGAAATCAAGAGTCAGGACATGGACCAGAAAGCCACCGCTCTGATGAAACTCGTCTACCTTGAGATGTTTGGCCATGATATGTCTTGGGCCTCGTTCAACGTGCTCGAAGTGATGAGCAGCGGAAAGTACCTGCAGAAGAGAGTAGGATATCTCGCTGCAGTGCAGTCGTTCAGACCTGATACCGAAGTGCTCATGTTGGCGGAGAACCTCCTGAAGAAGGATATACAGAGTTCGGATAAAGTGGTGATACAACTTCCTCTCAATGCTATCCCGCACGTCATCAATCCTGGTATGGCTAATTCTTTGCTGACCGACCTCCTACCTCGACTTTCGCACTCTTTACCTGCCATCAGGAAGAAGACGATTGTCACGCTGTATCGACTTGCTTTGGTCTATCCAGAGACACTACGGCCTGCTTGGCCGAAGATTAAGGAGAGACTGCTGGACGAGGATGAAGATCCGAGTGTCACCGCTGCAATTGTGAATGTGATTTGCGAATTGGGATGGAGACGACCTGCAGATTTCTTGCCCCTGGCTCCTCGACTGTTTGAGCTGTTGACCGCGGGAGGCAACAATTGGATGGCGATCAAGATCATCAAGCTGTTTTCGGTCCTGACTCCACTGGAGCCGAGACTGGTGAAGAAGCTATTGCCGCCACTCACAAGTATCATCAAGACCACCCCCGCGATGAGCTTATTATATGAGTGCATCAATGGCATTATCCAGGGCGGCATTATGGAGGCTGCAGAGGGCACGACGGAGGGAGACGAAATCGCGAGATTATGTGTGAATAAATTACGGGCAATGCTGGTGATTGAAGGTGATCCCAACTTGCGATATGTGGCTCTGTTAGCCTTTGTGAAGATCACGAGCAGTCATGCGGATCTGGTGAGCCAGCATCAGGATGTCATACTGGAGTGCATTGACGATGCGGACATTTCCATCCGAACGAGAGCACTGGACTTGGTAGTGGGAATGGTAAATGCTCACAATCTCTCCACTGTGGTGGAAAGACTGTTGAAGCAGCTGAAGACAGCCGGCAGAGCATCGGTCGTAGATGACCCCGAAAATGATCGGGAATTACACCACGAGATCGTGCCGATGGCGATGGAAGATGACGACGACTTGCAAGCGCCAGTGCGACCGAAACAGCCGAAGTCGACGCTGGCGCCACCACTCCCAGAAGACTACCGGACCTCTGTGATTGAGCGGATCCTCGAAATGTGCTCCCAAGGTAACTACGCCAGCATGAACGACTTCGATTGGTACATCGGAGTTCTCTTGGAACTGGTCAAGCAATGTCCTTCCACGTCGACTTCCAGAGTTGCCGACAGCATTGGAGCCGAGCTTCTCAACGTGGCAGTACGTGTCAAAGCAGTACGGCCTGAAGCTGCAGCTGCAGCAGAGTCTCTGCTCTTGATTGAGGAACGTGACAAACTATTTCCGGCCGGTACTAACAGCGGCCAAGGTGTTCTGACATCTGCAGCCTTCATCGCGGGCGAGTATGCCAGCATGCTACCGGATCCAGAGGCCGTCCTCACTTCGCTGCTGCACACTTCGAGTGCGCAACTGCCGGCAGAGCCTCTCGCAAGCTACCTGCAGGCCATAACGAAGATATTTGCTGCTCTCACCGGAGACCAACAAGTGTCATGGACTTCGACGAGAAAAAACACGACGACTCTGTGGACGTCCAGGATCATTCACTTTCTGGAGCCATTAACACTACATCCCAACCTCGAAGTGCAAGAGCGCGCGGTAGAGTACCTCGACCTGATGCGGTTGGCCTCCGAAGCAGCCTCCAATCAAGACACAGATGTCGACAACGGCTATTCCGAGCCGCCTTTGCTTTTGACGCAAGCCATTCCCGCTCTGTTCTCCGGCATGGATCTCAACCCCGTTGCTGCATCTGCTCTACGAAATGTGCCGAAGCCAGAGAGCCTGGATCTCGATCAATACATTAACAGCAACCTGGAATTCCTTCTTAACCAAGCAGAATATGATACAGACTATGAAGAGGCAAGTGACGAGGTTTACAGATACTATCACGAAAAGCCATCGGCAGTCACAACATCACTCAGCAACAACAGCTCGAGGCCCGCAGCAGATTTCTTGGAACCCGGAGCACCACAGCGAATGACTTCCTACCAAGACTCAGATGCCGAGGTGGATCGCGAGAGTCTGCTTCGCAAAAAAGCGGAACGTAGAGAACGATACAAGGACGACCCGTACTACATCGATTCGGAACGTGGCTCCGGGGCTTCTACGCCCATGCACAATATCCTTCGCAATGCCAATGGCGAAGATTTGAATGTGGATGACATCCCGGTGATGGAGCTCCAGCTTGACCCTCGCGACATCCAGCAACGACGTCGGCCTTCTCCACAGCCTGCAAGGAAACCACGAAAGCATTTCGAGGTCGCCGCAGATGAGACGCTTGGTGGTGGTGGTGACACACCTCCTTCGTTTTCGTCGAGTCCTGCCAAGACCTTTCTCGCTTCTCGAGCCATGAAGACATCGCTGTTGCAAGTCGATAGCAGCGGTCTGTCATCACTATCGCTTGACGACACCAGCTCTGCCAATCGGCACGATTTCGAGAGACGTCAAGCCGAGGAAGAAGAGATGCAGCGCGCTATCAAAGAGGTGGAGAGACTTCGGCTGGAATTGCAGAGAAAGCAGGAGAGGATCGAGGAGCCGGAAGAGGGCACTGTAGTCAGGAGAAAGAAGAAAAAGAAGGCGGTTGTTGCCTTGCACGATGACGAGCCTCGTGCTGCTGCTGCTGCTGCTGCTGGAGATGGAGATGAAGGTGTTGTGAAGACGAAGAAAAAGAAGAAGAAGAAAAAGAAAAAGGACAAGTCGCAGTCCGACGAAGAGGCTGAAGCGCATACATTGGAAAAGGATGTCAATGTCCAACAACAACAAGAAGAAGAAGAAGATGAAGAAGATGAAAAAGAGACGCCCATCGCTCGAGTCAAGCGCAAAAAAAAGAGGCAAGTCAAATTTGACGCCGATGACTAGAGGACAGACGTACGTACGTACGTAAGTAGGCTATATGAATCAAACAAATATATCATGTCTACTGATTTTCGGTGTCTTTGATCTCGCTTGTCACGTCTTCGCGGAAACATCGTAAGTAAGTATACATAAACCGCCCCCTCCTCCCTTTTTTTCTTCTTAGGTACTCTTACTCTTACCCTTACTATACACCAGCAACAAACACACCAATTACATTTTTACCGTACCCTACCGTACCGTACCGTACCATTCCATTATTCATCCCATTATTCGAGATATTCACTCTCACACCACCTTGGGCCGAGAAAAGATCGGCACCTGCTCAACATTATGATTCCAATGCAATCTCCCCTGCTCATCGACCTCTGCCTCGTCATCCGTCGTCGGAATACCCTCTTGGACATTGATTTCCATTTCCTGTTGGGAAATTCCATAGACATCTCTTGGGATCCATAGCTTTGGTGTCTGGGATGTGAATGCAGGAGCGAGATAGGCCTTTTCCATGTCTTGTTCACTCAAATGGTGCTGAAGCTCGTCATCGTCATCGTCATCATCTTCTTCTTCTTCTAGCCAAGAGCGGATCTGCTCGCGAGAAGTGGTGACGATGGAGTCGAACACGTCAGATAACCATCTGGGAGCGGGATGGGGTAGTTTGCTGAGACCGAGACGGTGTCCGTGAGTGGCAGCGTGTCTTGCTGCTTCGTCATTGGGATCTGTGCCTTCTTCTCTGGAAATGAGGGATTCTTGCGCATGCCATTTGTCGATTCCGAGGTAGAGTTCGAGCGGTTGCAGCATGCGGTCTAGGAGAAAGTTTGCTACTGCTGTGAGGACGAGGAGGATGATCATCAAGGTAGTTTGTGCGGCCGCTTTTCTGGCACCGAAGAGACCAATGAGACATAGTTCGGCGAGGTATATCCCCGTGGGCATCTGCTGGAGGGCTCGTTTGTAGGCTTCGCCTTTGGTGTCAATCTTGGTTTGGCGGACGTAGAGTAAGCTATAGCGGTAGCTGAGGTAGAACATGGAGACTCCGATTGCTGCGAAGCCGATGATGAGTGGTTGAATGCAGGCGTATGCGGTGGCGATGATGAGGAAGTTGGTGTACTTGGGGAACCACGCTGCCCATGGTGTGCCTCGCATCTGCGCATACGTCTGATACTTCTCCCGTGGTGTCTTGTTCCAGAAGTACTCGTAGAACAGGTACTCGAAGAGCTCGGAGTAATCCAGAAGGTTGCTTGCAGCACTTGTGGTGCCTTGCAGAATGAAGTAAGTGAGGTAAAAGTTTGATGCTTTGGGCAGGCTGGAGGCAAGCAAGTCTGTCGCCGAGCCCGGGTTCTTAGCGATCTTGGTTGCAACTGCTGCAGCGCCCGAGGAGAAAGTGGTGACCAAGAAGACCTGGAAGACCTGAAATACCATGAACCACGCTTGGGTCTTCAGCTCAGCTTGGGGAATAGTCGGTTCACCTGAGAGTTTGGCAATGTGCCTGAAGAGCTTGGGCACATATGACACGAACCAACTGACTACAGCAGGAGGCACAAACCCTACCAGAAGGCCGAGCACCCAGTCTGGCAGATCCTTGAGAAAGCTCAGGAACTTGACTCGGTCGGCAAGCTCGTTGACATTACTTAAGGTTCCGATCAGGCCCACGGGAATCGCAAAGAAGATGGTGAACCAGACCACAAAGATCAGAGCCAATGAGGCCTTGCTCAGTCGAGTGGCGACTGGGAGCTGTACGTTTTGCCAAAGCACTTCCTTGGGCTGCACCGCGAGGTAGCGGTCCTCTAGTGGAAGCTGCTTGTGGAAGGTGATTTCTTGGAAGGCTCGATGTGCGGCTTCTTGATTTGCAAATGATACAAACACAGCGCCTTCGCCCGGTATATTCCTACTGGGCGCAGCGCGAACAGCCTTGATACGCTCCTCCAGGTCGAGCAGCTTCTGACGCGCTGCCTCAATCCGATCCACCTTCTTCCCCACGACCATGGGCGTTCTTTGGGTGGGCCGATGTTTCGTCTGCGAGCGTCCGTGACCATTCTCCACTGATGGATCCGATAGTACTGCTACCCGTGGGCTGCTCTTTTGGCCTTTTGCATGCTTGACGATAAAGTCATACTCGGCGCTTTCGAGAGCATAGGCAGCATTGTTGCGTTGCTCGATCAAGTCAGGCAGGTCTCCAGTATCCTTCACCGGCCAAGAGTGCTCCGCCTGAGCACCAAAGTACTGCTTCAAATTGTCCGGCTGGAGCGCATCCTTGGGCACATTCACAAACAGCACCGTTTTTGCCGACAACCTCGAAGCATGCGTCTCATTGAGATAGCAGGCCTGTCGAATCCCAATGAGTCTCAACCTCTCCCACGCAATGGCCACGAAAATACCCAAGAACAACACCCACGCCACCACGGTATGCGCCCAGAGGTGCGAATTCTTCGCAATGTTGCTGAAACTGATGCGGTCCAGCTCACTCGCTCTCCCCCCTCCCGTCGCATTGACAGGAAACAGGATCGGCCATGTCAAACACGACCCAGCCACACAAACGACAATCACAAATTTGAGAAACCGCAAGAACAAATACGCGTCCAGCGAATTATGTTTCAGGACAAATCGATCCTGCAGACTCCGAAAATCATGAAACCAGGACACTCCCTCGGCAGCATGAGCATGAGCAGTACCAGTACCAGTAGCAGCAGGCGTGCGATCTTTCTCAGGTATCGTTCCCAAAAAGGTTCGTGGCGCATACGTCTTGCGAAAGTAGTTCCGAATCAGGAGAAAGACGGAGAGATACACGACGGCGATGATGAAGGTGGGGATGAAGGCTCCCAGAATGGCGTCCAAGGAAGTCGAGCCGTCTCTTCGGTTTTTGCCGTAGCCATTGTTGTCCGTAGTGGTAGTGGTGATGGTGGTGGTGGGGAGGAAGGGGATGAAGTCCATCGTGAGACTTGAGTGAAGTCGTGGCCGGGGCCGTCCCCTGGTCAAGATCTCGGTCCGGATGCTTGGCAGGTGCTATTCTTTAGAGAGACGTGGAAAGTGATGTTGGTGCAGAGCACATGGCCGCTGATGATGATGAGAGGAGTGACACACAACGTATACTTAGGTAGGTACGGTATGTGGATATATGAAAAGAGTCAGGTAGTCAAGTTAGAGGTAGCACATGTAGGCAGGAAGGAACAGAGATCGTCGCTGCCTTCCCAGCCATGAGTGACATCAGAATGACTTGGCGGGATAGAAATCCTGCTGCGTTACCTCAGATACCTCGAGGTGCTGCGGTATTGATAAACATTGGCTTGCGCGTACCACCCTCACCTCGTGTCGCCCCAACGTCGGAAAGAGTCCATCCACACGACTTGGTAATCTCTTGGTAATCTGATGTCGCCATGATGGGAACGGTATGATACGATATCCATAATCCAATATACACTACATGCGGAAACAAGTTGCCAATCTTCGAGACGCACATCTCTCATCGAGGGATGCCACCAATAACCATATCGTGCAACATCCATCGCTCGCCATTACATCTCCATGAGCTCAACGGCATCGGGCTCGCTGCAAACGTAAATCGTCTCGTGCTTGTCGGTGAAGCCGTTGAAGCGAGTGGCAGAGCACTTGGTGTACGCTCCCATATCCTCAAAGTACAACCAATCACCAGTGTCCACCAGATGCTTGGAGGACCACTTGGCAGCAATGCAATCAATTCCATCGCACGTGGGTCCCCAGACCGAGTAGGTGATCGGCTTGCGGTAGACCGTGGTGTCGTCTTCGCCCGACGCATAGCCCGAGTCCACCAGAGACTCTCCAGCAAACGAGTAATTGTAGCCATCGGCGCGAGTGCTGTTGCGTAGCACTTGTGGGACCGGGTGCTGGTGATCGAAGATGATACTGGAAAAGTTGCCGTACACGCCATCGTTCATGTACAGCATGTAGCTGGTGTCGCCGCCCAGAGCCTTGTCTTCGACCGTGCGACGAGCAATGACATTGCATGCGAGGGTGAAGGCGGTACTGGTGTAGTAGCGACCAGGCTCTGCAATGATGCGAACGTGAGGTGGAAAGAGTTCATCCACTGCAGTTGCAAGAACAGGTGCCATTTCGTCGAAAGTCTCCGGGACGAAGCCGCCGCCGCAATCGAGAGTGTGCATCTTGAAGCCGAGCGCCGCACCCTGGTCAAAGACCGACCGTGCATCGCTGACAGCCTGTCGGAATGCCAACGGGTCTGACGCTCCAGAACCAACGTGGAAGGCGACACCAACCACATTCAACTCCAGCTGCCTGGCCAGGGACAGCAGCTCTGGCACCACGTCCATGGCGGCGCCAAACTTCTGGCTCAATCGGCACAAGCTGGCCGAATCGTCGGTCGAGATACGCAGAAACAGCTCGGCAGCGGGTGAGATTTGTTTGATCTTGTACAACTCATCCGTGTTGTCAAATGTCATCTGCTTGACGCCAGTCTTGACCGTGTATTTGAGGTAGCTCTTGGTCTTGCAAGGCTGCGCGTAGATGATGCGGGATGGAGCTACTCCAATGGCGAGGACCTGCTCAATCTCGGCCTTGCTTGCACAATCAAATCCCGCTCCCATCTTGGCCAGAAGGCGCAAGACCGAGTTGTCGGGGTTGCACTTGACGGCATAGTGTGGTGTAACACGTGGCAAGCGCTTTTGCCAGCGGACGTGCTGGCGGTAGACCTCTCCCAGGTCGGCCACGAAGAAGGCGTCCTCTGCGCCCGCTTCGCAGTCGTCCGTATCGATGTTGTCAATGTGCTGCTGCAGCGCAGCTCCAATCATTCCTCTGGCATTCTTTGCGCCATACTGAGTATCGGCTCCGCTATCGTAGTCGGAGACGGGATGGGTATCGATATAGTCTGTCGTCTGTTTCAACGACAGGTAATCAATGTGGTTGGTAATGGTGTCGATGGCGCTAGGTGCCATTCCCTTGTCAAGGAAAGATAAGTGGATGGGTCGGTAGTGATGTGAAGTGTGTGCCTGGGTCTTCGCAAAGGTCGTTAGGGCGGCTTGAAAGGTGCGAAATCAAGGCGAACGGTTCCTAGGTGGCGCTTGCCAGACTCTTCCCCCGGATGGGAAAGAGCTTTGATATGACTCTTATGCGGCAGCTGGGTGTTGTCTTCGGCGGCGGGAGGTTGTTGTTGCAACAACTCAAGGAAGAAAGCAGGGAGATCCGTGGTGCGGTCAGGCGGTGGTGGAGAGTGGTGGTGGTGGAGGTGGCTTCGAGTTGGTGATGTGGCGATGTGCTCGTGCGAGAAAATGGTCCGAGACTGTGGTCGAAGCCGTGGTCGGCAAGGTGCCTTTGTAAGACCAAAGGCGAGTCACTGGTGGTGTCGAGCCAGAGTTCCGGCTTGCTGAGTCGGCGAGGACGTGTTAGAAGGTGTTCAAGTGAGCGAGTGAGGGGGGAGTGGTAGTGGTGGTGGTAGTGAAGGTGGTGCAGGTGGGAAGGCGAAGAGGAAACAAGTCGGGTCGGTAGGAGGTAGGAGGGTAAGGTAGTCGCAACAGTAGTGCAGTGTGCAGTGTGTGCGATTATTTTCAGCAGGAAGACTCGGCAGCGGCGAGAGCGGAAGGTTCCATTCACGTTGGTAACCAATGACCAACAACCAACGAAACAACGCCGGCGACCATCCACACATTCGGGAATTTACATACCACTGTCCTTTCTTCTCTCTTAGAACAAGGGGAAGAGTGTATGTATGTAGGTAGAGGTAGAGTAGGTGGTGTAGAGGAAGTCAGTAGTAGTAGGAGGAGGTAGGAGTAGTAGAAGAGCGAAGTGCAGATGGTAGTAGTAGGCAGAAAAAGAGAAAACAGAGAGAGAAGAGGGGATCAGTATTTTGTGTGTGTGCGTACGTGCGTGCCTTACCAGCTCAATATGGTGGTGGGAACGCGAGTGCGAGTGCGGGAAAGCGAAAGGAAAAAAAAAAGCTCGTGGCGCAGAAATGATGATGGTCGTCGATCGCGGTGGCAGCCTCGGAGAAGGGGCCATGTCATCGCTTGTCTGGAGACTTGAGACTGAGACTGCCCGGGGGGTGTAGTGTGTGCGGTGTGCGGTGTGCCACATTCAATGCGCGACTTTTGCGCAAGATTACCTCCTCAGCCTCCTCTCTCCTAATAATTTCTCTCTCCTAACAAATTCTCTCCTAACAAATTCTATGCTTCACACTCACACTCACAGTCTCCCCAGTCACGTCACTCTCACCGCTTCACCGGCAACTTCTCCTGCCTGCCTGCCTGCCTGCCTGCCTACCTCGTATAATGGGGGCATGCCCTGTCCTCTACCTCCTACTGTACCTTACCACAATACCCAACTTCAATAACGGACACCTAAAAGACTCATGCGTCTTTTATTTATATCGTCGTAGTCTGCGTCACCTTGTTTGTTCTGTGATATCATACCTGCCGTACCTTACCTTTACCTTCTACTCCTACAATGTAGGTACACCTCATCCATCATCAAGGTACCGTCAACCGGGCAGCACTGCGGTTGTTTGAGTCATTTATAGGTAAACAAGGCAGTCAGAGTATTTGGGCAGGAACATTGGGCGCAATCGAGTAGAATCCCATGTTTCGTCGCAAGACACCTGATGCTGTTTTGTGTACAATACGAAACTTCTCTACCGTACTTCCTAGGTACTGCGCAACGACATCTATTATTTCCCACGTCATGCATGTACTGTACACTTTACTCGGGTCCACTTCTCGGTCGTTATGTGGTGTCATTATTATGTATGCATTGAGGACATTATTTTCCCCCTGTACATGCTCCTTTCCCCCAATGCCCTGCTGATGCTTTTTTGGTGAGAGAGAGACAAAATCAAAGACTCAAATAGTCTACTACAACGCGGCCATGATCGCACCGACGATAAGGAGTCCGACTGCTGGTGCGTTTGCAATCGCTGAACCAGTGTAAGAAGCTGGCATGCTGGGGCCGGCTGATGGTGAGTATGAGCCTGGCATGGTACCGTTGCTGACAGCTGGTGAGCCTGCACTCACGCCGGTGCCCATTGGTGCGGGATAACCTGCGCCCCCCATGCCGGTGCCCATGGGTGCTCCGCTGCCTGCTGGCTGACTGGCAATTGGGCCCACGTTCTGGTTGTTGTCGCTTGGCGTATCCGTGTCTGGGGTAGCCGTAGCAATGGCGCCAGCGCCGCCAGAAACGCTCATTGGACGAGCAGATGGTGTGCCAGTAGGAGCCAGGAGCATCGAGCCAGAGGCAGTGACAGAGGCAGCGGATGTGGAGCCAGACGAAGCCATAGAGGTGGCGCTCATGGCTGCGCTCGACGAACTGCTGCCGGAGGCTGAGCAAGAGAGATCGTAGAGAGGTTCGCCGCGGTCGGCAGGGATCACAGCGAACGAGACGTCCTGAGGAGCACCATCATTCAACTGGTACCACCAAGTGTTCACGCTGCCCAGAAGGCGGCATGCGACACCCTTCCAGTACAGCTCAGCATTCGCAGTTCCAGACGTGGCCTGGCCAGATTGGCCTCCGGTCACAGGCCAGCCAGTCTCGGTTACCCAGACGGGCTTTCCCATAGCAGCGCCGACAGTGGCATCGTAGGCGTTAAAGAAGAGATCGGGAGAGTTCTCAATGCTGTTGGGGTTCGTAGTCTCGAAGTAAGGGTACGCATCAACGCCGACCCAGTCAAGAGCCTCAATGAGAGCGTTGTTGGAGCTGTTGACATAGGCAGTCCAGGTGTCTGCAGAGAAGTCACCAGTTAGCGAATGCTGTGCATGCGAGATTCCCCACGGTGGACTTACCGACGTGTCCAATCTGCTTATCAGCCCAAACAGTGCCGCTCAGAACATCGCGCACCTGCGAGATGTAGCTGACGAGCTGCTCTGGTCCAGCACCTGGACCACTTTCGTTCTCGATACCAGTTGGCGAGATGCGGTACAGGTCCTCAGAACCTACCGAAATACCAATGATGGAGTCGGAGAGCTGCTCGCCATATTGCGAGATGGCAGTCCTCAAAGCTGCGAGCTCTTGGTTGAAAGCCTCCTGGCCTGCACTGCACCAGATACCGAGCAGCAGAGATGTGTTGGTCGAGATGGCGGCTGGAAGGGCAGAAATGACCGTGTTTGTAGAGTAGCCTTGCACCATGGTAAAGAGACGTGCGGATGTGAAGCCGCCTACACCGGGAAGCTCCTGTGCAGCCCTGAAGTCGGCCTCGAAATCGGCCTGCTGACGAGCGACGGAGTTGGCGTAGAGGGCGCCATAGTTGAAGCCGCGGACCTGAGCAGAAGCAGCACCGGCGAGGGCGAGAAGCGAGAGTGATGATGATAGCATTTCGAGATGTTCAAACGAGAGAATACCAGAGATGGTAAGATGGTACTAGGTGGTAGTCGCAAGCAAATTCAAAGAAAAGGGAAAGGCAGGCAGAACAACGGATCAGAGGTACCTTCTTCTATAGATACCTACCTAGGTACACTTCACCTTCGTGGTTGCCCAACAAAGGATGACGAGGAACCAAGTATTGGCAGGGGCGATCCGCTTGGTATGCTACCAGAAGAGTAGCAGTTCCCGCAGCTAGGAGGCACTTTCCATGCTACCAAACTCCTCTTGTGCATTAACCTTCCCATCGTCGAGACCGATCGGCGACCGTAAACAACGTGGCCAGGTGGTGTGACGGGCCCGAAGCAGCTTAACTCGGCAACAGTGCGTGGCAACTTCTGCGCGCCCATTGGCTAGCCGAGCCCCTTCTGCATGAGAATTGAGACCAGACCTCTCACAGCTCTCACAAAGAGAGCAAAGAGTGTCAAAGCAGGTACCAGAAATAGCCGGACCACACAGGACGCCTCCAGATTTACAACTCATGCACACTGCGAAAAGGCCGGACTACGGCTAAGCGCCGCCGCCATGAAACGACGCGAACTTGGCGGGAAAAAAGGCTGTGTGCAGCAGTGTTGAGCGGTATTTGGAGGTACAGTATTGTCTTGAAGAAATGGGTAAGACGGGAGAAAAGGAGGTGTCCATTGGGCATATTGTCACTACAATGTGTTAGTCAGGTACTGTGTAGAGAACGTGTGTGTGTGTCGGAGATTGGAAAGGAAAAAAATGATGCTGACGTTGAGGAGGAAGTGGCGACTGGCGACTCCCGCTTCTTCCTGGTAATTTCTCTCTTGGCGATTCATCATCCGATTTGAGTGTACCTCGCTGGAAGATGAATAATCAAAACATTGGTGAATTACCTCTACCTCTTGTTTCACTTTCACACTTGAGTCGAGCAGACAGGCGACTTTCTTCATACCTTCTACAAAGCAATAGGTAGAAGAAAACGACATAAGCCATATCTACAGCTACCTCCACCTAACAGTACCTGACCCAGAAGATAGACTACAAACTTGCGGTACATACCTGTATACGGTACAACTGAGTACCGCAGCGGGCGCTATATATCGGAGCGTTGACACTGAATACGAGTCGCAATCTCAATGAAAAATAAAATAATAAATCATCATCATCATCATCATCAATAAAGAAAACACACACAGACATTCAATAGATAAGATCGACAGTGGCAGTGCAACGAAACGAGGCGAGGCGATCTCTATTTACCTAGAATACTCTTTATTAGGTAAGATACTTATCCTTGCTGTGTGAATTGCTCCTGCATGTAGCACCTCTCACAATCACAATCACAATACCTACCTTATAGTGTCTCCCTCTCCGAAGCAAGAGATGAGTTGAAAAAAACAATTGTTGCATTGTACCATAAGGTAAGGTAAGGTAGGTACTAATACCGCAATAAATGAAAAAGATTACGAGAGTACCTTACGTCCCTGATCATCATGTCGCGCTTCAGCGTAAAACAATAAACTCATCAAAACATCCGGACGCTGTCGTGTGCTGTTGTTCCTCCTGGATAGACAAATTCGTCCATTGAGGTAGACAGTCATTCATTACCTTACTCATACGTGAAGAACATTCAAGGTTCACCAGCTTCGCTACATGAACAGCACAATCTCTCCACGAGAATTGCGTCGCAGACGCAAAGATTTCCACAGCTCTTTGTCTTCTTCCTCCTTCTCGTCACTGCGTAATAAATCGCGCTCTCGATGATATCGCTTCAGCACCTTGTTCATGGACAAGCCGTGCTGGCTTTCTGGACCTTTGTTGACAAACGATAAGAACATTTCCGCTCGGTCGCTATACGACATGACAGCATTGTTCGCAACGGGTTGAACGGAACTGGGCCGATCGAGATACTCGATCGCTTTGCTTCTTCGGCTGCTGGCATGGGAGCGGTCCAACGAGGACATGGAGTCGTCGCGCTGGCTTCGGCGGTGCTTCTCGTGTCTGTCGGAGCGTTCGTGCTTCTCTTGCCGCCTCGTGTATTCTGGACTCCTCGATCGTTGGTTTCTCTCCTCTTTACCAGAGGGCTCCTTTGTGCTCGCATATGAGACATGTGAGGATTTCCGACGTTCGTCCTTGGTGCTCTTGCGATCGTCGCGCTCTTTCTCGCGTTTGCTTCGCTTGATGGGGCTGATGGGGGTGGGTCCTGCGTCGATGCGATCGTCCTCATAGTACACTGGGTCCGTGACGAGACGCTGTAGACCACCCGTCAAGCCCGAGTGAAGGGTCCGACCTCCGGTAGAGGGAGGCGCATCAAGCATGCTGTGATCGCCTCGAGACACCGGTCTCTTCGCACTTGACAGATCCAATTCCTCCACGTTGCGCTTCCGCTTCTTGTCGCTCTTTTCCACTGTGCCTCGGTCCTTCTTCTGCTTCCTGTGCTCCTTGTTCGCAGGCGTCGTGAAAAATTGCTGGGACTCGGTAAGGTTGTTGTAAGAATCGTAGCGCTCCATCGTGGCGGGGAGAGGCGCATTGCCGTAAGAGAAGCCATATTTCAGGTATTGCGAGCCATCTCCATTCGAGTATTGCGAATATTGCGAGTATTGTGAGTCGCCGCCATTGCCGTACGGGGTGGTCTGTTCTAGCATCTTCCGCTCGTCTGGTGCGCCTAGATGGGCGGCTCTGGGCGTCGCATCGCTGACCAAGAAGTCAAACACGTTGATTCCCTCGAGTTCAGCGGCAGACTCAGGAGCAGGTGGGGGAGTCGGCGCTCGGGGAGGCACATCGATCACAGCTACGGCATTCGACTCGTCCCCCTCCTGCGCATCTTCCACGTATGCGCTTCTGGGTATCATGGCCTGGCTGTTTCCGTTCACGGATTTGCGCTTCTCACCCTTGTTGCTCTTATTGCCCTTGTTGTTGTCCTTGTCTCGGTAGAGATTTCCCTGGTACTTTTGCGCCTCGCTCACACAGGACGTATGGCTTTGGAAAGCGCCGTCTGCGAATGTTGTCATGCAATCCTTGGGTCGTTTAGCGAATGGGTATTGCAGGTCGTACTCGACAGTCTTACCAGGCAAGTAACGGGAGCCCAGCATCGATTGTAGTGCGTCGAGAGCTTTTTCTTCGTCAGGACGTCGCCGCAGCCCTACACCCGCACAAGATTAGTTTCCGGACCAAGTAATTGTATTCATGAGTGGTTTTATAGACTTGCTTCGCAGCTAAACGAGACCATGGTGGACGCGAGCGGTTGGGAAGAGCCGAGGGCGGTTATAAGAGTGGACGCGGTTAAGCAAATAATGCCAGTCAGGAGATGTCGTTCACGCGTTGGTTGGTGTCGTGTCTTTGGTTGGTTTCAATTTTGAAAAACGCGGGATGAGGGTCCAGGGCAGGGGTTCCGTTCACACTTTGACGTTTCTAGGGCGACGATTTTTGTACAACTCCCGTCGAGGTCCTTGCATCTGTGATTGAGACATCAGATAATACTACATAATAAACCTCTTCTTTATACTGAACGTCTACTGTCGCCACCGTGTATACCGCTCCTTTGCCATTATTGGTTCTGCCAATCTAGCTCCAGGCATCAACGACTGTGGCATCCTTCAGCAGGCAGCAAGGCCTCCACATCTGGCACCGATGACATACCGAGGGGCACAGTTAGTACGGCACAGGCAGAGATGAGAGTGAGACCAAGGGTCTGCCGACACCATCCAAACCATTTGCTGTGAGGACTTGGAGCAGAATAGACTTATGCACAACATGCATCCGACATCATTTTGGCGGTTAACAGACTAATGGAGTGAGCGCGTGCGGCTATTCTCTCAGACACTTGTGCGGTCGCTCATGTCACAAAGGCATTTCTGGACTGCTCCAAGAATGCGAGTGACCACGCCCGCACGTGGATCTGGAGTTCTGGACTAGACACGTGCTGCTCGCGCGAAGTATATACACAAACCTCCTTTCCCCATATAGTACTGCAGTCGCTAGTGTGGGTGAGGGTGGCCTGTAGTCGGTAGGGAGACATGCGTCCATACAGGTACCTTGGTGGTGAAGAAAGGCTACCTCCTATTGACATGAAGCAGACATGAAACTTAGGTACCTGACCTTGCATACCATGTCAGGAGTTGTCCCTCCTTGTCTCTCATGGTGAAGTACATGTACATGCACCCATCATACGCGCAAAGGCTGAGAAATAAATGTCACGCAATGGCGAGAGAAGCGCCTCAGTGGCTGTCCGCCATACTATACACCACAGCGAACGGGTGGTGGTACACATACACCATCGCTTTGGTACCTACAGTATATTACCTGTCAAGGAGCTGTCAGATGTTACAGAAGAACATGGCTACCAGGTACTCCAACTTGACAGCGTCTAATGTACATTCTCCCTGGGCGCTATAGTGTCTGTGGCGAGGGTATCTGGTCATCTCTTTCAGCTGGGACGAGGTCCTTTCTTTTAATGCACATGTACATTGAAGGACTGGCACGACATGCCTGTCGAATAGAATACCTTTGGACTGTTGCTACTGACACTACTGTATGTATCAGCAGTAGATGGACATGGGCCGTACTACCTCTGTACTTTGTTGGTTCCCAGAGAGGTCCTCCATCGCCTACAATCGGGACAGTAAGGTAGGTAGTTTCGAAACACATCTGGAGCACTCGGCCACTAACATCTAACCTCGTATAGCGGGTAACACTCGACCACATTCCTAGAAAAAACTAAGACCAGAGGGTTCTCAACAAGACGTACCTGTCACCTCTCCCGAATTAGCTAAATTATCTTATTAACGAAATTAACACTCTAGAAAGAAAGAGAGAGAGAGAGAGAGAGAGAGAGAGAGAGAGAGAGTAAGCAAGGATTCCAGCAGCATATAGGAGCTATAACTTGACGCTTTCAAACGACTCCTACCTCCTTCTTCCTAAGAAGTCTCACGATTGACTGGAAAACTTACCTTACGTGAATGACGACAACGACGACGAAGATCAGCTTTTGCGCCGCTTAATACTTATATACCTATAACAAAAACACCAATCAACTTCGCGCGCGCCAAAAAAAAGTAAGTACATTCTGAACAGTAGAGAGTAAAAACACTGTATTAGAAAATTGACAAAGGTACGCTATATATCCGAGGAAGCAAGCAAATAGGGCTTCTTATCTGATTACTATTAGGTATGTATGTATGTATAGGTACCGTACCTTCGGAGGTTGCTGGTAGTGGTACTGTAGTATGGAGACCTAGTATAGGTAGGTATGCAGGAACATGGAAGTCCTCTGATGATGATTTGCCTAAGTAGGAGGTACAAATAAGCAGAGTATATACATATGAATTCGAAATATGGAGATTGTCGTCTATACCTCCTGCTTCGTAGCGCTATCTACCTCCTATATACTAGGTACCTTACTCTTAGGCCCGCGAGTTGGTAGTAGGCAGGTATAGAGATTCTACTTGACAGGTAGAGGACATGAGTCAGTACCTACTTACATGTACATGTGTACAGGTTGCAGGCAAGGGGTTTGCAAAAGAAGTGACATTACGCTGTTTTTCATACTACTTACTCCATCTTATTACAGAATACAGTAATTTTTAGTGTTCTGAATTCCCTAGAGCCTACTCCCTCTCTACTGTATTTCCTAGTAAATATCGGCTTGGTTGTATAGAAAAAACGCGTCTAGATAGTAGATTGAACAGTATGTGAATATGCTAAGAATACTAGCGTAATGTCACTACTTTTGCGAACCCCTTGCAGGTACTCTCGATACCCTTAGCGCTCAAGTTTGACAGGTACAGGTATATTTAGGTATGTACCCATCTACCTACCTCCTACCTACCTGTAATTCACCAGTTGACCAGTCCTGGGGACAATGATGAGAGAACTCCTCCCTCGCCCCCCTCTCCCAAAAAGATCATAATCAAAAGTCGTCGATTCGCCCCAAAAAAAATCACCCCCCTCCCCAATCCATACTCCTTTTTGGTTCTCTGTCTATCTGGCTGAATGAGCTTTATTTAGAAGAAGGAAATGGAAATCGCTGATAAACTGTCAAAAAAAAAGAAAAAAAAAGGAAAGGGAATTCATGTCCCATACACCCATCCTCATCTCACTCATTCATCTATTCATTTCAAACAAGTGGTACAAACCCATCAAATCATCCAACCCCACAACCATCGAATCCCATACGCGCAAACCCCCACCGCAACAGCCATCCACACTGCAATCGCCACAGCAACCCTCCCTTTCATCTCCAAGACATCTGAGATTTGCATCTTGGCGATTCCGCGCCTTCTCCAGGAGAGGCGTGGATGCCAGGTTGTTTCGGGAGATTCTTGATAGGGTTCTGGACCGGAGAGGAGCCATCTGCCGGATTGGGATTGGGCGGTTGTGGGGTTTTGTTGTTGTTGTTGTTGTTGGACTTGGAGTTGTTGTTGGTAGCGCCATTGTCGTTGTTGGCGCTCGATGAGGAAGAGGGAGAGGATGAAGCTGATGACGCTGATTGGGGTGAAGAAGAGCTGCGGTGGGTAGTTAGTTTACTGTACTGTACCCCACATGGAAGGAGAGGTCAGGCAAGGTAGGTAGTACTTACATGTACTAAAAGCGAGTGTGGTGGTTGATTGTCGCTTTTCGGAGATGGCGTTGATGCTGCTCCTGCTGCTGCTTGCTTGAGCACGTCGTCTGGCAAGTCCAGAAATGGATCCGGTTGTTTCTTGTTCCTGCTTTGACGGCGTCCACTGTGCGACTTGACATGCTGCTTTGGGTCTCCCGTTGGAGTGGTAGGAGTGGTAGTGGTGGCCGTCGTGGTCGTGGTCGTGGTCGTCGTGGTATTCCCAGGTGCCGACATGATGATGATAATGATGATGATATTGATAATGATATTGATGATGGTGGTAGTGATGATCCACTTCTTCCCGGATATCGAATTAAGGTATTGTTCACCCCAATTCCCAGCTCCCAGCTCCCAGTCCAGTGAATTGTCGTGACTCGTCCGTGGGTCCTGCGAGCTGTCGTGTTACCAGCTAGAGACCCAGACGGCAGGTCGCATGAATTTGTGTTTCTTTTTGATCTACACGCACTCTATTCTTGTATATTACAGCTTCCGTCATCAAGCAAGACTCCTCGCAAGGCAGATATATTTTGGATGCTGCGGAATGCGGCGGATCCTGGTTCGAGAGGAGGACCCTCGTTCCCGTCCTCGCATTTCGCCCGCGCCCGCGCCTCACCGTCCCGTGCTTAGTCGTTCCGTTCTGGGTATTGGTGCTGTGCTGTGCTCGCTTTCCGACTCTGTTATACGACCATCACTACACATGTATCTACTGCATGTATCTACTACATATATCTACCGCCGAGGAGACCAACAACACAGCCCTGGGTGAATATCGGTGGTACTACCTGATATATACTGTAGAACGATTGGAATCTTCCACCCGACTGCGTGGCTTTGCACCTTTTCCGACATGCTGGACACTGGGTTGAAGCATCCGACGATCCGACGTGTTGTGCATGAGCATGACGAAACGCACTTGCCAAGTCTGGCGCGTTCCTTCCCGTCGCTAGTTGTTCTATTCTTCTACTCCCCTCCCACAGCTCCCACCACTCCCACCTACCACCGACAAGGTACACTCCTCCCACCACTCCCACCTCCACTTCCCAAGCGAGCCCGACAAGCAGAGTGACACTTTGGAAATAAATACCACCCCACCCCACCACTACCGGCCATGCCTGTGGTGTCTTGCCCAACTCTGCCGTGTGCATGAACGGGCGTCGTTGCATCCAGCGGTCCACGGGTACCGACGACAGCATGCTCCCTCACCTGGACGACAGCCGCCTCGCCGTTTCCTGCACGCCTGCGACACTTCATCACTTCACCCGGCCGCTCGCTGCTCTCGTGAGCGTGCGACTGCATCGAAGATCATGCTTCTGGAAGGCCCGTTTTGGGAATTCCGGGAGCCCGCCTCGTCTATCATGTCCGCTTCGGCCCTCTTGTACTTCACTGGGCCATGCAGCTCAGCAAGGGCCGTTCGAAATAGGCCGTGGAGCCAATGAGAGAGTATAGGCAGTCCAGCCTCGAAAAAAGTGGCCACGCAGAAGTGGCCATGTCGACAATCGACTCGTGGGACTTGGACACGCTGGCGGCTGAGGCGTTACCGGTAGGTCAACCCTTGGGCCGTTCGCAGGCTCGCAGCGGGGAGAGTCTTCCCAACAGGGCAATAACAGATCTTTCCTGTTTGAGCGTGCTGGACGGCCCACAGACCACGCGCTACAGTGTCTGCATCGTGTTAGCGCCTCAGGCCAATGAACATGCAGGGCGGGCTGATTGCACTTTCGCGCTCACGCCTACTTTCTTCTCTCTCTCCCGCCCATTGAAGAGCCACTGCGCCCATTGCCGGACGGCCTGGTGCGACTGTCCGAGAATGGACACTATGTGAGAACATGTTGCCTCATGGGCGTGCACCGGCACCAGCTGGTCGCCACCATATCCCCAATAGATGTCGCGGCCACGAATGTATTGGAGCCATGTGCCCCTGCCAGCTTCGAACATGATGCCGGACGCCGTGAATTGACTGATATAGATGGGAGTATATCTTCTACCAATGTCGTGATTTTGACTTCACACAGCAACTCTCTTCCAAGCCATTTGCGCCCCGCGCGAACATTTCAGCAACAGAAGCAGTCATGGTCAGCAGCCATCGTCCCGCCGAGCTCTCCAGAGGTCAATCTGCGGCAAGTGGACCTCCCTCTCCGGCTTCTACCCGCTCCGACAGTATGTTCTTGCTCTGTATCATACACCTCACGTGCACAAAAGCACTGCACGTAGCCAGACTCTGACCATTCTCAAGGCAACACGCGCATCTCTGCCACGCCGGATAACATTGACTTTCGCTTTCTCAACTTCTCACATCCTCAAGATGCAAAAAACGCGCAGACGAGGAGAAATGTTCGCAGTCATGTTACCACGAAGCAGCACGAAAAGCAACGACAGCGAGTCGCAGAACAAGCACGACAGACACAGCAATGCTCCGACCAGCCATCACAGACGCCAAGTACCTCCGTCAGTCGAAACCACTCGGGGGAGTCGTCCACTCGTTCGTGCTCAGAGACAGAGACGAGTAGTCCCGAGGCCTCTTCACCATCATCACCAACAGCATCCAGCCCGTTATCGATGCTCAATCCCTTGGAGGTGTATCCGGAGGCATGGCACTCTTCTCTGCGCCCCGTCATGGTATGTGCGAATGTGCAGCACGATGTTGCCACGAATCACATGCTAACATTTCACCTAGGATCACTACTGTAAATATATGGCAGTTGACCTGCCAGGAACCGACGAGGCCACGAGACAAACCATTCGAATCCATCTTCTCGGTCTGGCCTTCACCGACCACGCAACACTTCACGCATTAATGCTCGTTGCAGCAGCACACTATTCCAAATTGCGAGGACAAGGTTCGCACAATATCAACATGCTACAACTCCGCGGCATGGCCATTCAAGAAGTGAACCGAGCGATGATGGACCACGGTCCTCGAGGTCGAGCGACCAGCGATCGAATGATTGCGGCTGTTGCCAAAATGGCTACCTTTGAGCTACTTTTCGGCCAACGAGAAATCTTCCACACGCATATGACAGGACTACAACGCATGGTCAGTCTACGAGGAGGCCTACAAGCTCTCGGTCTGAATGGAATGCTCGAGCGCATGCTTCTCTGGATCGACACGAACGCTGCAGAAATCACTGGTAGCGGGCTCTACTTTCCTCCTGCAGCGTTTAAATCTTCATCAGGACATCCTCGCGCAGACCGTAGGCTTTTCCTCCTGGGTCTACATGACCAAGCACAAGGATGATACTGTCAAAAAGGGTTGGGAGGCTTCGTCATCATGTTACTGGTTCACAGTCGAGCATTCCGAGCAATTTGATCTTTCCCGCGCAATCCCGAGCCACCATTAGTAATACTAATCACGGTCTATCCTCACCGGCACGGGCAGCCAGCTGATCTATTACCTGCTGTCACACCATTCTGAACGACAAAAAGCGTGGATACTTGCCAGCAAACGATACGGGGGACTCTGGTAGCCACTTGATCTGCAGCATAGCGGCAGTCCTAATGATGATTTCGAAACTCATTCCCAGCATGAGAAAATCTGCTGGCTAGCAAAAGAGGTGGTTGTTGAGAAGAGGAATTTTCCATGCGCTTTTAGACCCGACCGCCTACCTCCGACAGCAGCCAGCTCCCGGTACCGACCAAGGTGTTGGCCAAATGGCGGCATTGGAGTTCCACTGCTGGTGCGGACGCGCGATTAGACCCCACGGACAGCAAGAGTAATGAAAGTGAAGATCAATCCTAGGCAAGAGGAAGCACCAGTTCGCGCAGACGTCTGCGGCTTGCTGTTTACATGGGAGATGCGATTGACGCGAGTGACGGATAATGAAAAGGATTGATGAGTATTAGTAATCACAGGTACAAATCCTGACTTGCAGCAGAGCGAGCACCCCAATCTAGGTACTCTATCTACAGTACTTCCTAATTGAGCTTTGTTGCTACTCGCCGAATCATTTGGCGGAACTCATACAAGTCTTGATGATATATGGCATCCGCGTGCAGATACAGGTAAGGTAGTGTAGAAGCTCTCCAACCTCTTTCATCCTTGTCATTCTTCAATCCTCCCATTTTTGCAACATTTGCAAATATCCATCTATGCTTTGACAATCTGATGATGATGATGATGATGAAGGAAAGGGAGGAGAGGCTCTGCTGGACACACAGCAGAAGTAGTGATGCAGCAGAGGTAGTTCTATGCCGGCTGAGATCGTGGTAAGGTAGGTAGGTAGGTAGGTAGGTAGTCTGATGTGATGTTAACTATTCGATGGACGGGAGTCCTGCTGCTAACGACCGCCGGGAGACGGAGTATGTACCTTTGTCATGTTATCGCCGGGAACGTAAATTCCGTGTGTACCAGGTAGGTAGATAGGTACGAACCGGTTGGAGAGAAGCGGATGGGATGGATGGATGGGAGACAATATAAGGTAAGGTACTCCCCCGGGGGGACCAGCAGTATCGCGTCGGGCTCTTTTTTATCGCGATGGGAAAAAACAAATTCAGTTCACGCCGCCAGCAGCAGTAGTAGTAAGTAGTAAGTAGGTAGTGTCGGACGCCTCGCGAGTGAAAAAAGGTTTTTCTTCTTCTTCTTCTTTTTCTTTCGAGATCCTTCAGATTAGACAAAAAAAAAGGAAATCTCCCTTCCCAGCAGGCAGCCCTTTTTCTTTTCTTTGTTTTCTTTTCTTTTTCTTTTTTTTTCCTTTTTTTTTCAATCATCATCATCAACAGTAAACATCACCTTCAACCACAAACTACACCCTTTACAACCCGTCACCAACTCTCCCTCATCCGCAGATTTTTCCAATTCCGCTTCCGTCACCACAAACGCAGGAATACTGCCACATCGACATGCACGTTTCCAGATTCCAGTCGCTGTCGCAGTTGCAGTTGCAGTAGCGTCTTTTTCGTTTTCTAATCCTCCGACTTCAAAATCGAGGTCTTCCAAATCTACAATTTCTATTCCCGTATGGCGCGTTGTGATGATAACATCCGCTTGATGTTGATTATTATGATGATGAATATTATTATTCATCGTCTTCCACTTCTGTAATTCCACGTCATATTTCGCACGCTCAGAGGCATTTCCCAGAACGCGATAGGCTTCGGTAATTTCATCGATGGTTGCAGCAGGAGGAGGATATGTCGTTGGAGAAGAAGTAGATTCTTGGGTTTTCTTCTTCTTCTGCTTGTCGGGATGGTGGTGGAGTAGAGCACGCTTGTAGGCTTGTCGAAGTTCGTGGGGAGGGATAAGGGTTGCTGGTTGTCCGATTTTGCTGTTGTTGTTGTTGTTGTTGTTGTTGTTGTTGCGTTTCTCCTCGGGGATGTTGAGGAGGTGGTAGTAGTCGAGGAATTTGGACATTTCTTTTTTTTTTGTTTTGCCTTTTTATCGGGGTTTTTTTCTGGATTGGAACGGGTACTGTAGTCAGCACCCTGTAAAATATCACCTGCCTCACTCGTGGAGATTCATGTAGTGGTAGACCAGCGGTGGTGGCAATATCATGGTTCTTTCGTGGAGAGATGGGGTTTGTTCTTTTTACGCCAAGCAGTTTATGATACAGTAGTACAAGTCTTGGCACTACAGGCCTGGCCGGGAACTAGCTAGGTACATACATATATGCCACAATAGAGCAGGTCATAATATGAGGACATCTGCAAAACAACATCGTCGTCGAGCTTTAAGAGCTACTGGGGCTACGAAAATTCAATCTGCCTTATCAATAGGAATAAGAACTGCTTCATCATCATCAAAAAACAACTCTAGTACTCCTTTCTCAGAGTCCTCGCGATTCTTCATCAAGACTATATCAGAAACTAAAGTGACACGTATAAAATATTTGCGTATACCTCGTCGTACTGCTGTTCTAGACTTCCCTCCCCTTCCCTGTAACAAGAGAGTGAAGAAGTTGTTAATCCCATAAAAGTTAAGAACGGAGAGAGCTCTTATGTGTGTATCTTATAGAGAGTGCTACCTAAGACTACATGTGGGTGTGTTGTCGTGCTCGTTCTTTCTGCCCATTACGAAAAAGAAGAAGACCACTGCAATGCTAGGCTGGAGGTACTCGTTCCCGGGGGAAGGACGAGAAGGGTCCGGTCTTACCCTCGGCTTGCGCAGAGCCGTGAATACTCCAAATCCACTGAAGGGTACACAGCCGCTCAATACTGGGATCGCTGAAAGGTCTGGCTGATATTCGTGGCGTCGCGGGAAAGGGGCGTTGTCGAGACGATAGAAGTTCGACTCTACGTGGTACAGCGCACGTCTGTAGTGAGCCATGCTCGGGATGTCCATGATGGCAATGCCACGAACACCAACCTTCGTGACCGCCTTTCCCTTATGCCTCAATATTTTTGCGAAGAGGCTTTAGTTTCGACCTCTCCGTCTTCAAGACGGCAGCTTGGAGTTTTATAGCGTTGATGGTGTTTGAGACTTTGATGCCCTCTGTGTTGCTCTGATTGAGCGCACTGTCGTAGAGCTGCTTCTTGAGAGCTGCATTGTCACCTATGTCTGTCAGGGTCGAATGTCAATGAAGTTCAGTTATCGAAATAAGGTGGTCTAGAAGCGAGTAGCGGATTTGCTGTATAACTGAGTGCCACATTCCATGGCTCCAACAAAGAAGCTATCAATCTGGCTGAATCTGGAACCGGGCCCGACATCCGTCAATCCCAGCGTCGCCATAGTCGACAGACTACTGAGAGAAGTGCTTGGGAGCTGCATTCGACGCTACGTGAGCGCGAATATACGGCTTGGGCGGCGCTGTTGAGTTGTCCAGTGATGGTTATAAGGGTCATGGATGTATGCGTATAGTAGAAAGGTACCTGCGATAGTGGAGTGGAGTTGGAATGACATACTTCCCTCCATATATGCAATTTAGTGTTTGCAAGTGTCAGTCTGTACAAACGAAGTGTGAAACTTCTCTTGGTGATGTGTTGTACATAAGTTTGCTGCCACTCATTGTTGAGCTTTCTAGAGCGGGTCCGATCGTAGCCGGAGGCAGAGTTTCCTGACTGCTCTTGTGCGGGAGTGCTGCAGACTAGAGCGTTCGAGGGTGAATGTGGACGCGTGAGTCCCAGCTCGACACAACCGTCCATAGACCACCATTCCAGTAGCTTTCTACAGAAACCAAAGGCATGACACGCTCCACCTAAACCGCTCCAGCTCCCTTCTCAGCAATGCTCGAATGTCCTCGTAATCTGATCCTACGCATCTTTACTACCTGCCTTATTTCGGCCACTTCTTCCATCCCCTCCCGTGCCCTCTCTCCTTCCAGTTCTTAACCATCGCATTCATACCCTCCATCGCCTGCCTCCTCTCATCCATCTTGGACCGTAACTGCCTCTCCCACAGTTTACCCTTCACTCTCTTTCCCTCGCCCGTCCCTTGTACCAACAGTCCCTTCTCCAGCCTCTTCTGCGCCTTTAATTCAGGATGTTTCGGCGCTATAGGCATCAAGTCCAGCACGAAATGTGCTTTGGCCAATTTGTAGAGATCTGCTTGGCGTCGGAGACTGTAGGCGGGACCGTGCCAGAGACCGGTTCGAGGATTTTTGAATGGGAGGAATGGGTTGTGCGATTTTTTGTCTGTGAGCCCCGAGGAGGAGTCTGTCATTGTAGTTTCCGTGACTGCGGCCGGGCTATCGCTGCTGCTGCTGCTGCTGTCTGTGAGGGTGGATGGTGTCGTCGCTGTTCGGATTTGTGGCGGAGGATATTTCTTGAAAAAGTTGAGGAGCCGCGGAGGAAGTTGCTGCGCCAGCCGAATCTGTGATTCCATTGCTGCTGCCATTGTGGGTGGTACAAAGCCAATGGATTGAACGTGAGAGAGAGATGGGATGGATGGAGAGAGGTGAAGAGGTCGGAGCGGGAAAGCGCCGCGTTTGGCTCCACCTGATGTTAGGGTTAGGGTTAGGGCAGGTGGATAGCTCATCGCGTGTCGACGCCAGCTCCAGCTGCCTGAACATCAACGACAGCCAACCTCTCACAACAACACCTACCTTTCTCTCTCATCGCCAACAACACATCCCGACCCCATCTCCGCCCCCAAAACTCCGCTCCACCCCTTCGACATAGCGACAGCAACAATCACCGCACAAACCTCGATCCAGCACAGACAACCGGCACGATGAGTTCGCCGTTCAGCATCAGTCCGTCTTGTCACCACTCACTCCTCATCTGTATTCACTAACAGCAACCCTACAGACGGCGGCGCATGCGTAGCAATGGTCGGGAAAGACTGCGTAGCCATCGCCTGTGATCTGCGCCTGGGACTCCAAGCTCTCACAGTCTCCAACAACTTCCCCAAAATCTTCCCTTTCGGCAGCTCCACCTACCTAGGGCTGACTGGACTCGCCACAGACGTCTCCACGGTCTCCGAACTGTTCCGTTACAAAGTCAACATGTACCGTCTACGAGAGGAGAGAGATATCAGCCCGAGAACATTCGCGAACCTGGTCTCGAGCAGTTTGTATGAAAAGAGATTTGGCCCTTGGTTCATCTCTCCTGTTGTGGCTGGACTGGACAGTAAGACGGGGAAACCGTTTATCTGTGGGTGAGTTATGCCTTGTCCTATATCTGGATTCTATGAGCTAGATGAATTGGGTACTGATCATAAGCCTTCTGTAGCTTCGACTCCATTGGCTGCATCGATTTCGCAAAAGACTTCATCGTTGCGGGAACCGCCTCGGACCAACTCTTCGGAACATGCGAAGGTCTGTGGGAGCCGGATCTCGGGCCTGAGGATCTCTTTGAGACCATGTCACAAGCTCTGTTGAGTGCTGTGGATCGTGATGCACTGAGTGGTTGGGGCGCACATGTCTACATCATTGAGAAGGACAAGGTGACGAAGAGACTGTTGAAGGGACGACAGGACTAGACGCAAGGCTTTCCACCAGGGCGTTGGCGAGCATGATGACGGAGAAGAAGGCGACATGATGAAGAGAGCGCGACAGCATTGCTTCGCGCCCCTGTATGATAGCAAGAGCAAGGCGTCGAAAGCGGCCTACAAATGCTGAGATGCAGTTTGTATAGGCATGAGCGGAAGCTCGGACGAAATGATACCAATGCAGACATATTCCCGACTCCCGGACATCGAAGTCGAGGCCATCAGCAGCTTGTCCAGTTTCTGGGTACACATCTGTGAAATTCATTTCTCATAGGTCGCGAAATACCTCTGGTACATATTTACAAGCTGCCTCGCAACAACAGTGAGAGCCTAGGTATCGTGACAAACCTTGATTCGAAGCTGAGATCCAACGACGATCGTGTGCCTGCGAGGGAGTATACAAATGCTTCTTTGAACAACGTCAGACAATTTACTGACTTCATTCCCGCACCTGATCAGTCCACTCGTCCACAATATGCAACCCCGTCTTCCCCTCCAAGAACCTCCCCGCCGCAGTCCACACAGGCCCATGATACGCATCCTCGGCCAGAAACTCCTGCGCACCTACAAACCCACACTTGACCAAAAAATACGCATGCAACATCTCATGCACCAACGTCCCCAGTGGCGCCAACCGCGGCAACGCCGACCAATTCAAATCCGCTCGCAACGTGATGACAATCCGCGGGAGAAGGTTGTTTCCTCCCGCATGCATCATCATCATCATCATCATCATACCTCCTGTATCCTGCGGTTGCGTCAAACCAATACAGGATAATTCTCCTCGCATCGCAACCAAAGCGGGAATTTCAGAGTATGGCAACCAACGCAGATAGACGCGACGCTGCAAAGTGCGGTGGAAGAGCACGATATCGTAATCATTAAAAATTTTAATGCAGAGATCCCATGTGACGGGCGCGTTACTGTGCAGGAAAGCTCTGATGCGTGTGGCGGCGAGTAGGGTTTCTGGAGTTTCTACAGGAGCGTCATGAAGCTGTGCGAAGGCTTGGTGAAGAGGGATGTTGCGGGAGGGATAGGGTCGCCATCCTGCGGAAGAGGGGTTGAAATGGGGGGTTTGGAGGATTTCGAGTTCGGTTGGGTTGATGGTCTGGGGGTTAGTTATCAATTAGTGGATTCCATTTACGGGGTGAGATGGGAAGGGGGGTTTTTTCTTTTTTTTTCTTCTTCTTCTTTTTCTTTTCATACGTATGAGGTTCCATGTCCTCGTTTTGCTCTTCGTCGGGCACAGTGGGATTTGGAATGGAGTCGCTTGAGGAATAATTGGAGTTGGAGATGTTCTTGCATTTGAGCAAGTCGTTGCCAGTTGATTGGCATTTTGAACCTGGGAGTGGCTGAGTGGTTCAGTTAATAGAAGAGGAGAAAAAGACAAAGGAGAAGATGTGCTAGATGGAGCAGAGCAGAAGAAAACATTATGAACAGAGGTAATCAATCAGACAGCAACATTCACAAATCTATCATGTATACCTAGGCATGTATAAGTCCCACATCAACATACTTTGCACAACCGCATCAAAGCACATGTTCCCCCTTCTTCTGCTCCTCTTTCCACTTCAAAAAATCATATCCAATCTCCTCCAAAGACCTCACCTGATGCCTCTCCTCTCCACAATCCGCAAAAGCCTTTTTAATACTCGGAAACCGTTCCCGAATCCAATACAATTTCTCACCACACACCGGCGGAGCTTTCCCCACCTCTCGCCGCTGCTGCTGCTGCTGCTGCGCACTCATAGCCCAATCATGCAAAAAATTCAAATGTTCCGCATCCTTGGGAAATGCAAACACGTGAAATCCTCTCCCCGAACCATTCATTTGAAGAGTTTCCTCTTCCCATTCTTTCATCACGCTCTCGTCGGGTAAAGCCAGACGACCCGAGAGAACTCGAGCGATGACGGCTGCTTGGGCTTGAGCCATAGGGAACGGTATGACTTTTTGATTGAGGCCGACAAAGGAGAGAGTGGGTTGGGGCCGATAGAAAATGTGTTGAAAGAGATTTTCTACGCGTTCGCCCGTGGTGGTGACGGGGGGATGCAGAGGAGGAGTTTTTGTTTTGTTCTTCTTCTTCTTCTGCTTCTCGAGAAAAGGGTACGAGTAGAAATATCCTGTGCAGTAGATTATGGCGTCGATGTGGGATTCGATGGTTCCGTCTGAGAATTTTACGCTTCGTTTGCCTTCTTCTTTTTCCTCTTCATCATCGAGAAGATATTCTACAATCTCCGGTTTTCCGATATACCTCTGCTCTTCTTTCGCCTTCGCAGCAGCAGCAGTATCGGGGACTTTCAAAAACGACTCGGATCGCGAAGACATGATTAATCGTCCTTTACAACATTTCGCCACTTGAGCTCCAATATCCACCCCACTGGCCGAATTCCCCACGACAATAACTTTTTTCCCCGTATAATTTTCTGGTAATCGATAGAATTTCGAATGCGTGATTCGATTCGGATATTGTGCATTCCACGCTTCGATTCCGGGTACGGAGGGGATGTAGGGAACATCATAATGACCCGAAGCGCAGATGACGGCGTCGAAGATTTCGGTTTTGGATTCTTCTTCTCCTTCTTGATCATCCTGCTGAAAGGACTTTGTGGTCGTAACCTCCCATTTTCCCCTTGAATTTTCTTTTTCCGTTGGCACCAATTCCACACTCACCACCTTCACTCCACACTCCACCAAGCCAGGAATCTGCAGCACATCTTCCGCATATTCTTTCAAATACTGCAATACATCCTCATGTTTGGGAAACAGCTGCAAATCGTTTTTCCACGCCAAATCGGAAAATCCCATCAAATCTCGTGGAATGTTGGTTTCCAGACGGGAGTAGACGGGCGTGAGAACATCACCTCCTCTTCCTTTTCCTTTTCCTTTTCTTCCTCGTTCTTCTTCAGTTTCTTCTTCTTCTTCTTCTTCTTCCAAATACGGCTTCGTCTGCGGAATCCTCATATCCCTAGCAGCAGCCACATCCTCAACATCACAAGGAGTATAATTCCACAATCCGCCGACGGTGGAACGTTGTTCGTAGACGACGATTCGAGAGAAGTGATTTTCTGCGAGGAGATATCTATTTATTTAAAGAAAAAATTAATCTTCAATATCGGTATATATATATATAATAAGACAGATAACAGATACACATGGTGAACAACATGAACTTACTTCGCAACAGCAATCCCACTCGGTCCCCCTCCGATGACGCATACGCTTTGAGATGTAAAGTGGTGGCGTTCACCGGCTTCTTCTCCAGGCGGGAAACCCACGGAACCCATGATGGGTATCTATGTATATGTATCTATGTGTATAAGTATGTATATGCAAAGTTGTAAGGTAAGAGTAAAGTGAAGTGAAGTGAAGTGAAGTGAAATTAAGTGAAGTGAAAGAAAGAATTCCAGTGCGATGTCGCTAGCTGTCGGCAAATACTAGTAACCTTTAGTAGGTGGATTTGGAGATAAGGTAATTCTGCCGCTTCTCCCCAATCCCTGCGTTTCTCTTGCCCGTACGGTATTATATGACAAGGGTGGTGGGTGAGATTTTGATACAGGTTCGTGGTATGGATGCATCGCTATCGCTTACAGCTTACTCTACTCTATACATTCATTCTTTACAGCTGCTCGATACCATTCACGAGCCGCTCCAGCGCAACCTCGCTACCCTCACTCACCAGTCCCGCCAGAGCTTTCGCCAAATACGTGACTCGTCTCCTCGCCTCCTCCTCTTCCATGGCTTTTGACCTGCGAGCAGCCTCGTCAAGCAAACTCTTCGGCAAGCCTGCCAGCCTCGCGACATTGAGACCGTAGCTGCGATGTGCGACACCCTCGCCAACCTCATACAAGAACGTGATTTCTTTCTCTGCCGCATCCGCCTTCGATGCAGTGTTCTCTGTGAAAGTCATGTGCACATTCTTCAATGGTTTAGCTTCTCCGTCAGCCACATTCATACTGTCTGCAATGCGAGCCATTGATTGGTAGTGTGTAATGAACAGGGTCAAACTCTTCTGCACCATGACCATATGCTGCAACACACTCTGCGCGATGGCAACACCATCATGCGTGCTCGTTCCGCGACCGAGCTCATCCAGTATGACAAGACTTCGAGGCGTAGCCTGCTTCAAGATATCGCTGGTCTCCGAGAGCTCAACCATGAATGTAGATTCACCCTTCATCATGTTGTCGAAAGCCCCCATGCGAGTGAAAACAGCATCGAGCAAACCAAGCTCGCAAGCCTCTGCCGGGACGTACGATCCGATCTGAGCCATGATGGCGATCAGAGCAACGGAGCGAACGTACGAGGACTTGCCACCCATATTGGGTCCGGTGATGAGGAGACCTCGTGTAGCGTTGCCAGCAAGGTCAATGGAATTGGGGACGAAATTGTCGAGAAGCAACTGCTCCACCATCGGATGTCGACCGGCGGTGATGGAGATGCCGGGACTATCGGAGAAAGTAGGCTTACAGTATCCGGGTTGTTGGGCTACAGATGCCAGCGACAAGAGACAGTCGAGTAGAGCCAGGGACTGTATGCAGTCGCGGAAAGCTTGGTATTTGGAGCCAATTGCAGTGAGGAGAGAAGCGAACGCGGCATCACAAGCATTCGAAAGAGATTCCTTGTGTTGATCACGCTCGCGCAGCAGCTTAACCACTTCTGGTGGGTGAAAGCGACTCATCTTCTTCGTACTCGAGATCTTCGTCCACGTGGCGGGAACGTTCTTAAGCTGGGTATTGTCGAGCTCAATGAGGTAGTCGATCTCTGCCACCGTTATGTATGATACCGGCACCTTTCGCTTCAACAGCGCAGTTGCCGTCTTCTTGTATTCATTAAGGTCATGCTCTACAGCCACAATGCCGCACTTGTGGTCTGTGATGTCCTCGGTCTCGTGCTCGCTGCGAAAGAAGTTGTACTTGTCGTTCTCTTTGGCAGCTTGCAGATTCATTCGTCCGAGATAGTCGAGCACATCATCAGATATCTGCGGCAGCGAGAAAATGGCTTCGTTGATCATGTTGGAACGAAAGCCTGCATCGGCTGGCGAATTGACAAAATGATACTCCTGGGCCACGCTTTGCAGAGTCTGTAAGAACTGCAGCAGTTCAGATCGAGCGCATTTCTTGTAATATATTCGAATCAGTGTCCGTTCCAGGTCTGCTTTGGTTTTGGTGAGAAGACGATTGATACGCTCGACACCTGCCTGCCCGGCGCCTTCTCTGAGCTCTTCGACAGCCGCAACACGTTCATCCAGCCTCGCACGATCTAGCAGAGGTCTGCCAACCCATTTGCGCAGCAATCTCCGACCGAAACGTGTCTGCGTGTGGTTCAGCGTCCAGAACAGACTGCCTTTTTCTGCTTGATCACTCTGGTTGCGATAGACCTCGAGACTGGTCAACGTGTTGCCGTTGAGCAGCATATGTGATCTCGCGCTGAAAGATTGAAAGCTCTTCGTAAGATCGAATACATGCTGCAGACCATACTCTGTAAGGTGGGTGATCATAGCTGACAAGCAGATCGTAGCATTCTCCGACAACTTATGGACCTTATCCAAAAGCGTGCCAGTGTCTTGCGAGGATTGTACTTGTGTTGAAGGAGGCTCTCCTGCTTTCATCTTGTCGGCGTAGAATTTCGTGATGTCGCTGTAGGCCTGAGCGGCCATGGTTTTGGGCCTGTCTTTCCACTCGAGTCGAGCGTCGTCGCCTCCAGACAGATGCTGTACAAGCTTCTTGGTCGCTTTGGAAACCTCGCCCACAATCACAAACTCGGCCGGTGAGATGTGTAGCAGACGTGTCTCCAGCTCACTTCGCATCCAGCCATCTTCAAAGTCGTCATAGATGATCTCTCCTGTAGCAGGCTGCACAGCGATGAGACCAATCTGAACTTTCTCGTCTGATCCGACACCTTTGGGGTAGCTTTCTGTCAGACACAGAAGGTGGCCTGAAGCAGGAGCGCCTCCTTCAGCTCCCGCCAGCGTCGTGTCTAGTTCTTCTTCGTCATCGATGTATGTTGCTTTGGTATACAAATTGGTGAGGTCTCTCTCGAACAATTTGCCCTTGTTGGTGCCTGCAGCCTTGAGGGCGGCTGTTTCTAGCTGTCTCACAATCCCGACCTTGTAGCCAGCATTGATGAGCCGTTTCACGTGTACATGCAGTCGGTGAGTAGGAAAGCTGGCACCAGCAAATCTCGTCATATGAGCTTCGGATGGATGCTCGTCGAATCGCATCTTGCCAGGAATGCACACGACGGACAGGACCTTGGACGCCACTCGGGCGTCTTCTCCATACAATCTATACTTGTAGCCGACTTCAACGATAAGCAGCACATCTGGGTATTTGCGCTTCAAGTCCACCACCTTCTGATCGAGGGGTGTGAGCTTGCCCTTTCTTGAGGCAGGAATCTTTCTGCCACCCTTCTTTGGCGCTGCTGGAGCCTCCTCTTCATCTTCATCGTCTAGTCCATCATCTTCACCCGCTTGTGTCTCCTCATCAATGAAACCACTCCGCCGCTTGATATTCGCTATACTGTCGGGACGTCCCAGCTTCTTAACAAACTTTTGGTGCAGACGAGCCTTGAGCTGTCGGGTTTTCTCGTCGTCGGCCTCCTCAGCCAGAGGGTCTGTGACGGAGTCAATCGAGCTGGAGAAAGCGTACTTGGACGTTCTCGCAGGGACTTGAGCTCTCTTGCCGCTGTTCTCACGCTCTAGCCCTGGCGATACACGTTGAGATTGCTTGCCATCATCTGAGCTTGCCCTCTGCCGCTTCTGCACGGGTTGCGGCGTCTCATCGTCCTCGGCTGCCCGTTTGGCTGTGGAGGACGTGTTGTTAGCCCCATTGACCTTGTCTCCCTCCACGAACAGACTATCTTCTTCTGCCTCTGGGGCTGTTTCCAGTGAAGGTCGTTGAGGCGGAATGTCCTTCGGCGTTGGTTTCTGATTTCCAGGCTTGGGCGTGAAGAACCTCGAAATAGATTGTTGTTTCGACTGCGATGACTTTTGGGTCGACGACGGCGGTGAGCGTGTGGTGCCCATGATGTTGTAATGTTCAATGGGAGGACGAAGTGTCTCCCACACTCCAATGACGATGAAAGTGTAATGGCACGCGCCTCGACGCGGCGTTCCCTCTTCGCGTTATTGCTCTTACAGGGGTATTTCGTTCTCATACATGATTGATTGTTTTCACATCACATTTGTATACATCGGACTGAAAGTCAATAGAGTGCACAGCGAGGATGAAAGATGTGATTTGAAGTGACTGCTACTTCATAGCCATCTGAAAGTTCGATCGTGTGCTCCGGGCCAGTCGCCGGTCTGACACTACTACCTCACTTGCCCGCTGTGTACCGCGCGACCAGCGCCCATATCAACGTACACACCATCAAATTCGTCTTGTACTGTACATTCCATCGTCAAGCTGCAGGTACCCCGGCACCTCCTGCAATTTCAATGTCCGCGCACAGCTCTACTCTACTCTCCACGCGGAGCACCAGCCTTGATCGTCGTTTCATCGGGGTAGATACTGGCTCCATTCTCCGGCGCCTCGAAGAGCGTCTGATCCCCTTTACCTCCCATCTCCATAAACTCCTTGGGATCGCGTGCAGCATCTGGCGTTGGCTCCACTGTTTGCTCGAAGTGTCCGTTTACCTTCTTCTTCTTCTTCTTCTGTTGGCCCGCTGGGCGCTGTGTAAGGAAGTGTGATTGAGAGTTCTTCTCCCACACCTTGACCGGAGGTGCATCTGGCTGTGTCTCGATGATGCGAGAGACCTTCACGTCGTTGATTGACGCAAGCATAGTGCGTTCCCGCTGGGGCTTGCGCATGGAGAAATCAAGACTACTGATCGCACCAGTCAGGCCATCGGTGCTATCGGCTGGGTTGATGGTGCGAGCTGTGGTCCAAGGATGCTCAAGACACTCGTCGATGGTGATACGCTTTTCCACATCGACGGTGAGCATGCGGTCAATGAGATCGAGAGCAGCGTCGCCGACCGAGTCCCAGTACGGAGATGGGTAGTCAAATCGGCCCATCTTGATCTGCTGGCTCAACGAGTATGGATTCTCTTTGGAATAGAGCTCGTCCGAGAAGGGTGGAAAGCCACAGAGACAGATGTAGAGCACGACGCCTAAACTCCACACGTCAACAGCTCGAGTGTACCGTCGACGATTGGTCTGCTCCAGGATCTCGGGGGCGACATAAGACGGTGTGCCGCACAGTGTTGTTGTGAAGGATTCTTCGCCAATGATCTTCGCCAGCCCAAAATCGGCAATCTTGACAGTGAGCTGTTTGTCGACGAGAAGAATGTTCTCCGGCTTGATGTCCCGATGAACGATGTTGCGTTCGTGCTGTATCGAGTCAGCTCATAATCATCAACGCGGTTTGTAAGTCAAGCACTCACCAGATACTTGATACCTTGGAATAGCTGGATGAAAAGCTTGCGTGTTTCCGCCTCGGACAACTTCTGCTTCATCACAATCCAGTTAAATAATTCGCCCTCTGGCGCCAACTCAAGCACCAAATACACGCCGTCAGACTCGTCGAAAGTGTCCTTGAGACACAGCACGTTGGGGTGACTGACGCCCATGAGCACTGCGATTTCTTGTTGTAGCCCCTCCACTTTGCTCCGCTCTCCTGGTCCGCTCCGCTTCTCAAACTTCTTGACAGCGAATTGCATGCCATTGCACTTCTCAACACAGAGATAGACTGTTGCAAAATGCCCTTTGCCGAGCTGTTCTTGTATTGTGTATTGCTGTCGGAACCCGCTTCCGTTCTCAATCTTCCGGGGGTATCTGAAGATGAAGTTGGCTTCGCCAACAATGGATATCTCGTCTCCATCCTGAAGCTCACGTCTCTTATTGCGTCCGATCAATTGGTCATTCACATACGTGCCGTTGCCGCTCAAGTCCTCAAGGATTGCAGTAGTACTGCTATGCTTGTTCTCCGAGAATATCAAGCAATGCCGGTTACTCACAGTCGCGCTCTTGACAATCTTATCACATTCCGGGTGCCGTCCGATCAGATAGCCGCCTGCTGGAACTCCATTCTTCGCTTTGTCCTCCTCGTACTCGTTCTCCTGTTCTTTCCACTGCCCTTTATTCACCTTTTGACGTCCGTTGGGCTTGCCAGTCTCGTGCAGCGACACTGGACATGCTGCACGTTTCCTCAGTGTCAGCGCTTCTGATACCCCATCGGCTGGTACGATGTAGCCCCAGACGCCCTCTGCTTCCTCGTCATCGACCTCGTATGAAACTGCAGCTGGTGGCAGAAATTGAGAATACGGCTGTGTATCTCCTGCGGGCGATGAGAGTCCGGCGAATCGCTGCGATAACGACGATGGAGGCGGGCTGCCCGTAGGAGGAGTCTGCTGGCCGCGGTCTCTGTGCGACGGCGGCGGCGGCGGCGGTGAGACCGTCTCGTTTCTCGTAGAAGCCGTGTCTTGAGCTGTAATAGGCGATGGGAAGGGGCCTTGTTGGACATCGTCGGCGCCAACAAGGCGACCAGATTTTCGCGACTTTTTGGCATCATCATTGACCTCGCCCGTCGACGCCTGTTTCTGTCAAGTCAGCCTCGTGAACGCCACTCGCTGTGGTGGATAAGTGTATGCCCACCCTGGCGCGCTTCAGCGAGCTGTTGTCGGTGGAGGCCATTGGGAATCAGGAGGATATGTGGGCAATGAGCTGCTGAATAGGGGACTGAGGCTGGTGATACACGACGTGACGTGACAGAGCGACTCGACAGCGCAGAAGGCAAAGCTAGCGACCGGGTTCCACCATATTTCGTCGTGGTTCAAGTCGTCGTCGTCGATATCGAAAAAAAAGATGGTAAGGTAGTCACGAGTTCAAGGCAGAGGAGTCACGAGCCCGAGTTGGGATCTGAATTCTGAATGAACCTCAAAGAGATCGAAGCGAGGAGGGAGGTACATGTACATGTCAAGTCAGGAAGTTCTCTCGGTAAGGTACATAAGGTAGGCAAGTAGGAGGTACATTGCGAGCTTGACGTTGATGACCGGGGTGAGGTGCCGTTGAATCGGGAGAACCCTGCTAGGAACAATCGCACAGTGCACTCGACCCTCCCGTCGTAGCTTACATCCATGTAGCCTGGCCTGGCCCTGTAGTTCTACTTCTCATCTTCACTTCAACGCTAGCACACACTACCCGCCGCTTCTTCTACCTGCGACAATCAGAATATGCCCTTCTCGCATCATTCCCACTCGGGTCAGTTCTGCGGCCATGCCACCAATACTCTGGAAGAGGTCGTCCAGAAGGCCATCAGCCAGGACATGTCCACGCTCTGCATGACGGAGCACATGCCCCGGTCCAAGATTGACTTTTATCCCGAAGAAGTCGAAGTGCACACCGAGGCTACTCTCGCCACGCTATTTGATGATTTCTATCTCGAGGCACGTCGTCTGCAAAAGGCATATGCCGGACACATTCAGCTTCTTGTGGGCTTCGAAATAGAGTGGATCCGGGACGCTTCTCTGCAGTCCATCCAGGACTTGTTGCAGAAGTATCCTGTTGACCTGTTCGTGGGCAGTGTGCATCACCTTCATACCATTCCGATCGACTTCGATACCCCCATGTATCATCAAGCGCGAGATATTGCAGGTGGTACTGACGAGCGCGTGTACGAGGATTATTTCGATTCACAATACGAAATGCTCCAGGCGTTGAAGCCGCCCGTGGTCGGGCACTTCGACCTCATCAGATTGAAGAGCGATGAACCTGACAGAAGCTTCCGTACGTGGCCAGGAGTCTGGAGCAGAATTGAGCGTAATCTCAGATTCATTGCTGGTTATGGTGGTGTGGTGGAGCTCAACACGAGTGCCATCAGAAAAGGAATGGATGAAGCGTATCCGCAAAGCGAAATCTGCAAAGTGAGCTCACAGTATCGTCCTTCTCCAGTTGTATACTCTAATGTTGATGCAGGAATTCAGAGATATGGGCGGTCACTTCACACTCTCATGTGACTCTCACGGAGTGGAGCAAGTGGGTCTCAACTACGCCAAGGCATTGGAGAGGAATATTTCCCGAGCGGGCATAACTGAGCTGTTCTATCTGGCGCCCACGACTGAGAGGACGAAGGTGCATGATGAACGCTTCCCGAATGTGTCTTGGCAATGCTTGCCAATCGAGACTCTCAAGGCACATCAGTTCTTCCAGGCGCGGGCTCCTCACGCAGGGACCAGTCACGCGTGAAGTATCGTGACAAGATGGGTGACCACAGCATGCCTAGGCTCGGCAGCCCTGCCAGCGTACCATAGTGGCATAGTCGACGGCGTGGACGTGAAATCCGAGGTACATAGTGGATGGCTATACTCGATCGTCAGGGCCCTCCCGACGAGCGTCCGCAGCCCTTAGCCCTTACGCACCATACCCCCACGCTCGCAATCTCAACGACAATCGCGCTCGCCGAACACTTTTGATAGGTGTCGTAATGTCGATTTTTCGATTCGCCCGTGCTCGCGGGCCGTTCACCGTCGGTCTTGGACGGGGGCCCTGGACACCAACCCAGCTGCACCAAAGTTTATGGAGGCGACAGGTCACAACGGCCGGACATATACTGTACACTGGCAAACTTGCTCGCCCAGCTCACGCGAACATTGAATGACACCGTGTATCCCGCAACCCATGTCCCGCGTGCTTCCTTGTGGCGCGGCATCACAAATACGGACCACCTATCCCTCGCCGAAGCCACCAGTCGCACGACGCTGCATCCGCGGCGGAAGTCCTACTACTGTTCAACTCGACTTGAAACGCAACAAGCAGGAATTTCGAATACAAAGCCAATGGATTGGTATCATGGGGCTTCGCGGGAGATAGGATACCCATGGGTATATCCAGAATTCACGCCGTAAGTAGTCCGAATCTCGGGCTGCTCTTTCTCCGCCTCAGAGACTCCCACTTGTCGACCTGGTTGCACCAACGCTCATGACGCCGACGACACAGCGTGACCAGGCGGAGGCTCAGAAACGCGGCACTCACTGTAGTTGGACAGGCGAGCAATGGAGCTAAACCATTGCCACTTTTGCGCGGCTATGAACAAATCAGCTAGTCTGCTGCGGCACTCCCGTGTAACCTGTCAGTCGTGTTTGACGCCGAGCGGCTTTGCATTGTGGATGCGCCTTCCCTGTCTGCAGTGACAACCAACCAGGGTTTCCGCTCTGGGAAGGTGCCTGGATCAGTACTCGTGCAGGCGGCAGGCCTCTCCACCCGACTCCGAGGCGTAGGCTGTAACGGGAGCGGCGTAGACGCGCAACTCACGCGGCTGTTGTGCAGACTCCAGACGAATCTCCCCATCTGCCGCCGCGTCCTGTCATGTGTACGGTACCTGTTGCCAGCCCTGTCTTTGCAGGGAGGGCTTGGCATAGCTGCAGCGGCACCGCGTTCCCTATCTCCGCGTGCTGTGCCACGAGCCAGAGATGCTCAGTCGGTGGTCTCGAACGTCACCTTCGCCTGACGGCTAAGGTACCGGTACAGTATGGCTCGACTCCACTTGGCCATGGCCATCGTCACTTTGCGTGCCTCCAGTACCCAATGTATCGCCCTACAGGCCGCAACTTTGTCGCAGTCCACTACCTTAGTCCCTTCTCAAATGTTTTCGACACGTTACAACACGTTCCAGACCGGCAGGATATATGTTCTCACAAGCCGGTTCCAAATGCCCGGGGCCTAACCGACAACTAGCCATCGGCACTGTCCATCTCGAGCTAGAAGGCGCGCTCGCCGCGGCAGACTGAAAACATTATACAGCGATTGGTCTCACTAGCCGCCAAATTCGCGGAGTGACATGCCATCGATAGGTGCAAGCACTGTGCGCAGCCATGTCTTGCGCTCTCGCGCTAACTTTTCTTTTCTTCAGAAGCAACTCGAACCACAGAGAAGCGCCAAGTTTCCCTCTCGGGCAGCTTAACTCTACCGGTCCGACCTCCGCCCATGCCAGCCATCGCTGAGGGTTGAAAGCGTATATGGTCGAGCGGAAGGGTGAGCATTGCATGCGCGGGGACGATCCAAGAAGAGTACATGTAATACTTTCTAATTCCGACCCGAGGTGAAGTTTGCCAGTTGGACATATGCTGCATCGATCTTCAGGCAGCACTGCAGCCATAACGATACATTGGCAGGCGAGGCGAGGCGAGATTTCGTGACTCGTAGTTCATGCATGTGTGTGCTGCTGAGCATTTCTACCTACAAAAGCCTTTTGTGTCCTAAACAGGCATTGAAGTGTCAATATATCGTGAAGATCAAGAACGCCAAGAATACCACACAGGACCTCCCAGGAGGTAGTACAAGTTTACAAGATACTGACAGGTAAGGTATGTACAGGTAAGGAGGTATGTACCTTTACTGTGCCACAGTATGTATTCGCTTGGCGTGCTTCACTTGACGGGCCAGTGGGATCTTGCAGAGCTGTCTTCGCGCAACTGTAAAGGATTCGCTGCACTCCAGTCTCTCTCCACAGAAGTGCAAGATACAAGTAGGCTGTGCTCGAACAGCATTAAGGGGCGTCGTTTTGATGTAACTGTTCACATTGGTGCCCACAATGTTGCTGATTGATGATGGCCACATCCCTTCAGGGTGCAGAACTGTGCGGCAGGTGCGTTTACTGACCCTAGCTCCTTCCTCCACTCAGCCGGCGGCCTCGAGGGAAAAAGACCCGCTTTTTTCACCCACCAGGGTCCCGCAGCTCCTCAAACGTCAGTTCCTTCGCTCCTGACAAAAACTGTGTCAAGTGTCCTCACCTCGGGTGCCTCCAACCTCACCCCACATACTTGATGTTCACTCTCCGTCGAAACTTCATCACCACCATCCAGAAACCTTCTCGCCTCTTCTCCACCACAGCTTTCAGAATGGGTGTCACCAAGGACGTCATCAAGGAGGGCGATGGCACGACCATTGCCAAGTCTGGCGATGACATCGTGATGGAGTACACTGGTACTCTGGAAGATGGCAAGCAGTATGTTTTGCATATACGCCGAAGAGCTCGAGGGAGAGCCAGCGGATGAGATGGAAGAAGAGCTGACATGCGACCAGATTCGACTCCTCTCGCGGACGCGCTCCATTCGCAGTCAAGATCGGAACTGGCAGAGTGATCCGAGGATGGTATGTGCGACTCATGAACTTTGAAGCGGCCGGTACTAACATAGTCAATTCTTAAAGGGAGGAGGGCATTCCTGGCATGTCTCTGGGCGAGAGAGCCAAGCTCACTATCACTGGTGACTACGCCTACGGAAAGCAAGGATACCCGGGACTTATTCCACCAAATGCCACTCTCATCTTGTAAGTTACTTCGAGATCGCGAAATTTCGAGAGGTTGAGGAAACGCTGACTTGGCCTGTAGTGACGTCGAGCTCGTTGCCGTCAATGGCAAGAAGGCTTAAGCATTTCTTGTCGAGATGCTCGTGCAGCCCAGAGCGCGCGCCCACTCGAAATGGGACGAGCATCAGTCACCTGGCGTGATGAATATGAGATTATGGCCCGTCTGCTACAGTGCGATGTAGTGCTAAAGGACAAATGAGATGATATGAACTACGTTTAGTCTCCAGCCTCACCACTGAGCCGCGTACCATCTTCCTCACTTTAACCATCTCTCTACGCCCAAAATCATTTCCAATTGACCTAGTATACAAGTGCAGAAGAGCATGCTCTACTCTACTTGCCTACACCTTGGTTACCATGTAGCTTTTCAACAGCGCTCACTTACTATGACTAAGCCACAGGTTCAATTTCTTCCAACTACCCGAGGTACCAACACCAAAAAAACTACTATAACCATCCCAAATCTTCTCAGTCTAAAGCATCGTGGGTACGGTATGTATACAAAGCCCCACCATACTTGATCTTCGGCGGATTCATAGAGATCTATCACTACCTAGGTAGGTAGTGGAGAGTCTTCTCTGTCTCTCTAGCTCGAAGAAATACTTGATGGAATGAAAATGGATAGGTACATACCTTGTGCATGGAGGAAATGTGGCGGGTAGGTACTGTATATGTGGACTGGTAGTATCCATGGATGTACTCACTCTATAGGTTACTAGCTAAGGTACATGTAGGTACAGTAGGTATAGACATGATTCGATTAAAATGAGGCAGGCGAGGGTTAGAGGAAATAAGGCAAGGAAGGTAGGTCAGGTAGCTTCGCATTATTATCATCATCATCATCATCATCATTAGGATAAATTGATTTCTATTGGGAGAACCTGGAACCTCACAGTATCAAAAGTGGTAAAAAGTGTCGTCTGTACAAGGCAGAGCATGGCAGGGCGCGTAAATGTACAGAATTATTTCTTTTGTTTTTTTATAATTCTTCACTTGGTTCAGCTCTCAGTTTCCCCAGCCTGCTCAAAACCTCGCTTTCAAACTTCCATGTTCCATTTGCCCAATGATGCCGCCCCCGGCAAGCGTCCACGTCTCTGAAACGAGGTGATTTGTCACAGTCGCACGCAGCATACCGCTCTTTGCGTAGTATTCCATCACGCCTCGTGCTTCCTCCTTGGACAGACCTTCTAATTTCCTCACGCCCACGGACTTCATCGTTTGTTGCACCCACTTGTCGTGCGCGATATAAGGATCCCACGCGCGAGGTTTCTCTCCCTTTTGCTTGGAATTATTGCGTTCTAGACATTGATCCAAGGTCTGAGCGCTCGCTCGGTTGGATTCGGATACTGCAGCGAGGATCATGCCGCCGTTGGAAAGGCGGCTGCGTCCGGAGAGGAGGTCGACGAAGTGTTTGACGAGAGCGAGCTCGTGGGCGTGGATGGGTTGGAGATCGGGGGAGAGATAGGCCGAGTCGCGCATGACGTGGTCGAAGCCGTCGAGGGAGAAGAGGACGGGGGGACGCTTGGCGTCTGGGAGTTGGAGTTCGGTCCAGAGGGCTTGCCAGACCCGCCAGGCGAGGTCGGCGTCTTGGGCTCCGATGTTGGCGAGGCGTTCGAGAGTTGTGTCGGGTGGGAGGGGGAGCCCGATTTTGTGTTGCTGTCGGATTGTGAGTTTAGAGAGAAGGGAGGAATTGGCTTTGGAAATGTTGTCTAGCAGCTTCGCGGTGTATGTCGGTTGGATGTATAACGTTCCATTCTTGGTGGTGTGTGGTTCGTAGGCCGTGTGGGCATTTGTGAGATCCTTGGCTTCGGGGATATGAATTACAACCCACTTGTGGAGAGATGCCACGGCGAGTGTCTGGAGCTGTAGGACGCTTTTACCACTGCCACGTGCGCCGTAGAATACCTTGCGCACTGTACGGCCTTCCTTGGAACCTGCTGCCACCCATTCGACGTCCCCTGCCAACTCGACCGTGTCCTTTCGCACCAGAGTCGCCGGCCTTCGAAACAGACTCCATCCCTGTGTTGGCTTGAATGCTTCCAGTGCGCGGAGTGCGTCGACTGTCTCGTTCTGAAGGCCCACAACGCTGCCTTCGACATCTCGTAATGCTTCGCTGTTGGCTCTCTCCGGATTGAGATCGCGCAGATCTTGCACCTCCAACGCATTCGTATTGCTGAGCACGACTCTTTTTCGAAGCTGTTTGCGCTCGCCGACAGCAGGCGGTCTCCCGCTTACGGCGCGCTTGTTTTTGGACAGACGCAATTGCTTCCCATCGCGAGGTGCTGGTCTCGCAGCGACGCTCTTTTTGGGAGGATTGGCTGCCAGCGACGGCGATGTCGAGAATGCGGCGCGTGTTGATACCGATTCCTCGATGTTGTGAAGGGATTGCCGGAAACAGCGTAAGCACATGGACGAAGTCATACTGGATTGCAAGGCCATGGATGCGGTGAACGGACAACCGCTCCGGGAATGGGTGATGGAATGGGATGGTTGTTGCTCGAGCCGACGAGGTCGAACGAATGCGGACAAACCGGCAATGCCAAGCATCCGAGGAACTTCAACTTCACTTCAACTTCATTCTGTCTCCATCGGGCAACTTCATGCGATATACACGCACTCGAGAACATCCAATATATCATCCCCATTCCACCATATATTCAATGGCACAGAATTCTCCTGGACAGACAATAAGTAGATGTGAACACGCACTTGACGGACGCGCCTGAACATGACCGAGGGAAACAGGAATTACAGACTACAAAAAGTTATGCACATGTGGTGCTCGGTAGTCATGAGCTGCCATACTAGGGTCAGCTCGTTGAAGGTAAAAGACCTAATCAATACATAGCACATTATTGATCTTCCTACTGTCATTGGGTTGGGCCTGGCCGATGCGGGAAGCACAGGTTGCATATCGAACATGATACAAAGCAATGAGTGAAGTGACTTTACTTTTGACACCGCAAACATATTGCAGACTCCCGGCTCCTACCTGTGCGTGGGAGTGGGAGGACGTGGCAGAGTATGATGAATCACCATGGCGACGGCACTGTAAGTGAATACACCACACGCAAGTTGTCCGGATCCGGCGATTTTACAAACAAAGAGTGTCGCCAACGGCGACGACCTTACGGCAACAAGACCGCAATGGCCTAACCCTCCCAAAAATTTCGCTTCCTCCACTCATCGCAATACACCATAGCCAACTTCACAGGCAGCGTATGAAATGCCACGAGCAACCAGAAGCCGCGTCACGGCCGGCCAGGCACCACCTCTCATCGCAGCAGCAGATCCTGCCGCTATTGAGAAGGCTGGAAATGCTGCTAAGCGTGCGGCTAGAGCCCAGAAGTCGGCTGCTCCCAAGACGACCGAGAGTTCTGCTGTTACTGGTAGCACTGCCCCTGAACCTGTTGCATCAGATCCATCTACACAACCTCCTCCCGCAGTCAATCCAGATGCTGCAAAGAACGCACCGACAGAGCCGCCCCGAGCCCTTCCGGGGGGCCCAGAAGCACCACCAAAATCTCCGACTAAGTCCAAGGCTCTCGGAGGACTCCAGCCTCCCGAGCAAGATCCGGAGACGGCGACCAGTTCAGAAGCACCGTCAAGTTTGACCAACACTAACACCCTCGAGGTGGCGCAGCCGAATACCACCACGGCCAGCCAAACCCAGCCTGAAGAGGGCACTGTAGTCACACAATCAGCCACTGCAGGGGGAGAGCCAACGCCGACTGTGACTGTGACTGCGAGCGACAAGCCCGGGCCAGCAGGCGTGACTGGACAATCGACAGGCGAGAAACGTCCACGTGAAGACGGAGGCGGACGTGACCGTTCCATCCCGTCTAAGAAGCGCAAAGGCGGCGGAGCCACCGACGGCGATGGCAAATCCACTACAGCGACGATAACTGCAGCCACAGGGCCATGCGCCAAACTCGCGACCGAGCTGTTGGGCCTGAGAGACGTATTTGATTCCGTTGAAGATGCAGACAGGGTTGTCATTTCTGGTGTCCTTGCGCTCCAGCAATTGCCCGACGAGACTGTCTACAGAGCCATTGCTGCGGTCACTGAAGCACTATCAGAGCTCCCTGGTCAGTCAGCCTTCTCTTTGGTGTCTCTGGCATCAATTCGACTGCCTGCTGATTCGCCACTAAGACAACGCATCGCTCGGCCGGGGAATCCGGCGTTGATTCCACACACTCAGGACGGGCACACATCTCTGTTCTCGCTGCAGCTTCAGCGATCCGGCCATTACGCACTGCACCACTACGACAGCGCTGGGGTCGGTCATGAAGGAGCGCTCGAGCGTTATGGTGACCGGATTCGCGATGAGTTGGTGCGGCTTGGATGGCGACCGCGCGGCAAGGACTTCAGCATCGAGATCACAACGGTCCCTCGAGCCCATCAGACCCGTCAAAGCCAGGGCTGGGAATGTGGAATGCACGTCATCTTCTATGCCTGGGCTATAGCCCTTGGACTGCAGATCAACGGCACTGGCAAGCCAAAGCCAGCTGCCAGCTTCTTGGAAGAAGGGGCTCGACTCATCAACTATGCTCTCCTGGGCATAGCCAGCAGTGAGGTGATCTTGGCCTTCTTACAATGCTATGGTCTCGTTTCACACGATCAAGTCGTGCCAGTCGACCTCGCGTTTACTAGGACGATGCCCTTCCGTGAGCTGACGACACTCGAGCGAAGGATTGCACATCTCCGAGTCGAGGAAGAGCTGACCGAGCGTCGTCAGACTGACAATCAAGTCCCTCGACTCGAATTTCTTATAAACGTCACGGGGCTCACTGACAACGATCTCCTGACCACTACTGGTACACAGGTATATGAAATGTACAAATTGATGCGTTCGCGCACCCCACCTGCACAGACGGGTGGCAACGTGCCTGGCTCGAATCCAGAGGTCTCTCCTGAAACTTTGCTAGCGATACAAAGACTGGAAGAAAGAGATGCGCCTGCTGTACAGCCTTCCACCTCTGCCCATGTAGCCAAGGATACAGGAGTGGAAACGACGCAGCCGACGGAATCCACAGGGGCTGTCGAGTCGATTGAACCCACGGGCCCTATAGCTACAGGGCCCCCAAACACCCTCTCACACGAAGAAACTGGCACAATCAAAGAACCCCTAAGCGAAGGCCCAACCGTGTCCGAAGAAAGAATGCGGACAACTCTACTCAACGCCGTTGAGAATTCTCCTCCCATCCCTTCGAACCCCGCCGCCTCTGATGAAGCTGTTGTAACCACCACTTTGACCACGACCGTGGAAATGGACCCTCTCGACATCGAAGCCCAGCAGAGGAATCCGCCCACTTCTTCTACACAGACAGTAGATCCCTCCAACCATCCCTCTATCACTCCTGAACTTAATGGTAACGACGACGATGAAGATGCCCTCCAGCCTCCTCTCTCCGAAGACGACGATCTTTTCGGCGATGCAGATGAGGAAGCAGAAGAGGCCAGTACTACTACTGTGACCCTTCCTCCCCCTCCCCTCCTCACAGGCCTAAGATCTCCCAGTCTAGCTCTTCCGCCACCAACACCGCGAAACACTGCTGCTGTGGAATTCGGTGGGTTTTTCTTACCGGGTTTGGGACCGCAGATTTATCATCAGAACCAGGGAGTTGAGGAGAAGGAGAAGGCTAATGAGCAACGGAAGATGGGAGATGGAGAGGATGGGGAATAGGAGGAATTCTGTCTCACTTGATCTGAACTTGGCGGATGTTCCTGGGGAGAGAGACGATGGGTTTGTTTGTATAACTGAGGAGGAGGGAAGAGTTTAGGTCGGACGATGAGGATAAAGTTGATGACTATAGAGAGTAGGAGCATTCAGTATTAAATTGAAGCAACAGCTCCATTTGGATGGATGGATGGGTAATAGGATCGCCAAAGACACGGTTGATCAAGTCGATCGAAATGACATCTCATCATCCGACGCCTTTAGAACAGGTAGGTAATCCCTAATTCGATCGAATCAACAAGAAACATTACATAGGTACCTTCAGGCTACTTACTATCACCGCACCCATAGCTTCTTCCAGCATAACCTTCCCTCAAACAAACAACAACAACAAAATCCACATTCCAACCCTCTCAAACTCGCGCAACCAATCTATTAATCTAAAAGCCATAATAATATAAAACCAGAGTAAGGTAAGTAAAGAAAAAAATCCCCTATCCCCCCAAAATCCGCGAAGTAGATAATAAAACAAGATAAACCTGAAGTAAATGAGGTATCTAATATCAGGTAGTGAAAATCGTCTTCTTTATAAGCAAGTAAGTACCCAGCTCGACTCCCCTAGCCTATCTCATGCTATCCGTGCTTGATATAGAGTATACCTACCTTACCTAGGTATATACTCTATCTATTCTATTCTATCCTTTCTTTAACTTACTTACTTTAGGTCCGTTCTATTCCCTTCCGTTCCCTTCCGTTCCCTTCCCTTCCGTTGCAGTTGCAATTGCAATTAGGTATATCTACGATAAAAACACGAGAGACAAGATGAAAAAGAAAAGTGAATAAATCGTTTTTTTGGGGGGGTTATATACCTTACCTACCTTATGCAGGACCTATCTCTTAGTCCCATCTCTCTTATACCTACCTTACCTTACCTTACCTTACATCCGCTGACCCCCGGCAGTTAGGTAGGTAGGTTTATCATCTTACTTACCAGAGATACCTACCTATACAATAAGCTTGAGAGCAAGCAAGTACTGAAGGGAGGTCTTTTATCTTTACCTACCGTACGTATACTCTACCTGTACCTACCTTACCTTACCTATACCTACCTTGCATACATGTACCTATACCTACATGTACTCTACCTACTTACCTACTTACCTACATAAGGTACCTATGCGAGATTGTCATTTCATCTCAAGTCATGTCAGATCCAAAAAGCCACACCCCAGTACTACTGACTTACTGACTTCGACTGCTTCGATGGAATTTGAGACTGGAAAGAAGGTGAACAAGAAAAAGGTTCATTACATGTAGCTCTACCTCCTAGCGCGTCTCGATTGAACAGACAATGCGCGGGAGATTGAAAAAGGGAGGGGGGGAGGAAATCGGAAGGCTTCTTTTTTCATGTGCTCATCGATAATGGATGGATGAAGATTACTGAAGCAGTCATGGCTTACATAGGTACTCTGTTCGGTTTCTTGGACTCTTTTCATATATGCCGCGCTTCGCTCACATGCACGTTTGTAACCCACAATCATGATTGACCAGAACACCTCCGCTCAAAGATCAGACCCACAAAGCCCATATATGCACATAGTTTGTCTCGTTCACACGTAGCATGGTCATCATGTCCTTCTCGTTACGTCTCGTTTTCGGCGCCGATTCGAGGCGGTGATTTGCTCTTCGTCCCAGGTTTACCGGCTGGACTACCACTTCGTCTTGTCACAGGTTAGTATGAATCCCACGCCACTTCTTCTCCTCCCGTCCGCCGTGTAGAGCAGAAGAGGGTGTATGCACTTACGATCGCCGTCTTTCCCCCTCCTTCCTCCTCGCCTCAATGACTCGTATCATCTCTTTCCTCCCACCCGAAGCATCGACCTCTTTACCGCGCATGCTCATGCTGATCTTGTCTTGCGCGTGTGCTCTCAGAAGTTTCGAGATGAGAAGGTGCTGCATCAGAAGGCAGACGTACACTCCACAGTCCATGCCGTTGTCCTGCTGCGGGCAGTCTTGCAAGTTGATGAAGCGGAGAGGTTTGCCCAGCAATTGCGACATTTTGTAAGCGACGAGTCTGGCCTCGTTGTAGTTGGAGCTGTTGAGCGAATCGTAGTGGAAGGCGACGCCATCGATGCAGGACACGAGCAGGAGCGACCAATGCGATCCGCCCTCGGCCACGGCCGCGTTTTGGCAGTCGTTGATGGGGAGGAAGACGTGTGTGGTTTTCTCGAAATTGGGCAGAGCACTCTTGAGCGTGAGAGGATCATGGGTCTTTTGCAGCATGAAGCTCATGGTGGGGCGCAGGAGGACGATGTCGGCTTTGGGGTAATGGGTCAACTTCTCGCGCTCGAGGTACTCTTGCCAGAAGGAGATGGCGTTGTCGGTGAGCCAGTCGTGCTTGATGGAGTCAACATCTTCGCGCGTGAGGCGGACGTCGTAGTAGCTGAGGTAGGCATCGTCTGGCGCAAGCTTTCCGGAGCGACGATAGTTAGTCTGACGTTGCTGCCACGGAAATTGTTGCCTCTTGAACGGGGAACGCATCGCCTCGCGAGACAGCTTTCTTTTCGGCATGCTCGTGTTGTCGGGGATGGACAGTGGTATCGAGTGGGGGAGAAGGGAAGAAGTCTGAAGAAAATTGAAAATGGGCGCTCACCGAATCTCCGAAATGTCTACTCACACGGCCACCTATTACCATTCTCAGCGAAGCTTCAGGCACACACCAACCACTACCACACCACCTCCATCGCCATACCAAATGGGTGGAAACCGGAGCCCGAAGTGCGGCCAGACGACGACGACGGCGATGGATTGTGCTTGGTGAGGGGCATCGTTTTAGCCTTTTGCACGGCCGTTGCGGAGATGCGTCGCAGGCACACGGGTGGCTCTCGAGGCGGAGGGAGGAGGAGGAGGAGAAGTCGGAGGCGGAGGCGGAGGAGGAGGAGGAGGAGGAGGATGCGAGAGGAGGAGGATGCGAGAGGAACGGAGAGTGAAGACGGTAATGAGATGAAGAAGTGGTCGCCGTCGACGTCGTTCAAGGTCGAGTTCAAGGTCCAGTCCTAGGTCCAAGGTCCAAGGTTACCAGGTAGCTCGGCCTCTCTCTCTAGGTCGATATGCAACGATCATGCCTCCAGGAATATGGTAGCCGACTTCCCCACGTCATCTTCACATCTCAAGCTAGGGATCACCCGTGTCCACTTCTTTCTCACCTTACCCTATTCTTTTGTCCCATATCCAATATGTGTAGACTCACAGTCGTGGACCTCGTTTCTCACGTGAGCCTCTCCTTGTTGCTTGACATGCTGGACTTCACTTGTGATAGATATTGCTCAATTCACACATGTCATCAGTGGCTGCGCAGGAAGTGGTTGTCCTGGGTGGGGGATATACCGCCCAGGTGGGTTCCAATAGCTACAGTACTGTACCCATATCTCTAGACTCTCGGCAAGGCTAGGCAGCCGACAGCAACGCCTCTTCCTATCTACTGCCGTACCAACCGGTATCCGCATCGCTTTGTTGCTAATGACGACAATGCGGCCTCTTCTTGAACAGTCGGACTCGATATCTTCCCCCTTATCGCCCGGTTGTGTTGACTCTGCTCTGGCATACCATACCGTCCCTGCCATCATTTGTGACCATCGACCGTAGCATAGCCCCACGTAGCAGTAAAGCGGCAGCTTCAGGATTCATTTCCTCGCTCACATCCTTAGCGACCCCATCATTCTTCTGTTTCTCACTCTTTGATCACCCCTTTCTCACCAGCTCCAACATCAAACCATATGGCTTGGCAACAAAAAATTGGCAATGCCCTCTTTAACGGCATACTCATGCCCACAATTCCCACAAACCAATTTCCCACTTCGAATACTCGTCTCCATAAACAACAAATGCAAATCCTTCAAAACCTGCGTCGGTTCTCCTTCTTCTTGTCCCTCACCACCACCACTCATCACCATCAACGCCTCAGCCTCGGGTACTTCAGCCGGTAAATTCGGTAATCCCAACTATCAACAGAGTCAGCGTATTCATACACACGCACACAAATATATATATATATATATATATATAGTAACCACCTCAACAAAGATGTGGTTCAAAAAAAATACGCACTTCATTCGCAACAGTCTTCATCGCCGTCCAATCAAGACGAGGAAGGATATTCTTGATAAACAGAGGATTCAAGTCGAGTTCGATTTGCTCCAGTTCGGCTTCTTGCGGATGGAGAGGAAATGCTGCGGGAGAGGATTTGCAGGTTTTGCGCGCGCAAGTGAGGAAGTTGAGGGTGAGGAGTTTCATTGTGTTTTTTCTCTTTCGTCTTTTCTCTTCTTTGGCCTTCTTCTTCTGGCTTGCTTGTGGGACGTGAGAATTGGGTTTTTTGGAGGGTCTCTTGCGATTGTTTGTGTGTGTGTCGTGTTTGCTGTTCTCGTAGTCGTTTTCGCCGTGAGGTCGTCAGGTCTCGAAAATACCTATCTTCACCTACCTGGTACTTTTTTTCCCGGGGTAGGTAATGTAGCTGGAGAGTGCCCGAGAGCCTAAAGTCACGCCTCTTGCTAAATTTCGGCAAGCACAACCCGAATCGACGACCAACCAGCCACGACTTTTGCCAGCCAAGCTCCGCAATATCAAACGCTCGGGCTCCATCCATCCACCACCTAGCACCTTACCTAACCACCGTACATACTCTACAAGAAAAAGTTGCTACCTGACCTTACCGACCAAACACCTCCACCACCTATCCGAAAAAAAAAGCAAGCAAGCAAGCCAAACATGTCAGCAGCACCCTCCCCACCCACCAACGGCGCCGCCGCTTCCGCAGCCGAATCCCGCGATCCCTCAGGTTTTCTGAGCGAAATTATCGGAGCGCCCGTCACTGTTAAGTTGAATTCGGGCGTGGTCTACAAAGGTACATATGTATTCATCCATGATTTGTTCATCGATATTGCGTTTCTTTTGAGAGAGAGAGAGAGAGAGAGACAACTGAACGCACTTTGATGAAATGATGGACTGAACGACGAACTGACGCGTTCTGTTGTATAGGAGAATTACAATCCGTGGATGGATATATGAATATTGCGTTGGAAGATACCAAGGAATTTGTGGAGGGGAAGATGAGGAGGAATTATGGGGATGCGTTTGTGAGGGGGAATAATGGTATGTTTTTTTTGGTTTTGGGTTTGGTTTTTTCTTTGAGGAAGGGGGGTCTTTGGGGTCATACCCGCTTGATGATGTTTCTGTTACTGACTCGTTCGTCATCTTTCTAGTCATGTACATTTCGGCAGATGCGGCACAATGATTGGGGTGGAGATGAAGAAGATGAAGATGAAGATGTTATTGCAGGAGTACCTGTGAGAGACGGGAGATGGACTGGGCTTGGCAACTTCCCGTCTTGTGGTATGGTTCAGTCAGGGCTGGTGAGAACAGAGGGCGCAGACCGCCTACTCGCTGAAAGCACGTTCCAAAGGTAAGAGGTAGTAAAAGCTACTACTACTACTACTACCTACCTATACCGACTCGGAGGATCTTCCGAACTCGCAATACGAATCACGCAGTACGATCCACCTCAGGTCGCTGCACACCCATCAACTCCTCCCTTCCTTCCCGGGGAATCTTACTCGTCCACACCATATGCGTATACCCATGAACAACCACCTTCCCCTCCCCGTCCCTCTCCGCATCCGCATCATCTCTGATCGCCTCCATCAACACCCTCTTCACCCTCTCCCGTCTCTCCCCCTCCAACTCAGCAATACACCCCAACGTCGCAAACCTCTCCCACACCTCCTCCGCCCGCAACGCCACCGCAAACCCTTCTTCCTGCTGCACCTCGCCCACGGGCAACGAAAACATCTGATCATCTCCCCTCGCAATCAGCAACGACAATGGAGTCTTCTTCACTTGCGCATCGAAGATGTTCTTCCATTCTAAATGTCGATACCGGGGAACTGTGTCGTGACTCTCTTCGCTGACGGACCAGACGAGATTTTGCGCGATGGTCTCCCAGGATGATGAGGCGCGGTGGGAGCGGGGCGCGTTGTAGTCTTCTGCGTTCCAGATGAGACCTAGAACGCCGTGGGGGCGGAGGATGCGGTGGATTTCTTGTAGAGAGGGTTTGGTGGCGAACCAGTGGAAGGCCTGTTTGGGGGGGAGAGAGAAAGGTGAGAGGGGGGATATTGGGTTTGGGGGATTTGTCTTGAGGGAGAGATGAAGGAGGAGGAGACTTGTTGATTTGAAAAGGTAATGAAGCTTTGAGGTGGGAGAAGGGAAATAACAGTCTCAAAGGTGTAAAAGTGAAATTGAAGAAGACTGGTGTGTTGTACTACCTTACATACCTGAGCGACAAAAACAGCATCTACACTCTCATCCTCTATCCCAGACATGTCATGCGCCATCCCCTCCATCACCGTCACACCCTTGAGCTGCTTGGACGCAAGAACTTCTCTCATCTGCTCATGAGGCTCCACAGCCAGAATCTCAAACTCCTCTTCATCGCGACCCGCCAACAATTCCGTGAACTTCCCAGTCCCAGCTGCCAAGTCCACAACTCTTGCATGCTTCCTGCCGGAAACTCGCGTCTGCTCGAGGAGGAACTGCACACTCGACGCAGAGTAAGACGGACGATGTTGGTCGTAAGCGTGAGACTTGGCGAATCCCTTTTGTGCGCGAGCATTCAGTCCCGGTGAGGGAGAGGAAGAGGAGGAGGAGGATGTCGCCATGGCCTGCAGTCTGATGATGGGGATGTTTTGGTCTTTTTTTATGCAATGCAATGCAATGTAATGCAGTACATTCGCTTGTGGATAATGATGAAAGCGGGGAAATTCGGACAAGGCGTTTTTCCTTCCGTTCCTTCCTCACTCTCCTTTTTTTTAATAACGAGGTTTGTAAGGTAAGGTAGTGCCTACCACCTAGTTCCAAGTTTGACCAAGACTGACCATGACCGTGCCAGGAATTGGTTAGTGCCGCAAAAAGGCGCTTGGTCCTGCAGCAGTCCGTGGTGGCTGCAGTTGGCTGATTCACGAGTGCGGATGGTTATGGTTCGGCTGATGATGGGTTGTTTGTTTGTAGTTGCCCTGTTTCAGCAGCAGTAAAAATGTTGGTCGTTCGTGTATATACATGTAATATAATACGAATCCTGCCCGCGCACTGGAATAGCATTGTCCCACCAAAACGGGATTTCTGGTGACGATGCTGATCAAGATCCCAAAAGAGGACTTGGAAGAAGGTGACGCTGATTGATCGATCGGGAAGCGGAAGCCGAGCGAGTGGAAACTTTGGCCTTGACCGTGACCCCAATTTGCGCAGCGTAGCGTAGGAGGTACGCGTAACCGCAGACTGGGTAGACCTTTTTTAAACATGCCTAAGGTACCTCCTACCTGTACATAAGGTATGTTGTGGACGGCGGTTCGTCAATTCGCGGTAATGCGATGAATGGTACAGCAGCTGCCGCACGAGGCCAGACACGAGGTCAAATTGGAGATGACGATGGATCGTGTCCATCTACTGGATAATGTGTGCTGGTGGACTGGTGTGAGTGAGGTTGCTCAACCTACCTACCTGCATAATGCTACAACACCTGCAGCAGTAGCGTCCTATCGTCTATCCTAGTGGAATGAGACTGCGCCACGTTGGTATATCGAGGACGGGAAGACTCGTAAAAAGGAAAAAAAAAAGAAAAAAAGAAAAGAAAGCGCGCGTACGCAGCCGCAAACAACACAGCGATGCTGACACGACAACAACGAGAACAATGTACTGCACTGTACTGCACTGTACGGCACTGCATTGCGAAATGGCTGGCCGAGGTGGCTTGCAGTTGCAGGCGGGTGGGATTGTAGGTAGGAGGAATACCTACAAACGACTGCTCGGCCAGCCCAGCCCAGCGTTGGCCAGGCAGTTTTCGGTCGGTGTCGTCCGTACCAAGCCAAAACAACTGGACAGTTATGTATAGTGTGGCGCCACCACTACCTTACCTGCTACTGAAGAAAAATGCTGCAAAGAGGCAGGACTCACCGCCACGCAGCCCACAGCCCACAGGCCGCAGCCCACAGCGGGCCAGCAAGCAGTCACCAGTGCCAGTGCCCAGTCGGGTTGGTTGAAATAACCTCCAATACACATGAAATAACAATTAGAGAGGCGATCCCATGTCTAGCCAATGATCGAAAGCATAAACCCGCTAGCTGCTGGCGTGTGCACGGCACACCGGAAAGAGGCTGTCTCCTGAAATACGATGGCGCTAGACGTCGTTTGGCCGCCCATGTCTGAGACTCTAGAGGCAGCCTTGTCTTGTGAAGACAGGCGTTGACGGTGGTTTGGCCAGCATCAACATCTGTGCATCATCATCATCAGCGGCATCATCATCATCATCTATCCATCCATTCATTCGTTTTCTTGGTTTGCCTCATTCATCACCCAAACTACTTGTTATCATTCCATCTATACACTGCGTTGTCGTCACGCTAGGATACAAAGTTCAGGTACAACACGCTTCGTTGCTGGGCTGAGCCGCTGAGAGTCGAGGATTTGGACACACCCGACCCCGTAAGTTCATTATTGTCCCAATTCAGACAGTCAGACAGACAGGCAGGCAAGCAGGCAGGCAGGCAGGCGCAATAAACCCTGCTCGCTGCCCGTGCGACGCTGTGGTGCAAGCATACATAGAAAAAGAGGAGCGGAGTCTGCTGCTGAGGGCTGCTCCGCGCGCGCGCCGAAGTGTCTGCTATTGCTGCTACCTCCTACTGCTGCTGCTGCTGCTCATCGGAAGTTCGTGCCTGATGATCCTTGGATGAATGACTGGGACGCTTGCGACGCATTTTCTCGGCTGGCCCTCCTTTGCTGTCGCGGGACGCTCTGATTGCACAGCTCCCCTACATACACCGCCAGTGGCCTACGAGAGCAGCCGAAGCCAAAGCAGAAGGCAGAAGCAGAAGCAGAAAGCAGCTCGAGCGCTGACGCCGCTAGAATTATACGCAGACTGAAACGCACGGTAGCACATTCGTCGTTCGATACAATTCTCCGTTGGGATTCCCAAACCCACTGGCCCGCGTCCTTCACGTCCACCCGCCCTCCTGGGACACGCCATCCGAACGACACGGCACACTCCTCCTCCTCCTCCTCCTCCTTCTTAATGTGATACCCCGACACGATCCATCTGTACATACGTATTCATTTGGCGCCCTTTTCATGGGACAATAAGAGTAGTGAGGAGCAAGAGGCATCGGTCGCGCACGACCACGAGCCCTGGGACATTTAGCCGCGGGAAGCAGGCATTGGAAACATCCCCATACAAACAACACGAAATACCGGCTCTATGCCAAAAGGCCTGAACCTGAAGGGATTCGGCCGGCGCAAGTCTTCCGGCAACGCTCTCGACTTCGAGCCCACCGAGGGCGCCGCATCGCCAACACAATCGACCTTTCGCGTGATCGAGCGGCCGGATTCCAAAAAGGCGGCTTCGTATGGCCGTGAAAAGCCTACGAGCAACGGCCGCGCCTACAACGCTCCTTTGAATGCACTGCGAGGCAAGAGTGTGGACAACTTGACACTAGGGCCGAACAGGTCGGTCGACTCTACAGCTCGTAATCAGCGCAATGGATGGCCACTAAATGGGACTAGGGGCAGTAGCGGCACCACGAATTCCGGAAGTAGTGGCTACTACGAAAGCTCGAGCGCCTCCGCAAAGCACAGCTCGACTTCGACTCTTCCCTCGTCAGTCGACCAAGAACATCGCGCTCCCGACGACGACGAGCTGTTCCCTCCTCACCCACAAAAGGCTTTCACGACGGGCATGTACCAGAAAGTGAGCGCGCCAAACAACGATCCACCACTACCTCCGCCGCCAACATTCTCCTCCCGAGCGGCACGCGCCTTCTCGTTTGGCAATAACAAGCATGCAAAATCGCCATCGAAAGATATCTCGTCCTTGCCTCCACCGCACGACGCTTCCGCGCCCGGTTCGAACTCTCCCGAAAGAACCCGCAGTCCTTTGAGGGAACGTGCCATGACCACCAGCAGCTATGCCAGTACTGCCGTGCCGACCACCACTGACTTGAAGCTATCAAGTCCTGACTTTGGCAGCGATGACTTTGGCAACATGTTTGAGAGCCTCAAGAAAGAGCCCATGCCAACGTCACCATCGCTACCACCGCCGCCGCCGGCCCATCGTGGCCTGATCGGCTCCACCACGGCAGCACAGAGCAATTCTTATGTGAAACAGGAGTCGCAGCCCACGTATCCACCACGGGCATTATCTAGGAACGGCTTCACGCCATCTCCCCAACCGCAAATGTTTAGTCGTGCGGAAAGTTCCTCTCCACGCTCTTGGGACGACGGCAGCTCCAATGATGGACTCGTGTCAAGAGTAAGCACACCGGGTCTACCGAGCGCTGGCATGGCCGGACCGGCCATGGGAGCCGCCTTTGCCCAGGCATTCCACGGCAAGTCGTCCCAGCCCGGTTATGCGCGTGTTCCTGAGCGCTACAACTCTCCTAGCCTTGGGCAGGAGTCTGTTGAAGACTTCTCTGCGAGTTTGATGGCTGCGGGTGCGAAGAAGGAGAAGCAGCCTGCATATGCGAGTCGACAAGCGCAGGTGGACGATGAAGATCGGTGGACTAGAAAGGTACAACTGCGGGATGCACCGCACACCCAAAGTTTGTCTCCCTCTGCGTCCAAATTGTCAACAAGCACCAATTCGACTACACGACCACCGCCTCACGCACTCGCTGCCGCCTCACGCAATGGTCCCACCTCGCCGAACAGCTCAATGGAAGATGTGCCCGAGAGCAACACGACCACGCCGCGCGCCGCTCGGACGTTGAACGCGTTGAACGATAAGTCCATGTTCGATGCATCGCCTGCCGGTCCATCCACACGTCCATCACGAGCTGACCTCCATCAACGCACTGAGAGCGGCAACCCAAAGACCATGACGAAAGCTCAGTACCAAGCCATGATGCAGCAAGGAGGACAGAGTGAATCACCGAGTGAAGAGGAGGATTTGTCAGAGGATGACTACGATGAAGAGGATGAGGTGGAACATGCGCGGAAGCTGGCAACACAACGGCGCAAGCAGGAGGCCAACATGTCCGTATACCGCCAGCAGATGAAGAAGGTCACCGGTGGTGGGCCAACAGACCTACCGTCTTCTGCGTCCTCTACCCGACCATCCGCGCACCATGCCGCAACCTCACCGGCCGGTATTGGCTTGCATTTGGGTGGCATTGGTGGCAGGCCTCCCGAGGCAACGATCCTTGGTCGTCAGGATGACGATGAAGATGAGGATGTCCCATTGGGCATTTTGCAAGCTCATAACTTTCCAAACCGTGGTCGTCCACCCATGAAAGTTGGGGAGAACGATCTTCTTCACCAAAGACAGAGCTCTGCTGCCGGCTCTGTGATCAATGGCGGTGCAGGGCAGGGCAATCTGCCTCCATTTGCTCGACGACTACCGCAGGACCCGTATTTCGGTGCTGGCCTGGTCAATCCGAGCACTCGCGAGTCCTTGGCGTTCAGCAACCCTGCCGGCTCGGTCGTAGGTATGCCCCCTGGATCACCACATCTCATGGTCCCTGGCATGGCACAAACTCCTGGAGGGGGGCATCCCGGTGGGCTGGTCGGCGTCATTGCTGGGGAGGAGAAGGCTAGAGCTGCGAGACGAGGAAGCACTAACCCTGCCGCGATGATGAGCGGCGCCATGCCTTTGCCTTCAAACATGAATCCACCGTTCAACATGCAGCGCACCATGTCGATGGGCAATGTCATGCCGCCATCTGTATACAGTCCCAGCGGCATGCCACCAATGGCCTCGATGCCACAACAATTCAACCCCATGATGATGGGTGGTATGTCTGGAATGATGCCGCAGATGCCGCAGATGCCGCAGATGCCTCAAGACGGGAGCCAACAACAGATGCAGCAATTCATGGCCATGCAGATGCAATTGATGCAGAACGTAATCAACATGCAGCAGGCGCAAATGGGAGGCGGGATGACACCTTCAGCCAACCCGCAGCCACAGCAGCAGGACTATCTTGGAGTCAACTTCAATGATGCCAATCGACCAATGTCAATAGCCAGCCAACAGGGCTTCGCTCCTTCGAACCAGCCCCGTAGCATGACGATGACCAATCCTCCTAGCGGATGGGGCAGTGCGGCGAACCCAAGCGGTCCTCGGCCGAACAGCGCAATGCCAGGTTATGCACCTTCCACGAATGGCCTCAACGTCCCGCAGACTGGACCTGGAGCGGGATATACACCTTCGATTGCACCGAGCGAACGCAGCAACGTCGGCATGCCTTCTCGTTATCGTCCTGTCACTCAAAATGGCGAGGCTTCCAGATCGCAGAGCATGACCTCTTCACTTACCTTGCAGCAATTTGCTGCACAACAAAACGCCCCCAATGTGCCCGGGACGCCCTATGGCGCAAACACTGTTCAGGCACCCAAGCCGACGGTACGAGTCATAGACAAAGCCAAAGGTGCACCGAAGGTCAACAACCGGCCCGCGGACGAGGACGAGGATGAAGGCTGGGCAGATATGAAGAAGAAGCGCGAAGAGAAGAAGAAGTCGAAATGGAGTTTCAGGAAGGACAAGACCACTAGCAACGAGCCGACCTTGGGCGATCTTTACCAGACCATGGATTAGGAGTCCATGAGATGTTCAAAGGATGTCATGGAGTACGGCGGCGTCTGGATAAGCTTAAAAGAGAACAGCAACACGAATGATGCGCAGTGCATGACATGGTGGCATACTTGCATTCATTTGGAGTCGACTCCACCAGAGACAAAATATGTTTGCGAGCAACTCAGTTTCGACTATCACAGGATCGTATACCCACACGCGAACGAAAAGGCGGGCTGTCCATTCATTTTTTTTAACGGGACCAGATCTGGCTGTTCATAATTGCATTGCGTGGGATCAAAAAGGGAGGTGAGGGCAGGAAAGGATGGCCGGCGGGAAGGAAAATGCGGATTTATCGGATTGAATTTACACTTTCGCCTTGTTTTTTGTACGCCATTTTCGCTGTCGGAACAGATGCAACAGAGCAGAATCATCGAAGCAGAGAAAAGAGGGTGCCGGGGCCTCTTTCTTAGTTGTAATGGAGACGTGTAAAAGAGAAAAATGATCAAGCAGCTGCGTCTAGTTGTTGTTATTATTATGTCTTTTTGATTGCGAACTTTGGGAGCTGGGAGAGGGACAAAAAACAGCATGCTGCGCGCACGCACGCACGCACTCAAGTCAGGCGTTGCGTTGCGATGCCCGAGAGACAAAGAGGGAGGGAGAGAGGGCGAGAGAAAATCTAGAAGGTAGTAGGTAGAGAAAGACTGCTGCTACTACTACTACTTACTCATTGAGATAGTTGTGTTAATAGGGGTACCTCTTTTTAACTTCTGCTGGGTTCTTTCTTTTTTTCTCTTTTTTTCCTACCTTTTTCCTCTTTTCGTCGTCTTCGGAGAAACTGGCAATAACATGTATACTTACTACATACATGTACCTTTGTACTCAACTCTACCCCTATACGAACGAGAGAGAAGGAGAGAGGAAGGTCTTTTTCTTTTTCTTTTTCTTTTTTGTTCTAGGTACAAGACAAGACTCGCTATATAAGGTAACAAGCTACCTACCTCAGCTCCGTAAGGGATAGATACCTAGCGAGACGACCTTATACTTACTGTAACCTGTATCTTGTAAGAAAGAAAAGTCAAACTTGTTAGAAGTTCACTTAGGTATTATCGAGAAAGGGTCGTAATTTTTGCAGGTATCCTCCAGAGGGAGGTTGGTAGGTAGTACAATACCTAGTAGAGTACCTACCTTATCTTCGCTTGCATCGCCCCCACCCAAGCGCCAAAGAGGCCCCAACTTTTTCCCACAGCGGTCGACCCATCTGCTTCTGCTTCTGCCCTAGACTTGTAGGTAAATGATCCTTTCCATTCCATTTCCTCCTTTTTCCGTTCCTTCCACGTTTCCTGCGTCCTACGTTCCTACGTTTCCACGTTTCCAAGGGCAGGACTGGGGATAGCGCGAACTTACGTAGCGACCTGCCGTCCTCATGTGACATGCGCATTGCATGCATGCAGCCAGCGAACGGGCGCCGAACAGGAAATGCATGTTATTCGGAAGAGAACTGAACTCATCCATCTGAGAAAATCAAGGTACAATGGGGGGAGCAGGAAACTTCTTGATGATATCGATCGCATGAGGTGTAGTGTACGGCGAGAAGCCCGAGACCCTTTGAACACTAGATGTGAAAATAGGTAGTGCACAATCCATCGAAGTGACGAACAGCCCGTGAAAGGTACCTATGCATGCCGATACAACAGCCGAATTCACAAGTGGCCTACGCTTCGAACAATGCATACCTAGTTAGGTGTTGATCCAGCTCGGAGCTATTCCCATTGCATTGTGGTACCGCCGCCAACCTCTTCTAGATTGCGGTCATACGGTCTGATTGGAGACGGACGATAGTTGCGAGTTCGGGCTCGTCGTATGTCTGACCACTGCCAAGTGAATCCTCGCGCGTGTATTGTGAGCGGTCTCGAGGATGCCTAGATCGAGAGTCTTGAAGCAGCAGGTCAGGTATACTCTGTTATCAAACCCAGTGCTGATTGAAACGTCCGTAAGCTCGAAATGTGTGGTGGCTTCACATATGCAGGGACAGGCCGATGGATGCATACATATCAGCTGCAGGTGGCACGCTGATTCGATCGCCCAGCCAGGGTCCATATTTATTGCGATCGCTGGCCAATTAGCGACATCGAGCTGCTGCATCGTCGTGCAAGTTTTTGGTCCGTAAGCCTAGAATACGGTCAACGGGTTCAATCTGCGAGATTATAGGATCGTGCCCCAGGTCTCAGTATGGCCTGCTTTCCAGGAGTCACTGGTGTGCCGTGTGCGGAGGGAAGGTCTACTAGAGGTCCCAAAGACTCTCTCCTGCTGTCGAGGTCGCCCGTCTAAATCTGTTGCTGTCATTTCTACAACAGTCGTCGACGATTGGTTGGTTATCAGTACTTGTATAGCAACAAGTGACTCGCACCTTCTAGGCCAAGGCCGGAAAGACGAAACAAGCCCGCTGTTAGTTTGGCGCGCCTGGAATAAGCTCAGAAGAAGCAGGCAGTCCTGTTTCATCAATAGTGATGTGACAGCCTGCAAGTGCAAGACACGAACGCTGGTCATACCCATTACAACGCGCAGTCGCGCACCCAAAGTCTGCATGATATGACCGGCATGCCGCATGTCGTTCATTACCATGTGTAGATACAGCTCCGATGCAACGAGCGCCAATTTCCAGAGTAAGAGCATGCGATCGAGATAGAGTTCGACGGGATCCGCTCACATCTAACCTCACTGGCGCTGCTGTGGCGACGGACGCCACAGGGAGCACATGTCGTCAGTGCCTGAGGCTCGTACAGCACATGCACAGATTCGCCGAAGGTTCTTCTTTGTTCGCTCCGCCCATGGTCATCCAAAGGGCTTCTGTACAGTGCATTCGGTCCATGTCTGATAGCTGTGGGAAGAGATCAACGTACTGTGGTCGCTGGTGGCATGTGTACTGAAGCGAGCATCTTGCCTCGCCTTGCCTTGCCTTGCCTTGCCTGCCTCCTCTCTGCGCCACCGTACCGGAGGAGGAGAGTCCCCTGTAAAGAGTGGCGAAACAGGTAGTCCTGGTCCTGGTGGCTGTAAGGCAGAGACGGCAGATCGAGACTCACAGAGTCCGCTGTGAACACAGCGGGAAGGCCCGTCGCTTCTCGGCCTCGAGTGAGCCTGCCCTGCCACGAGGTGTAGAATTGATGTATACCTTATTCCTGAAGCCTCCTACAGAAACTGCAATCGGCTGGGGTGCCGCGCGGTACGTGCCGTGCGAGCGAACCACTCACAGGCGCGCGTCGGTGCGATGGTGCGTAGAAGTGAAGATGGTCTGCAGATGCTGTTCCAGGCATTCGCATTGCAGGCAAAAGATGCAAGGAAGGCGCAGGAACAACGGAGTCAAAGCCGCGGAGGTGCCCTGAGCGCTGCGCAATCTAGTACGTCAGCCAGCACCAGGCTCACCAGCAACAGCCGCAAGTAGGTACCTTATCTGTACCTAGCTGGTAGCCTGAGCAAGAGCACGACGGGAGCATGCTCCGTTGTATACGGCAGCACCTGGAGAGACCCGTGGACGGCTGGTAGGGTCACTAGGGTGGGTGGTGTGAGAGCACCTTAGTCTCCCAGAGTACCGAGAGAGCCTGGAGGTTCTGGACTGGACGACGACTACTCCCTGACCTACCACCTACTGTACAGACTGTACAGTACACCTGGCCCCTCAGCACCTTCCTGCGGCTGCTTCATGATGATTGGTCACCGACAGTGCAGTGCAATGCTGTGCTGTGTTGTCGCTTGGGCTGTGCTGTGGCCGTTCGGCCAGGCCCCTCCTCCTCCTCTTCTCGCAGCAGCAGCAGCAGCAGCAGTAGCGGTCCCTGAGAGGCTGGTCACTGGTCAGACACTTTTCTTCACGCCCCGTCCAACACTGCCGCTGTGGCTGTCCTGCTGCAACACGGGCGGCGGCGTCTGTGGCTGTTGGTCCACGGCAAGGGGATGCCACTCGCCTGACACGATTCGCTCATCGGCTGCCGCTATAGGGAAATAATACCAACATTCAACGTACCGCCCCCCTGGTCTATGCTACTAGTGCAGCGGCATGTCCACTGCGCGCTGCACTGCTGCAGCATCGACGAAAGTTGCGTGCAGGCGAGTAGGTCGCGTGTCTGGCGTGGACGAGAGTGCGGGCGGGCGTGCGTGCGTGCGTGCAGAAGCAGCAGCAGTAGTAGTAGCAGCAGCAGATCATCGATATTATTGATGAGAGCCTGCACCGATGACTGCTGCTTGCTCGCTTGCTGACTGGCTGTAGCTGTCAAGACTACTCACAAGAGGGAGAGATGGAAGTACCTTTCATATTAGACTCCTGCGGAACAACCGACCCTGGAAGCATGTCACAGCCGTACTTCTTCGGCTGCGAAAACCGCCCTGCAGCACGTAGTGGCGCATCTGTGCATGCCGTGCGGACCCTCGCGCTTGCACTTGTGAGGAACCGTTTCGTCAACCATGGCTGACGACCGACGACTCGTGTCCGCCGGGCAGCGGGCTTTCTTAAACTTCCAGAGAGCATGAGTGCAAGCCTAGTTTTCATAAACTCTGCGGCTTCTTCTCGCTGTCGTTCAACGCACGTCGACTCGTCTCGACTCCTCGGCCAATATTCTTCGTTCTTTCACCTTCTTCTTCTTCTCCGTCTTCTTCTTCTTCCTCATCATCATCATCTTCATCATCGTCAGCAGCAGCAGCATACTCCCCAGCCCATACAGTACATTACCCCGACACAATGGCCGATTTAATGCCTTCTCGGTCGCAGGAAACCGACGTCTCTCCCAGTTATCATGGTTCAGTGCACCAAGGACATCAGCAAAGCAGGTAAGGCCAGACGAAGATGGACGAAGATGGACGAAGATGGACGAAGACGGACGCTGTGACCCGTCAGTCTCGTCGTCCCGCGCCTGCCACTTCAGCTGACATGGATACCCGCTCCTACCTTACATAGTGCTCCATTCCAATCGCAGTTCGAATACCTTTCACAGCGTCAACAACATGCCTCCCACACTCCTCCACACTATGGCCAGACGCAGCCTTTCGACATGTCCGCCGCGCTGGCCGGGGCATTGCCGCATACCATACAGCCAGGCCTGGATCAGCGGTCGTATGGTAGTCCGGATCCATCCCAGGCCATGACCTCTCCCGACCCGTACCATCATCAGCAGGCAATGTATGCTCAACAGCGTGGCTCGACTTTCGACCCAGCGATGCTAGCGAGGGCGCAGCAGCATCAGCAACAGCAGCAGCATTTCCTGGGAGGGCATTATGGTGCCCCCGGTCAGATACAGCGTCAACAGCATTTCGCCATGCCAGGACACATGGCATACTCTGCAGTTGACGCATATGGTTACAGCATGGGCCCGGCGCAGTATTCACACATGGACCCACGTTTTGCGCAGCCATCTCCATTTCTCATGGGCGGCATGCCTGCCGAGATGGGTAACTATGGCTGCCATTGTCGTTTGTGGTTTCATCACTAAATGTTCACGTAGCTCAATATCCCAGGAAAACCTCTGTCGATACAGCACCCGTCCCCAACTTCCCTCGGGGACCACCACGGAAACCGAAACAGTCTGGCCACGCCTTGTGGGTAGGCAACTTACCGCCGGCGGCAGTTGTCACTGACCTTAAAGATCACTTTTCCCGCGATGCTACAACTGACATTGAGAGTGTTTTCCTGATTGCGAAAAGTAATTGTGCCTTTGTCAACTATCGCACGGAAGCGGCGTGCGTCGCTGCCATGAACCGATTCCACGACTCTCGTTTTCACGGCGTACGATTGGTCTGTCGGCTGCGAAGAGGAACCACTCCAAGCCTGTCAACATCCACCGAACTTCCGCCCAAAGCAGTCACCCCACCGGCATCCGCTGCTGCTCCTCCTTCTCCCAGTGGGGAGCCTGATGGAGAGTCTAGTGGACCACCACCTATTGCTTGCAGTCCCTCTGGCGAAAGCACGACGTCTCGGGCCATCACAGCTAACCCCGAGGGACCACCGCAGTCTGACGAGAAGGTGGCAGAGAAATACTACATCGTCAAGAGTTTGACCGCACAGGACTTGGAAGCGAGCGTGAGGAATGGAATATGGGCCACACAGTCCCACAACGAGCAGACGCTGAATCGCGCGTACGAGCAAGCAGAAAATGTCTACTTGATCTTCTCTGCCAACAAGTCTGGAGAGTACTTTGGCTATGCTCGTATGGCCTCCCAGATATCAGGTGAGCCGGTCAATCTGGCCACCAGCACGCCAGCGACCGAGGACAGCACCACAAGTTCCGAAGCAGCTGGCTCTCCACAATCCATACCGACTCCCGCGACCGCGACTGCCCCAAAAGGACGTATCATTGATGATTCTGCTCGAGGCACTATCTTCTGGGAGGCCGACCACTCTGAGACGGACGGAGCATCTCCACGCGACTCTGAAGGCAGTACGCCAGACCAGAACTGGGGTAAACAATTCCAAATTGAGTGGCTCTCGACGAGTAGACTGCCATTTTACAGGACCAGGGGATTACGCAATCCGTGGAACGCCAACAGAGAGGTGAAGATCGCTCGAGACGGTACAGAATTGGAGCCGAGCGTTGGACAACGCCTGGTGCAAATGTTTCATCGGCCGCAACAGCCTCCCCAGCCAGGGATGATGGCTCCGGGTATGTCTTACCACCAGAGATGATCACGTCACAGGAGTAGCTCTGCGCTTGCGTGCTGCACTGCATTGCAGTGTTGGGCCATTGCGGTGCGGCTGAAAGCTGGTCTGGCCTGTTTGGGAAAGCCCAGTACTGGATACGTCTGTCGGCTAAGGTAGTAGTAGCATTCGTATTCTTGCGCGTGTTCGATGAGACGCGTTGCGGAACCTAGATTATATTGACCCGGCTTGACAGAGACGCGAAGAGAGTCGCTCTGTGTGTAAAACACGTACCAAAGGTACAGAATCTAGTAATTTCGTGTGCCAGTCAGTTCTGTTCACACTTTTGTGTGCTTTTACTTTTACTTTTTCTTCTTGCTCTCACCTAGGTAGGTACCTACTTTACCTACCTGGCTTACCTTTGATCGTATTATTGTCTCTATTTGGCAATTGCATAATTCTTATCTTCTTCGTATAGCCCAACCTCGGCTGTTGACTGATTTTTCGATCTATTTTTTGAATAGGTAAGGTAAGGTAGGTACCTAGCTCTTGCCTTTTCCCTAGTTTTTTCCCCCCGGAGGCATACCTAAACTAAGGTTAGGTACCTAGACAGTACCTGACCCGAAGAAAAAACAACCATGCAATAATTTATTTATACATGTGAGACTACATGTACTGCGTCACTGACAGCGTTTACATGTACAGGTAGGTACAGGCACAGGTAATGAGGCTTGCTTATAAGCATCATCATCATCGTCATCGATATGCGGTTGGAGGTGGCACAGTGGATGGCAGCACAAACCCCCATTCCCCGTCTTTCCCATCAATCAAATCAAATGCGACCCAAAAGTTTTCTCGTATCCTGCCTTGTGATCCTTGACCGTTTGTTCGACTTGTTCGATCGTAGCTTTCCAAGCGAGTCCGAGGGTATCGAACGACCGTATCCATTGGTTTTGGAGGTCTCGTCTTCGGGCGAGAAGGGTCTTGAGACGGTGGAGTTTGGGTTGGTGGATTTCGCGTCTGGTTGTTCTGTGGTTGGAACACGTTTAGTTACCCTGTTCTTTTTTTTTCTTTTTTCTTTTTGACGAATTCGTGGAACAGATGGGTTTGTGTACACAACATACGCTGCTGTGTCTTGTTGCTGTTTGTGGGCTTCGTCGATTTTCTTCTGGAGCTTGCTGAGACGCTGTTTGTGTTTGCGCTCGATTTCTTTTTCGCGCTTGGCTTTGAGCGTTGTGGACTAGTATTGTAAGAGGTGGCAGATGAGCGATACTGAGGTATGTGTGAAATTGGATGATGGAGAGAGAGGGACGAAGGAAGGGTGAAAAGTGGACAAAATGCTGCCAGATCTGTTTCCTAATCCTACCTGCTCTTTGGACTTCTTGATGGCGAGCTTCAACATTTCGGTATCAATCTGCTGTGACTGCGATTGAGGCGTTTCAACGTCAGATTCGCCGTGCGCGCTCTGGCTGCTGATGATCGATTCTGTTGCTGCTGCCGCTGCTGCCACTGGCTTTTTCGACTTTGTAGCAGGCGCCATGCTGTATGTGACTCTGGCGGCCGCGTTGCTGATGTACACTACAGTTTTCGGAGTTGAGCCCGACGAGGTGAAGTCGCTGTCGATGGGTGCTGGGCCTGCTGGCATTAATGGAGAACAGGACTACCAAAAATAGGTAGTGGTGCCATGGCCCATCGCGCCTGCTCGACGCGGTTGCACGTGCCTGCTGCCACGTCTCCAGTTCCTGCCAGACAGCCTGCATCAGGTAATAAGGTATATGAGAGGATCGTGGGTGGAGTTGTCTGATGACCTTTTCACTCTCCAGGTACACATTGGTCCTTTATAACGGATTGTGTCACGACCACGACAGAACGCCACGCGACGCCACGCTGTCAGTCCCGGCGGGAATATTATCCGTGAGGCTGACCTGACTGGGAGGTGAAACCCTGCAAGCATACCTCCAGAACTAGGCACGAACAAGAAGCGCCTGCGCAAAGCCGACTTGTTAATCCTTCTTTCCTCACTTCCTCAGTCGTCGCGCCTTGCTCTGGGATCATCTTTGGATCCGTCTTGTTCTTACTGTACACACCAGATCGCGCCCGGGAAACTGCTGGAACATATCGCAAGTCCGGCGCATTTCCATCAGCCTAAACACAGCCAGCCGCACGCTCAATCCGCAACCACAGCCCGGTTGACCTTTGCCTTTTCATGGGCTGTCAGTGCTTCTTATTGGTCCCTTCCAACTGCGCAGGCTCGCACAGGAGTGGTACTGCCGAAAGGAAGCCAGCATGAGCTCGTTTTCCAATTCATTCTGGTCCGCAGACTACGCTGGAGGTTCGGGCAAGCAATCGCGAGCTGTGAGACTGTCTGCTAACGTTGTGCAGGTCTCGGCGTACTCTTCGCAAAGCTACAGCAAGGTGTGCAAGAAAATGAGCAGCTCCTCACAGTGGCGCGCCTGCGCGCAGAGGCCGAGGACGTATATGGTCAAAAGTTGGGAGAGATCGAGATTGCCACGAACAGGATAGAAGGGGGATACCAGCGAGACGATGGCGCCAGCGTGAAAAAGGTAGGCAGGATATGCGCTGCGTACTTTGGACAACCCAGAACTGACATGTTCTAGGCCTATGAAGGTGTGCGCACAGAGATGAGCGAAGAAGCACGGAACCACAAGAAGATTGCATCGAACATTCGAGAGTTGGTTGTGAACCCCTTCAGCAGGTGGTGCGATCAGCATGCTGCACGCGTGCAGAACAGCCACGATGACCTCCAAGGACGGATCAAGGCACACGACCGCCAGGCAGAGACTGTCCGACAGTATCGCAGCCAGTACTACAACAAATGCCGGAGAGTCGAAGACCTGGACGAAGAAGAGAAGCTGGCCTTCCAAGATCCCCAATCGGCGGTCACCACGAATGCGCCGCAATCCATGAGCATTGCCAGCGTACCGAGTATCAAGATCGCGGAAGAAGAGCCAGAGCCGGAGCCGGTAGAGATTGGTGACGTTACATATCAGCCGGAGCAGATCAAGAAAATTCTCACTCATGCTCTGAACAACATCCCACTCGGCGAGGCCAAAGTTCCCATTCTGGGCACATATCAGAACATCAGCTCGGGAGCGGATATTACCGAGTACATCCAAAAGCATCTGGGCGCTAACAGTATTGCTTACGCAGAAAGAATTGGTCAGGATATGTGCGATAATGGGTTTTTGCGATTGATTGGCAATGTGGGCAACAGCTTTGCCAACAGCAGCAAGATGAAGTACCAGTGGAAAACGAAGGTGTTCCAGATCACAGGCATGCCCGAGAAGCGCAGTCCACTTCATAGGACATCGACCATGATATCCAACGGCTCAGACACAAGTGCATCTCCCCCGAGCAGTCCTGTCATCGGCGACAAGGTGAGCGAATACCTGGGAGGCTGGAATCCACTCAATAATGCACATCCGAACGAGACCCCTGCCGAGAAACTGCGCAGGGAAGCCCGCGAAGCCGACGACCGCTACAAGGTTGCTGTTAAGAAGCTCGACGCACTTCGTTGTGGCCTCGAGGAGTCCATGATCGATCATATGAAGTTCATGGAACGGTGCGAACTGGACAGACTCAAGGCTATCAAGAGTGTCATTCTGGATTTCAGTGGAGCCGCAAGCAACGTCATTCCCTCCCTGCAGTCGAGCGTGGACAACATGATGCTGTTTCAAGAGACTGTGCAGCCATTGGGAGACTTGCGGTACATGCTGGAGAACTACCGGACCGGAAACTATGTTCCCAAGGTCACAGTGTATGAGAATTACTACAACAAGGTCGAGGAGCAGACCTTTGGTGTCGACATTGAAGCACGCGCACGTGCGGACCGGAAACGAGTGCCCTTACTCATCACATCCATACTAACATTCCTGGATTCGCACTACCCGGACCTGGAGGGCGATGAAGCTCGACGCAGCATATGGCTAGTAGATGTACCTCTTGGTGCCACACACCACCTCAGGGAACAAATCAACACTGGTCGACCTATCTCGCAAGCCACACTGGAGAAGTACGAAGTACCTATAGTGGCCGCCGTGCTAAAGCTCTATCTCCTCGAGCTTCCTGACAGCTTGGTGAGCTCGCACGTTTATGAGATCATCAAGACCATCTATGCATCGACAGCACAATCAACGTCGGAAGTCGCACGCGTCCAGGTGATTCAGTCAACATTGGGACAGCTTCGACTTGCCAACATTGCCACACTAGACGCGCTCATTACGCACTTCACTAGACTGGTCGAGCTTACAAGCGCTGATGATGAATATGTGGGCAAGCTCGCCGCCATTCTCGCACCCTGTATCATGCGTCCGAAGCAGGAAACGGGCCTGAGCATGAACGAGAAGTACAACATCCGCCTGTTGCGTGATCTCCTCGCCCACAAGGACGCCATATTTGGTGAGCTCAAACGCCAATCAAGTTTGACGCACACGGCATCGGGCACGCGACAGACACGAGCAGTCAGCACAGACGAGTCGAAGCGCAAGGAAGCCATGGAAGAGCGACAACGGGCCATTGCGGCCGCGCAACATACCCAAGTGGGCGGCTCGAAGAGTAGAGTGTCTAGCCCAGCTGCCGACACGCGGGTACCTCTGCCACTGGGAGGTAATCGTCGAGATCGTAGTCGCGGTCCAGAAACGCGGTTCCCAGTCAGCACGACTGCCGCACAGAATTCGCGCGTCATGTCGCCTACTACTGATCGGTCTAGTATGTCCACCGCTTCCGGTCATCGGGACAGTTTGAGCATTACTCAGAGTCCTGGAGGAGGACGTAGCTCCCAAGACACTCCCGAGAAGTCAAACGGCTTTCACCAACCACCCCCCGCAGAGGACTTTACACCTCGCGAGCGAAGTGGGACGGAGAGCACGAAACGCGGTTCAGCACAAGTGTCGGCTTCCATCAGTTCGCCAAGCGACTTCATGAATGCGAGCCAATTCTACGTGGATAGTGCTCCTGGCCCCGCAGCATCGACTCGCGATTCTGTTGCAAGCAACATCAGCATCAAGGCACCAGTACCGAAGTATAAGCTCAATCAAACGGAACAGCAGTCGCCAGTGGAGCAGACTCCCGTCGATGGGACGCCAACGAAGAAGGACAGTCTCTCCCGAGGTCGAGGACCAGGGGGTCGAATTAACACGGGTGGTCTGCGAAGACAATCCTTGGCCCACAAAGACGATCACTCTGCTGACGTTGCATCGGCTCCGGAGACCAAGGGTGTGCAACTCGAGGATAAACCCATGGATTTCGACTAGGAGTGGAGCCCACGAGTAGCCGAGTTTGAATTTGAAAGCTGCTTTGATGACGAGACATTGTCGTCTTCTATCCAGAATACGCCTGACAACATGCGGGCAGTTTCTCCTTTGTAGAAAGAGAATGCGGAAGAAGAGTGAACGAATTGGTCGACGTGCATCCGCTTGGTATCTATTATTGGGATTTCCTAGCTGATTATGAGCGAGCGAGCGAGCGAGCGCTTCCTTTGACGTTTTTGTACGTTTGAGCGGGAACTGTTGTTGTGGACGGGTTGGCATGGAGGCATGGACGGGAGGCATGACGGGTGCATATGGGGTCATATGTAGATACCATATGGTCATCATCGATATCTGCATCATGAAACGAAGAAGTTATGCATGTTTGTGTTGACCATCAAGCGATATTTTCTGCTTCTGCTTCCCTCTGCTCTAGAGCACCTCGTTTGAGAGGGTCCGCTATGATCCCACCATGCTAGCTAGGAAGACACCTTCCTCCCCTCGACCAACAATTTCTCAATCTTCTCCTTGCCCCCCATGATCCATTTCTCCAAACTCTCATCCAACGCAGCCAATTGTGCTTTTTCCACATCATTCTTCCGCATCAGCGCCTCTCGTTGCTTGGTCAATTCCTGTATTCTGCCATCCAATTCTTTCCTCGCCGCATGTTCGTCTTCGATTCGTGCAATGGTGAGGTCGTGATCATCTTCAGACGTATCTAGAGCGAAATCTTCGGGGTGTTGCGAGAGAAAGTCGGAGGCGGGGAGCATATTTAAGAGAGGGAATTTGTGGCTGTTTAATTTTTGTTTTTGTTTTGGTTAGAATAAATATTGTGATATGGATGTGGGACGGGGAATGGGGATGGAGAAAACAAACTCATAATCTTCGCAAGCTCGAATCTCTCCTCGGAGATGTCGTTGTTCGTAGTAGAGATTTTGAAGTTGGAGATGTAAGGCGTCTATCTCTTGTCGCTTTTCGCTGGTTTCGTGTTTGGTGTTTCGCACGGAAAGAATCGCTTTGCGGTTCAGACCGCGGAGGATGGCGAGGCGCGTGCTGAGCGTCTTTTGGGCGGTGAGGAGGTGTGTGTCTTCGTAGACGGATGCGGATGCGGATGCGGAGGTGTTTTGGGAGGAGATGAAGTCGAGGATGGAGTTACATTGTTGTCGCGTTTCGTGCGCGGCGGCAAGGACGGATGTGAGGACTGGGTCGGTGATGATTGAGGTGGCGGACATGATGGCGGTGGTGGTGGTGTTGGGTTGACGTTGTGGTGGATATTGTCGTTGGAGCTGCCAACGTCTTGGAGCTGGTGTTGTAGGAAGTTGACAAGGATCGGTAGTAGGTCCGGCGCTAGCGTGTTTACGCGATTATGTAAGGTATTCAGTACCTGGTAAGGTTCAGAACTTCACTTCCAGCTTCGAGAAAATACAACATCTAGCTCAGAATGGCAAACGCTTGGGGTGACGGGCGCAGATACGGCGAATCTCTCAACTTCATTGTCATGTGCCAGCAAGAAGCTGCAAACATTATTACACCACGCGATCCAGACTGAACATTGACTAACACCAAGACAATTTTGACCTCCTCAATCACCAAATGAAATCAAACAAGCATTGCGAGCGATAACGCTATAGAATTGGCCACATCAAGTCGCGGTGAACGTGTTCTATCTACTGTAGTTGCATGCCGGTCCAACCTTGCCGGACGACTGTCGCTGCGTAGTCCTACTTTGGATATCGCTCGGCAATATTTTGAAGCTCTTTGAGAACTTTGACCGCCTGCGGGTATTCATCATTCGTAGTGTAGCCGTCCTCAGATAAAATGCCACGGAGATTATGCCACAGACGTTGGCTATCGTTGAAGTTCTCGGCCTCGTCCTGGTGCTGTTGCATTTCGCTTGCGGAAAATTTATAAGGACAATTTCTATCGAGGCCAAAATGTGACCATTCGCTGCCTAGACTTAGCAAGTACGGCCGACATGTTTTAGTAGATTTCACATACTTTTGAACACGTAACAGGGTCTCGTTGAAGGGGTAAAGAGTGTTGTCCCAGGTTGCATTGGCGAACGCTTCCAACTGCTTCAGTGTCTGCCCATGCGCTGTTTGCATCATTTTGATCAAAGGTGGGTTAATGCTTGCTGTCTCGGCCTCGTACGCAGTGATTAAGATGGACTGCGATACTTGGTATCGAAGTTTTTCTTTGTCGGCCTCGTCGAGACTTTTGAAGTTTTGGGGCAGTTTCATCATTATGTCGACCCCGTAGTCAAGCATAGATGGTGGATTGATTCCAATGAAAGGTGGAATGATCCACGCTCCCTGCCAGTCAATGATGGCGGTGATGTTGGCCTCTTCGTCGACATATATGTTGCCAGTATGAAAGTCAGGGTGCCAAAATCGCGGCCTCGTCAAGTCTTCGTCTCGAGGGACAATGTCTGGGATAACGGCCTTGAACTTGTTGAGCGAAGCGATATGAGCATCCGCAGAATCCTGCAGAGGACCTGCGTGCTGCCATGGTTGACGTGACTGTGGATGACGGTGGGAAAACTTTCTCAGCCATTCGATTTCCCTATCAGCAATAGATTGGAGATAGTCTGTCGACGACGTCCCTGCCATGAATTAGCAACGTGTGAATTTGACGCAGCTGTGAAGTACCCACACGGCCCTTGATGGCCCATTGAGGCTCGTTCATCCTGCCAAAATTCCCTTCTCGTAATTGGTCCGATGCTAAAGCGGTGAGCGCTCTCGATGTTCCTGTCATTCATGATAGGTTTGCACCCAGAGATGCCAGGATCGCCAAAGTACAGCGACCCAATCCTGCGTACCTACGATTAAAGAGGCCCATTAGGAGATGGTGGTGATGATGATGATGATGCTCACATGTCAAAGGGCGTGCTCATCATCTGTGCTTGGACATCAACAATCCCCCGAACGACATGAACTTTTTGCTCGAGTGGGAGGCCATGCCAAACTGAGCTTAATTGTGAGCCCTTTGCCTCTTCCATGAGAATATACTCGGACTCGACTACATTGTCCTTTGTATCGCTCCAACCCAAGACTTTCGGAACGGGCAGATTCAGAACAGATCTCGCATACTCCATGGTTGCGGCCTCTGATGATGTTGTTAATTTTGCCGGTCCGGCATTTGGATGGGGTACTTTGGCGATGATAGTGCGGCCGTCATCCATTTTCAGTCGCAAAGCTTTGTTGAAACCACCTTCCCCAATCTTTTCCAGTGAGGTGCAAGATTCTGCATGCAGCGCGCGACAAGCCGTCTGCTTCAACGCCTCGACATTGAATGATATGGAGCGGGCTGCTAACTGTGCCTCTTCATTCCACAGCCATCTGCCACTTGTGTAATTGAACACAGGGTCCATCTCAGCAGTGCGCATCGTTTTCAGACCTCGCGTGAGACGAGTGAGGAATGGTATGCGGCGCATAGTGTGGATGGTGAAAGGAAAGTTAGGTACGGTGAGATTGGAATCGAAGGTTGACCTTAGGAGGAGGTACATGTAGGAGGTACGCTCAGGGCAGGGTGGGGCCAAAGTTTCGGTTGAGGTCATGTTTTTTCGGGTCCAAAAGATTGTTGACATGCAGCTGCCCATACATACACGTTACCTAGTACCTGCTTACTATATTACCATATCACTCCTTGTCCCAACTACCTCCAGAGGCTGGCTAGAGGAGGACGAGGAGGATTGTAAGTGAATAGTAGTAGACGAGCTGGAATGTCCCTTCGTCCTTTCTCTTCCACTTCGACTACCATCTTCACCAGGCACTTCTTCGGCCGTACAAGTACTTCTCGTTCTAGTTCTAGCACCTGCTCCTTCGTTCCACCCTCACACTCTCGCTATCCGCACTTCCAGACAACCACCTGCACCTCTCGACGACTCCTACCACTACCACTCCTTACCCTCCCTCGACATCGCCAACTCTCCTCTTCTCCGCTCTCGTACACTTCCGACATGGCGACCCTCGGCAGCGCCTCGAAGAAACACAAAGTCGCCATTATCGGCTCAGGCAATTGGGGGACAACAATCGCCAAAGTCGTGGCAGAAAACACCAACGCGAACCCCGATCTATTCGAACAGGAAGTCCAGATGTGGGTGTTTGAAGAGCAAGTCACAGTCGACGACAAGCAGCAAAAGCTCACCGAAGTCATCAACTCCAAGCACGAAAACGTCAAATACCTGCCCAATATTCCCATACCCTCCAACATCGTCGCCAATCCAGATCTTGTAGCCGCTGCCAAAGATGCGACCATTCTCATATTCAACCTTCCTCACCAGTTCATTGCCCGAACGTGTGCGACTCTCGAAGGACATATTGTCCCGTTTGCAAGAGGAATCAGCTGTATCAAAGGCGTCGAGGTGACTGAGAACCAGTGTCATTTGTTCAGCGAGAGTATTGGACAGAAGCTAGGCATCTACTGTGGCGCGCTGAGTGGAGCAAATATTGCGACAGAGGTTGCGCAGGAGAAGTGGTCCGAGACCACTGTAGCTTACGACCCGCCGGACATGGACAGCAAACATCCCACGCCAGTAGGATCGCGACGAGGCTCGGAAGCAGATGTCAGTGGGCTGAGCAAGGACACAAAGCTGCAGGTACATATCCAACTCTCTCTCTCGGCGAGAAGGCGAAATCAGTGATGATGATCAAGATACGCTGACTCTTACAGGCCCTGCCGGCGGAGTACCCTCCTCTCAATCACGCGAACATGAAGAAGCTCTTCCATCGCCCCTACTTTCACGTCCGCATGGTCCATGATGTCGCAGGTGTCTCCCTCGGCGGAGCTCTTAAGAACATCGTCGCTCTCGCAGCAGGTTGGGTCGATGGGCTCGGCTGGGGTGACAACGCCAAAGCCGCCGTCATGCGAGTGGGAATCATGGAAGAAGTCAAATTCGGCAGAACCTTCTTCAGCAACAGCGTACGAACCGAGACTTTTACCGAAGAATCCTGCGGAGTTGCAGATTTGATCACTTCCTGCTCAGGCGGCAGAAACTTCCGCTGTGCAAAGATGTCCGTGAAAGAAGGTAAATCCATCGGCGAGATTGAGGAGAGAGAATTGAACGGACAGAAACTACAAGGCACGAGTACAGCGTATGAAGTGAATGCTTTCTTGAAGAAGGAGGGTCAAGAGCAAGAGTTCCCCTTGTTCACTGCAGTATACAACGTTCTGGCCGGCAACAAGAAACCCGAAGACATACCCGATTTGATCGAGGACAAGATCAGTGATGCGTAGGACCACACCACAACCAACTTGAACTCGACCACCAGAGTGAAAGCGCCTGCACGCCACGACACCCTCACTGACGAATCGACAGTGGTGGAGGCCAGCGAAGTGAGCGAGCGGGAAATGTTCGAGCGAGCAGGCTTTGAACATCATGATGCCCATGGATCGAGTCGGCCGCCTACGACGGTTCAGAAGGAGTTCCGGGCACAGCTGGTATTGGGAGACACGACGTGGGAGGGCATCATTGTCGATGGCATCATTAGCTGGCGCGAAACAGAGTCGAAGAAATCATGAGGATCGAGGTCGGTATTCGAAGTATGTGAGTGTGTGTGCAGCGATTGAAAGGAGAGCATGTACGAGGCAGGGCAGGATGCGATGTGTCAAAGGAGTGAATGATTGGCTTTTCCAGACCTATGATGGATGTATGGTAGGGCCTAGTTCTAATACACCTAGGTAGACTCAACCCCTAGAAGAGGCATGATATGGTAAGAAGAAGCAAGCAAGCGGTCCTTCCCCCGTACCTATATGTATTGCCTTCGGTACATACCTACAAATTGATGATCCACTTGCAGGCGACAAATCTATTTTCTCTTCTTCTAGCATCCATTTGACTGGCAGATAAGACATATTAACAATAAAAATAAATCAGGGCGAAATTCTAAATTCTAATTGGCCAGCCCCATTCTCTATATGAGTCGGTCGGGTGTGCTTTCGCTTTGTCTTCCACCCTATAAGTAGGCTTTTCACCTGAATACATGTACTTACTTCAGGTAGGTACTGACTTTCACTGCTTCACTTTCAATTTTCCGAGAAAATCCTTTCTCGCAGCATAACTTCTCCAACGTTTTCCAAAAACGTCTATAAACAGAAAAGACAATTTCATTAGCATGGTTAATCATCAGAGAAACAGAGGGGGGAAGAGAAAAGAAAAGAAAGACTTACACATGGGCACAGTCAATAAACAAATCACCACCTGCACAATTCCCACATCCCGAAACACAGGACTGATTCCTGCATCCCGCAACCAGTCATATCCCGAAAACGTCAGACCAAAACTGAAAATATTCTTAAACACCAACAGACAGGTGAAACCCTCAATGGCCAATTCGCGATGGGCATCGACAATGTAGAGGGCACTCGACACGGCACCCAAGACCATGCCGGCGACTTCGGCTCCAAAGAAGAAATCGGGCCAGAACCAGCCGTATTTCCAGGTATTGTTTCCCGTGATGCCGAAGCCGAAGATGCCGGCGCACCCGATGATCATCATGGGGATGACGAGTAGCATGCGGAATTCGGGTTCGTAGATGCCATTGTTCAGTTTGGTGAGTCGGATCATAAAGGCGTCGCCCATGAGGCCTGAGATGGCGAAACCGATGAGGGCTCCCACAAAGGCGCCCGTGTACATGTAGCCGGTTTCGACTTCGTTGAACCAGAGCGGGGCGCCGAGCATGATTGCTGCGAGGACGATGCCGATGAGCACGGTCCAGCCGATGAGCATGCCTTGGGTGAGACAGGCCCAGAGGAAGGAAGGGTGGAGGAAGAGAGGGAAGGGGCGAAGGAGGACGTGGAAGAAGTTTTCCGAAGTTTTGCGGCCGGAGAAGAGAGCGATGTTTTCGCGGGTGATGAAGGTGAAAGGGGCGTATTGATGGATGTTTTGGATGCTGTGATCTCGATCCTGGACTGATGTTGCGGTGTTGTCGGCTTTTTCGGGGGTGAAGGTTTCGGTGTCGTTGGTATTGCTGTTGTTGCGGAGTTCGTGGCTGGAATCGGAGCGATATTCATTGTCAAAATCTTGTTTTCCTCCGCGTTGGAGATGGGAGTCAACGTTGAAGCTTTCATCTCGGACGTAAGCGGTCTCGGGACAGTAGAGGACCACAAAAGGAAGGAGGCCAGTGGTGAAAATGGCGATGAAGTAGAAGGTCCACTCCCAGCCGAGCTTGTGGGTCATGATTCCGACAATGACAGGCGTGAAGAACGCTCCTCCGAACAGACAGAGATTGCTGAATGCCATGCGCAGGCCACGTTCGTGGACAAAGTAGAGCTCTCCGACACTGACGTTGACTAGGGCTTCGAAAGGCGCCAGACCGACTCCTTGGAAGAATCGTGCTGCTACGAGAGAATTATAGCTCTTGCCACTTGCTCCTCCCCATATAGAGGAGAGGATAATAATGACGGTTCCCAGCAGGTAGAGATGGCGCTTGCCCCAAACTCGAGCACTGGCGACGAAGAAGAAGCCTGCCAAACCTACACCAAGCAAATGCCAGCCGGTCAACAGGGCAATCTTCGTGAAGCTCTCTCCGAAGTGGAGCGTCAAGGTGAGGGTATTCGCAGCGAGAAGTGGTGACAGAGTCGAAGCCATGACCGACATCATGCAGAGGACGCCGCATACCACGTCGCGCTTCCATAGCGGCCAATTCTGTACAGGAGTGTCTCATCAGCAAGATGACCTTTTGCTCTCTCTTGCGACCATGGGTATTATCTCTGTCTTCTGCATACCAGCGGGTCCTTCGGGTCGTCGCTCGGCTGTGGCACCAATATCACTCCCTTTTTAGTCCTCTTTAACCGCGACGTATCGTTTCCTCGCGCGAGAGAGGCTACCGGATCGAGGTCTTCGAGCGTCGCTGTGCCTATACGGAGAACGGGATCAGCCAGCGTGTCCATCCAGCGCGTCGAGTTGCTTCGGCACTGTGGGGGAAGTGGCTTACCAGGCACGTGGGCCAGCTTGTGATCTTCCAGTACTCCCAGACCCATCCTGGTGGTGGTGGTGGTGGTGGTGGTTGTCGGCGTCGTGGTCGACGGTTATCTGCGCAACAAAGATGACATGCGCTGCTTGCGCGATACAGAGAAGGTAGGGCTACACTTCCAGCAAGCCTGTCGTCGGCAGCTGCACTTGTTGTTCCACGACTCGCCAACATCAGCTATAACTGGCAGATCCCTGCATAGCGTTTGGTCTTTTGCAAGGTCCTAAAAAAGCCAATTTGGCCCACGGTATACGGAGAACTGTAGATTGAGAATACCGTACGGCGCGGTGCGGATCAAGGCATCTGCCACAGAGCTATCGTACCTTATCGTCACTCGAAGGGGCTGGAGTACATATACCGGTATGTATGCAAGGACGGGCTTCCACCAGTAGCAACGGTCGACAGAGGGAGACGTGTCTGACGTGGTCACTCGTGGTGGTGGTGGTAAAAAAGGACGAGAAACCGCGCCAATCATCTCCCTGGCACATTGCTCACCAATACAGGCTTCCTTGCTGCGTGCCAATACCTCAGCAGCTCAGCTTACTCACTTGCTCGTTGCTGTCCTACCTCCACTGTGAGTCTGTGCCAAGAATGCCGACTCTCCTGAGCGGACATCCGGCTCAGCCTCAAGCAGTCGGGTGCCTCGAGCATCCGCGACGAGGATGTGTGCAACGCTATATCGGCATCACAGAACACTGAGAACAGCATGTCTGGTTCGTGATTTATTCACCTTCGGGACAGGCAAGTCTCCTCTCTCTAATTGCTGGCGGAGAGAGGCCACAGCATGAGTCAGCAAGAAACCACAAGTTGCATCCCATTCAAGGCGTGGAAGAGCACTTGAATGGGAGGAAGTCCACCTGCATCCGTCGCACACTTCTCATGCCATTGGGCAAAACCGATCTCCATCGGTCAACGGCAGACAGGTTCGGAGTATTTGCAGGCACCGTCTGAACAGCGCCTACACATGGCCGACACCCTTCTCTGTGACATGATTGCAGTCTGTACTCCCTTCTCGGACACGTTGTACCCATCGCCATACTGAAATGACCCATCGAATACACGCTTCCTATAATCCAGGAGAATCGCTCTAGAGCACCACGTCTCCGTAGAGACTGGCAACATACACCTTGGAATTGCTCGACAACCACAAGGGCTGTCTGGTGAGCCCGGTGCATGTCGTGGCTGGCGCTCATGCTTTTTTGATGTTTTTTCGAAGAGGAGCGCGAGGGAAGAATTTCTTAAGTATTGCTGGTGGGACGGGAGCGGAAGCGGCAGCTACCTTCCCGCAGCCCGTCTTGGTACGCTCACCTCAAGTTTCTCGAAGCGCCGAACCGAACACCCCTCTTCTTGTCATCTTCTTGCGGTGCGACAATGACATGAAACGGCACGGCGCTATGGAAGCAGGCTGAGCCAGACATTTTTCACGTGGTGGAAACCAATCTTATCACACCCACACAGCACTCACTGTTGCGAGATCCACAGCAGCGCACACAGCATCAGGTCAAGTGTTACCCTTTCTTCTCCTTGCATTTCTCTTGATTCTGCAGAAAAACAGTAAAACTCACGAGCAACTTCAATGCGAAAGACGGCGACAGCTTGCTTCGATGCATTATCATTCTTGAAACTCGAGCTGGACAAGTCAGACCGGAAAACGAGACGAGATCGGGCTACAGAAACAAGTTCTAATCCTGGCAAACCATGTCATCATCGCGAGTTATGCAAGGAACGACATCACATGTATATCGCGCGCTTGCGCTCGCCATTCTTCTTTTCAACGGCGATACTGAAGCACAGAGTACCATTACAAGCACCTCGACAACGACCGCGGCTGCGACCACTGTGACCATTACCCTCCTTCACGCCACATCAAGTCTTGCCCAGAGCAGTGACAATACCTTCTCCACCAACACATATGCGCTGGCCGCAGTATTAGACTCAACAACAAGCTCAATCTCCAGTATTGTTACAGCAACATCCACCATCGCTCACACCACAACAACAATCAGCATGTCATCCAATTCGCTTTCATCAGAGGTCTTGAATAGTACCAACTACTACCGCTCTCACTACCAAGCCAATCCCGTGCGATGGAACGATACACTTGCCGACTATGCCAAAGACTATGCAGAAGGCTGCATATGGAAACACTCCGGAGGACCGTACGGAGAGAATCTCGCCGCCAACTTCGAAAACTCCACCCTCGCGATCGATGCATGGGCACACGAAGAAAAGAAATATGATTACTCGAAAAGGAAATTCAGCACATCGACCGGGCATTTCACACAACTTGTCTGGAAAAATACCACAGATGTCGGCTGTGCAGTCATTGATTGCAACAACAATGCCAATGGAGGTGTGCATGGCGCATATCTCGTTTGCGAGTACAGTCCAGCTGGGAATGTCCAAGGACAGTTCAAATGGAACGTAGGCAAGCCTGGAATCAGTAAAGATGGGACACTGGGTTTTGGGAGCGCAGCGGCGAGGAATAGCGGGACTTGTCATGGTAGTTTGGTGCTGGCACTGATCACCACATGGCTTTTGTTGGCAATCAGTGTATGAGGGAAAGTTGTGTCGGTGGGCTGTGTGCGTTTTATTTCTTACGCGAGACAGAGAGAGAGAGAGATACCCATATGCCAGCGAATTTTACTGTGATGCCCATTCTAAGTCCGGGCAGGACTACGTGCGAAAGTGGACCTACTATATCCTCTCCAACCAGAGTGAAGTGAGTAAGGTATGTAATGTACCTACATGTATGTACGAGTGATGCCTCAGGTACTAAATAATGGCATTATGTCATACCTAGGTACCTGTCCTCATCTCCATCTTCATGCATCACTCCTTCCCCAAGCTTGAAGTGCCTACCTATGAAGACCGTCTACGTTGGATGTAGTCGACATGAGTGTCGTGAAACAGTTTTCCTGATATGCCAACAGTCAACAGATAAGTCGAATCAGCTACCTACTCTCGTCTCCTCCTTCACCTGCCCCTCCACATCTCCATCCAGCTCTAGCTAGACAACGACGGCGACGACGATGCCAGACAGTCCCATAAACCCTCACACCACGCATCTCCACCCCTCCTCTCCTCCATCAGACAAACCATGGCGAGAAACTCCCCTCATCGAAAGCCCCAAACTCTCTCTCGCAGCAGGCTGGTATCTTCCACCCTCTCCTCCCCCATTCCCCGCAGGCACCTAACCTACTAAAACTACCACCGTCCATCTCTACAGTAGAATCCTCCTGAAACTCGAAAACCTCCAACCCTCAGGCTCCTTCAAAATCCGCGGTCTAGGCAACCTCGTCCTCAAATCTAGCAGAAGCACCTCCACCTCCGCCTCCGCATCATCAACATCAAAACCCACGCACTTTTTCTCCTCCTCCGGCGGAAACGCCGGTCTTGCAGCCGTTCTCGCAGCCCAATTCGTCCAGCGACCATGTACAGTCGTGGTACCGCTGAGCACGTCTGCGATGATGATTGAGAAGATTCGACAAGCTGGGGCGAGGGAAGTGGTGCAAGAAGGGAAGAGTTGGAAAGAATGTGATGCGTATTTGCGAGAGGTGGTGATGGCGCGGGAGACGGGAGAGGAAGAAATTGGGGTGTATGTTCCGCCTTTTGATCATCCGGATATTTGGGAGGGGAATGGGAGCTTGGTGGAGGAGATTGGGAGGCAGATGGGCGTAGAAAAAGGAGGAAAGGGCCCAGACTGGATCATCTGTTCAGTAGGTGGAGGCGGGCTGTTCTGCGGCATCATAGAAGGCGTCCAAAAGGCAGGCTGGGAGAAAACCACCAAAGTCCTCGCCGTAGAAACCTCCGGCGCAGACTCCTTGAATCAAAGCCTACGCGCCGGGAAACCCATCACCCTCGAAGCAATCACATCCATTGCCACCAGCCTCGGCGCCGTACGGGTCGGCAATCACACCTTCGACCTCGCCCACCACGGCGTCCAAAACGGCACCGTCAAAACCACCGTCCTGACCGACGCCGAAGCCGCCCTGGGCAGTTGGAAATTGCTCCAAGACGAAAACGAAACTTACCTCGTCGAAGCCGCTTGTGGTGTCAATATCGCTCTGTGCTACGGTGGGAGGTTGGAACAGGCATTGGGGAGGAAACCACGCCCGGATGAGACGGTGGTGATTGTGGTGTGTGGGGGGTCGAATGTTTCGAGGGATATGGTGGAGGGGTGGAAGGGGGAGTATGGTTTGGATATGTTGTAAGTTGTAATTCAGGGAAATAATGAAGATATGGATGTACTGGGGAGCTACATGCACATTTACATCTTTCTCTGGGTAGGAGCCAAGAAATAGATAAAATAGATTATTTGCCTTCTAGGTTGCTACGTTGCTAGGTACACTGTCTATTTACCTACTTGCTGCTATATATATATATATATATATTGATATCCTACTTGAACAAACCCGAGGACACTCCCGTCTCTTCTACCAAGTTACCGATTTTCTCATGTAAATGGCTACTCTTTTTTGTACTCGAATGGAAAGATGGATAAAGTATATAGAGATAATTACTACTAAGTCAAAACTACATGTAACGCTCGCTATCTAGTAGGGGTATCTCTCTGTCTCTCTCTGTCTCTTACTCTCTCTTACTCTGCCTCTGTATCTCTCTTAGGTACTCTCACTCGTTTGTTCAATGTCTCTCTCTCATCTATATTTCTGAAAAAAGAAAAAAAAAAATAAAAACGTCCAAAACAACCTGTACAATGTATAATGCGTCTTCTACGCGGTGCTAATCCCACACGGGTATTCATGTTTTCGTTCATTGTGTTCGTTCATACGCTTCATGTATATCTTTCGTCATTTGTAGTGTAGTGCGGTGGTTGGATGGAATGCACACCACATCAATCCGTTGGCCCAATGCCCTTCCAGCCTCCGCCGAATCTGGATCGTGTCATCTGTTTCGGAGGTTCCAAGATCTGCCATTAGAGGAACGCCATACTTCGGCATTTTCCCATATGCACACGCCAGGGGGGACGTTTCATGTTTCATCATTTCAAGGTCCGTTGGGGGCGTCGGTCCCACGTGCAAAGCCCATCATTAGTTCACAAGGCATTTTCGCCCTCCTCGGTGAGGTGTGCAGTGCAGAATTCAACAATCAAGCGTTGCAAGTCATGCAGCTTAAAAGGTTTCGTCATGAACCCTTTCATGCCCACCTGTGCAGCACGCTCTAGAGCACCATCTGTAACATCTGCAGAGACAGCAAGTACAGTAGGTTTTCTAGCGTCGTTGAGCCCGGGCCTGCTGAGGATTCTTTCGGTGGCTTCGTAACCGTCCATCAAAGGCATCCACAAATCCATCAAAATCACATCGACTGGTGTCCGTCTCTCGGTGGCTACCAGATCCATTTGTCGCACTGCGTCGGTGCCATCGTGCGCTTCATAGATACGTTCGTAGCCGAATTTGCCGAGCATACTGACTAGGAGCTTTCGATTGATCTTGTTGTCTTCGGCCACGAGGAAAGTCAGAGGGTACTTCTTGGACAGTTCGCGATCGATAGTGGGTCCACACACAGATTTGCGAACATGAGCACGTGATCGTAAAACATCAATATCAGGAGTGGATGTGGTGGTGGGAGATGTTCCAGAAGAAGAAGAAGAAGTGTCGCTTTCGGCCAAGATGACAGCGTCATGTAATGATGCGTTCGAAATGATCAACTGTGGTGATGACGGAGAACTAGGCATCCGCAGATGCAGATGCGATCCCTGCTGGCTGTAGAACTTCGACCCTTGGCCGACTGCTTCGTGCAGCGCGCGTGACAGTGTGCGCGGACTGCTTGGTGCTGCAGAAAGTGGCTTGATGTGAGGTGTATCTCCGTTGGTCAGGGGCGCCTTGCGAGGAAGTGGCGAGCCAAAAGGTGAGCCCGATCTACTGATCGTCTCTCCAGCGTGAAGTGGTACTTTGATCTCAAACTCGGAGCCATGACTGGAGCCTTCCGTTTCGGCCTTGGTACAGTTGAGGTCGCCTCCCAGTTTGCGCGCTATGCCCTTTGCAACCAGGAGTCCCAGACCTAGACCCTCACTCGAACGCGTGATGGAGCCATTCTGCTGTGAAAAAGGCTTGAAGAGATGAGGAAGGAAAGCCGAAGGGATTCCAGGGCCATTGTCCGAAATCTTGATGGAAATGAACCTATTCGTTCTGCTCATCTTCGCAACGACCTTGATATGTCCCTCTGTTTTGTCCGTGAACTTGAGAGCGTTCAGGAACACACAGGATATTAGCTTGCTCAGGTCTTTCTCGTCAATGAACATTGTGATGGGCACTGCAGGATCGACACTCCACTCAATCGTCTTCTGTCCCAGCGCACCATCGGATCCTCTGTTGCGTACTTCGATGATCTCGCCAGTCTCGGTGTCCTGCGAAATTGCAGAATCGGGTCGACCACCGACTTTGAGACCTTCATTGATTACATATTGTATGAGCTCTCGCAAGCCGGTATGGCGAAGACCGGGCGCAATGATGCGGCTAGATACAGTCGTGTTCTGGACGACATCCTCCATCGGCGCTGCACCAATCTCGCAGAGCTTTTGGACATTTTCAGCTTCGAGTAGACCGGTCTTGACCTCTTGGCTGTCGCCTGCGCAGCGGGCACATGCCGATGGCGTTCTGGTCAGCTTCGGAAACTTGGGGCTGTGCAGACTTGCATCGCTGGTGTTCCGTGAGCCGTGGCCGAACGCATCATCGCGCCGGCGTTTCTTAGGTCGGTGGAGTGGAAGATTGGAACCGGCTACGAGGATATCAGGCCTCTTGTCGGCTGTCGCTGCACCAGGAGAAAATGATTCGCTCGGCTCCTCCAGGAGATGGGCAGGAGCGTCAGGGACTGCCATGTCCATATCGTAGGCGTGCACGACATTGTCTGCTGCCTCGACTGCTCTTCGCGAGCTGTCTTGCACCGTTTCAATGTTTAGCTTGAGCTGCTCAAACACGGATTTCAGACTGGGGTCCCGTGATGAGTCTGCACACTCTTCAACAGTGGTGTACATCACATCCAGCATACCAACAATGCCTTGCATGGGCGTCCTCAGTTCGTGCGATAGGCTCCCAGCATATGGTCGAAGTGACTGCGCCACACTCACGGCATCGTGGGGGATCACGCGACTCTTCTCCAAAGCAGTGGGCTTCGCTTGGGCAATGAAGTTGGCGCCCTCGACGAACCTTGCGCTGATCATGTCTTCTAGGGAGTGCATAAGCATTTCAATGGAAGCCCATGACAGCTCTCGTTGTGCCGCGCCCTCGACAGACCACATGACTCCGAAGTGCCCAAAGCACTTATCACCATCAAACAGCGGCAAAGCCATGTATGCTTCACACGGTGTCGGGAGCTTGTTCGGATTATTCGTGATGAAATCATTCAGCCTCTCCGGTATGGCAAACACTTTGTCGTGCCGCATGTACGCGCATGGACATCCATATGCATGGAACTTTGCCGACCGCACCGTACTTTTGGTGCCATCATTGGCGTGGTAATGCAGAGCCGCGGCCATCAGGCACGATCCTGGTTCACCTATGGGAGGCATCTCGACCGGGGCCTCCTGCTCATCCACCAAGACCCTCTTCATCACAAAGCAGATGTCTGCACCGAGGAGGTCGGAGAGTCCTTCAGTCACGCCCGCCCAAAAGTCCTCCTGGGAGAGCTTGCGCAGCTCTCTCTTCAGCGTGATGAGCTTTTCAAGTGCATTGCTCTCTGCCGTAGAATACCATCTGCAGTTTTCTTCTTGGAAGCCTGGGTCTCCATACTGCAGGATGTCTCGAGTGCCATGGTGAGGGAAGCAGATGGATTTGCGAGCCATTGAGACTGGCCCGTCTCTGTTCATCGCTATCGCTCTCTGCTCGCGACGTGGGAGAGTTGGGGCGCACGCATTGAATCGCCCGGCCGAACAGCACTTCGAAGTTGGCTCACGCTCTGAGAGCAGGTCGTTCGCGATGCACGATCGCGGGAGTAGCGGTGGCGATGAACTAGTGCGTGATGAGTACAGTACAGGTCAGGACAGGACAGGACAGTGGATGCAGTCTGTCTGCAGTCTGCAGTCTGTAGGTCTCAGGTGCAGCAGGTGAAAGTGGTCAAAATTCCAACGGTCCCAGCAAATTGGTCAGTGTGGCTGCGGAGGGTGGGCTCATCGGACGCAGCACAATCACGGGGAAGATCTGCGTGGTTGGGTTCCTAGTCTTGAGCGTGCGCCGGCGGTATGCACCGGTGGGGGTGGGTGCGCACGGGTCTCTGGTCGGTGGCGGTGGTGCAGGCGGTGGTGCAGGTGGTGGTGGTAGTGGTGGTGGTGGGGGGCAAGGGTGTCGTCGTCGTCGTCGTCGTCGTGGTGGTTGTCGTCCTCGCCGTCGCACGCCGGGGTGGTGGAGGGAGGCAAGAGCAAGTGTCTCGCAGTGCGACTGGCCGGCGAGCCCATTCTTCTCCAGCAGTGGAGGCGATGTAACATGCTCCTAGCTCTCAGGCTGCGGCGTCACCAGTCTTCACGCGTCGCGAGGTCTTCTGAGGTCTGGATCCATTTCCATCGGAAATCGGACGCTGAGCCGCGCTAAGATGCGCTTGGCGTACTTTCCAATTGCGATCCACCACAGAGAGCCAACCTTGGACGCGTCGATCTGCACTCATCACGTGTCGTGCTGAGACATGCCTCGGCGGCTTCTGCCATCCGCCAATGCCTGAATTAATAATGATGATAGATGCCGTCCGTCTCTGCGCTGCCGCTGCGCTCTCGGTTCTGCCCCGCCGCCCAGACCAGCCAGCCAGCCAGCCAGCCAGCCAGCACGCCGTTTGCTGTACAGTGGTTCTCGTACCTATCAAACCCAATACTGCACAACACCACTTCCCATCGGCCGGGCGTCGCCAGCGCCCGCAGCCGCAGCCGCAGCCGCAGCAGCAGCAGCAGCAATAGCAACAGCAGCAGACCGGCTCGTCAGCGGCGTGGGCATTGTGCGGCCAGGCTCGGATACAAGAGCCACCTTTCACTGGATAAGCTCCGTCGTGGCTGCAAGTGGAGCCCACGCCAAACTGTTTTTATCCTCCTCTTCTTTGAACCTCCCCGTGAACCGTGGCGTGAACCTAGACCCTTGGGATCGCGGCACTCCGGCCGCCACTGAGATATCTCCTTCCTTTGCCGTGTCCTCTGTGATGCTGTGGCACCGAAGACCTGGCCATGTCCGTCGTCGTCGTCAACACTCGGAGCGCGGTGGAACTGATGTGAATTGAGAGGTCAAAGACCGACTCATGCCCTGGCCTGCCGCTGCCCTGGCCTGCCCCGAGTCTCGTTCTGGTTCTAGTTCTGTCTAGCTCCGGCATCAATCTGGGAATAATATGAGCGTCCGCACAATATTGATGATCGTCTGGGGCGTATCCCTGGCCTCTAGAGACTAGGCCTTCTGGACCTTCCAGCTCCTCTTTTTTCCCTTGTCAGGATAAGTTTCTTCGTGGCACACCGATATTCTTCTCTCGGTCACCATGTGTCCACAGGTCCAAGCTCCTGTCATCTCGAGCCAGCCTGGCCTGGTCTCATTCCGCTGCTCGGGCTAGGAGGTAGGAGGTATGTATTAGTTCTACAGGTCTCTTTGCACCCCGGCCCGGCACTGGCTGCTCCACTATACATCCGACTAGTCGACCATCTACTATAGTAGTAGATGTGCGATCGCGCCGAGCTTAGCACGACTCCAGTAGTCCAGATGTGCCCATGTACGGTCCAGGACGACTCCAGACGTGGCCATCTCAGCGAGAAAACAACTGTAAAAATGGCTGGAGCAGGCTACAGATCACTTCATGACTTCGACCGCATTAGCCGCACCTTCCAGACGCGTATTGGCAAGAAGCCTGCTGTGAGTCGTGACTTCCCGTATACGAACGTAAGCAACTCCCGTCACAACGATCAGTATCACAGAGCGTGCTTCTGATACCACTCACCGTCACACTAGGAGATACATGTAGGTACCTACCATATCGGTTAACGGTAGCTACGAGCATAGAAGGTCAGGTAGGCGTTTCAGATTCTCGGCACTCCGTCTGCTACCTATACAGTAGTTGTACATATCATTAACAGATCGAGTGGAAATGCCTATCAATCAGTGCTGTAAGACCTTCCTCAAAGCTTACCTCCTAGAGCGTAGAGGTAGAATCGACCTGTTGCTTCACAGGCAGTAGTTACCTCCAGGCTCCGTAGCAAAATATCGTATTCGCGTCTTACGTTTGCGAGAAAAAAAAAAGATCAAATATCAAATATCAAAACCCGACTCCAAAAAAATCAATCAAAACCCGACTCCAAAATACCAATCAAGTCAATCAATCAAAAAATCAGATACATGCTCTCTTCTATCACGTGCACACGCGACTTTTTTCCACTCTTGGAAAGAAAAAAATCTCGCAATCGCAATCGCAATCCATGTTTCTGGCGCGAGGTTTCGGCGTCGGCGTAATCCAAGGTACCTGTACTTGAATACATTGGAAAGCAAGCAAAGTGGGTATGGCATTCGCACACCGGGAATAGAAATAGGTAGAAGTAGGTAGAAATACATGTAGAAATGGATATATACCTAGGTACCTTATCCACCTATTGGTACAACCAACTTCTCGTCGCATTTGGTGCCGTGAGCACACCAGCAACAACAACAACCAATGGGGGCTTGAAAAACAAAAGACCCCCTACCTAATGCTGTAATCTATGTTGAAAAAGGCTCCCTTTACATTTTACTCCCCAATCTCCTCCTCGCCTCCCATCCATCCATCCGTCCATCCATCTGGCCCTCAGCCAACTGTCCTTCCCACTTGGAAGACAGTCTTTAGAAGATGCCGGGTATCATAGTGTACGGCACCGTTCGGCAGTACTGGTCCCACTTCTCTCCGTATTTGGCGCGGCATCTCCGCTCGTCTCTTCGGGCTCGGTGAGTAAGCAGTATGCACATGAAGAAGAAGTAAGAATATGGCATAATATTGGTGAAGCCGCATGTCATGCAGAATGCGAAGCTCTGTGGAGCAGAATGTTAGCTATTGCGCGTGGAGTACAAGGGAGCATCATGTCGTCTTACCTGCACCAAATCTGCAAGATAATTGGAGTGTCTCGCAACCCCCCACCAGCCCGAAGTCAGCAGGAGACTGGTGTGCTCCTTGCCATCGCTGGTGTGGTACTTGCAGCGAATAAACTCTGCAGGTCGTCCCCAGATGCGGGCCTCGCCCTGCTTCGAACGAACATGGTCGCGTTGGTAGTTTGCAGAACGAAAGATGGAATAACCAAACAATCCAAGAGCGAGAATACCCGCAGCCTGGCCTCTCGACAGGTGAGTGGGGTAGCGGGCGAGATACTGAGCTTGCAAGGTGTAGAAGGTGGGCAAGAATGTGGTATCTCCCCAGGCCAACATGAATCCAAAGTGGTCGTGGCTAATGTCGATGGTCCTCGTGTACCAGTTCTCATTGCAGAAAAAGTCCACCACGTACACGGCCTGCAAGATGTTGACGACCACCATCGAGTCGGTGACGTAACCCAGACGTTGGTATTGATAGGCTGCCCAAGAAAAGTTGATCAAAGTCCATGCCACAATACCAGGACGACCATTGTGGAAGAACTTGAAATCCCAGTAGGAGCCAAATCGAGGGTTGAGTTCGACGCCAGCCCAGAAGTCGTAGATCAGACTACCACTGAACTTGCGGTCCTCCGGATGCGATGGGAATAGGTGGCCCTTCACTTGCGCAAGGATTGCCAGAGCGAAACCATACACATTGACCGCCACCAGGAGACCCTCCCAATTATTCGCAATGAGCGCAGGATCAATGTAGCCATACCAGGAGGCACCGATGTACAGAGCGTGTGTCAATGTCCACGCCAGAAGTCCGTTCGTTTTGTAGTGCAGTTGGTGTCCCGCTGGGGTCTGCTGGCCGAAGCAGATCTCGCCCGGAAGCGCGCCGTACAGGATGGCTTGAAAGAGAAGCCAGCCTGCGTATCCAGCGACTGCAGCTTGCGAGGGCTTGGGTAGGTGATCGATAACATAAAGCACAGGACCAGGACCGTAGTCGAGAGCGGCCGACATGCAATCGAACAAGGAGCCTCCATATTGCTCCAAGGCGACCCAGTTCAGGATGCAGAGAACGGGACAGCAGGTGATGATGGCCAGCACGCCGATGAGGCTTTCCCACTTGGCTTTATTGCTGTGCGCACCCCAGAGCACTGGCTTGGCCTTTTCAGGCACAATGGTTTCCAGTACTTGCTCCATGGTGAGCGATGAAGGGCTCTTCGTGCGCTGTGATGGGGTGTGGTGACCTAGGTAGGGCTGGAATGTTCTTAGCGGGTCGCTCGGCCGTCTTCACATTGATTACCCCAGGGGAGCACAATTGGAGACTTACCTCCTGTGAGGTGGGAACTTGCGCACCAATGCTCCTGGCGCGGGTCCAGGCTAAGAAAACGCGTCCGGCAGAAAGTGCCAATGGTGTATTCCTCGAGATAGTAGCGACTGCAGACCTCACGCGTGCATTGCTGTGGTCAGGTGATGGGGAGGTCGGTGGGACAAGCAGCAAACCGTTCTTATATCCAGCTGGACTCCACTGGCGGGCGGGTCACAAGCAATACGTGATAGTTCAGGAAAAGACGTCGCGCGCGCAGCGAGGCCGACGCTGCGACAGTAGCAGAGGATAGCGTTTATAGCCAGTTGTCATGATGCGTGCACTCTCGCTCTGGCTTGGCTCTATTTCAGCCCCCCCATTCGGCCGCTCAACCTTCACACCTCGAACCCTGCTTTGTTGGCGGTGTACGAATCTCTGGCAAACTCTCTTGACACGGCAGTTCGTCAGGAGACAGCGTAGTGCGGCCCGTTTGAGGATGGCTCTTACGTCTCGTGCCTGCGATCTGTTTCACACCCTCCATCATCCCATGCTCGTAATCACTACTCCAGCGGCCCTACCCCCGCTAGCTGTCAGCAGCTCTTATTGATCCTGCCTGCTGCTGCCCAGTGCCTGCAGCCTGCAGCCTGTGAGAAACATCGCGTTCGTGCGTTCCTGACTAGACTGCATGCGGAAACGTGTGATCGGCCACCTGCCGCCACCAAGCTTCCACACTGCGCCATCAAGCACCACGAAGACGAGAGAGGGGAGACCTAGAGAGGGTGAATGAGAGAGAGGGTGAGGGCTTCCCAGTGTCTTACCGCGGTCTCGCATTCCTGGCCACCCACCCAGGCCAGACAGGGCCTCAGGCCCTCAGCTGGGCTGTTGGCAGCCACGTGCCCCTCAACGAAGATGCACCACCCCAGGGGCGCAGCGAGCGCGACACGGTCCCCATGAAATGGGGATAGGAGGTAAGATTCAACACCAGACGGCCGGTAGGCGCTTCCAAGGCTGCCCTGTGCTGGTCTGCCAAGAATATCAACGGGCCACCATCGTGAATCACTCGTTTCAGCTCATCTACTGGCTGTCATCGTTATCGTTGCATGGCATGAGCTCCGCCGCATCCGGTGGGCCATAGAACCACGCAGAGTCGCATACTCGCGGTCTCGCGGTCTCGCAATGCATGTACGAGCGAACTTTACTTTCACCACTTCCACCCTTCTCCGGAGCAAGGCTCGTCTCATGGATGCCTGCCAGTTCATACAAGACCAGACAAGCCGCGCTGACACGCCAGCTGACGACGCACACAGCAGAGCGCTGCCCTCGCTCGACACACTGACGGGTGACTGCCAGCAGATCCGGCTCCATTTACATATGTGGCCCATTAAGCGCCTTTGCGCTCTTCGCGCCATTTCCGCCATTCGCGCCAGCCCCAACATCGCCAGCATCGCATAGTCAATAAAGCCTCGATAACCGTGTCGAGCTGTTTAGTGCGCACGACGCCGCTCGCTGTCGCAGCGCAGGCGACAAGAGCTGGAACGGGAGAGGATTTTGAAGATGGCGGCAGTCCGACAGATGATATCGCAGAAACTTCGTTCTATGTCGCATGACAGGGATGTGATTGTTGCCTATCTCTTGCGGCCGGTCGACACAATGTGCCGCACACATATCGTGCATATACGACATTCCCCATGAACACTCCACACACAGCGAGACCACCATGAGCCTTAGCTCCCAGGCGCTCGCAGCAATACGGAGAAAAGACTGTGATAGAGCATCTACTGCCATGTTGGCGCAGCTGGCTTGAGACTGGGCCAGAGAAGATATAGCAACCCGAACATAAGAAGAGGCGGGTCAAGCACTGCATAAGCGCTGTTTATCGATGGCCATTTCTTTCGCCGTTGACAGAATAGAAGACTGTAAGACGTCACGTAGCTCGCCTTTGCGCCCTTGGAAGACGTCTCAGCGACATGTTATATCGAGTTTTGGCATTTGGCATGTCGTGCACGTGGCGATTGAGTTCTGCATGTCGTGAAGGCGATGTCTTCAACCACATATATGAGGACGTGCCCCTCTATTCGATGTTCTGTCACAACTGACACGAACAAACAGCTCAAGGGATACCAAAAGAGGACCATCTCGCACGCGAACCGACTAAAACCACTCGGTTTCCTCACGATGACTGTCAAAAACTTACTGTCAGAGTTCGAATTGTCACGAGACAATGCCCCAAATTACTGCAAATCGTGTGGTGCTAAGAACGGCGCCCATTTCTTCTATTGTAAAGGCCGTGGCAGAGGATGATGAAGTACTGGGGTGACCATCAGAGTATCTGTTGGGGAGGCATCCCAGTTCCCCTCCAGGAATGGTGTACTTAAGTACGATACACGTACTCTGGTCATGTACATACATAGGAGGTACCTAGTCTAGGTACTGAGTGGCCGACGAAGCTGAATGTGATGTACGTAATACGGTATGAGAGTACCGGTACAAATGTGCCCGGTATCACCTGAATTCGCCGGCGACGTCTCTCGGCGCGAACCAGTTCTATACTTACCAAACTCAACAGTTCTGTAGTGAGACTAGGTAAGGTCTGATTGAACATAGGGTCTATGCCTGTCGGGCGAAGGCATGCCAAGCTTGCTCAGCTCATTTGAATACGCCCTCGTGGACGTCGGTGTACAGGGAGGCGGCATACAAAATGTGCACAAGGTGCCTGGAGTTTGAGAGCAATCTGGAGCCAAGAAGCACATGCAGTCCTTCCCACGTGAGATGCTCGATGGCTTGATTCAAAGACGACTGCCAAAAGAGCCACGTACGGCGCGCTTGAATCTAGATAATGTATAGCACAGCTCAAAGGTGGCATGTACAGTTGATCATTGCCCTCGACTCCACGGTGTAAAGAAGCCAACGGCACCCAAGATCCTCTGCGATGTTTCCTCTCCACTAGCTCAACGATTCTGTTGTCCTGGAGCCTCCAATATGCAAAAGCACGTCGGGCTCTCGAACAAAATGCTTTTCGGCAGTGTTATTTTTTTGCGTTGTTCAATATTTATGGAAAAGAAAAATTTGCGAAACTTGAGCGCATATTTGTAGGGTGCGGGAAGGGAAGCGGGAGGGAGGGAGTAAGCGAATGGAATAGCGGCGCGTCAAAGGATGGAGGTCGCGCGTCTTGTTCGTTCCTTCCATTTCTCGAACGCGTGTTGACCAGCCTTTCGTATTGTGCACCACTACAACACCCTCACCGAAACGAACCCAGCGACATTGTGTACCAGGTGAATCGGATATAGCGACTACCATAGAGTGCGACGGAACTTGATCTTACCAGACGAGGCTACAACGCCAACAGCGCGCCAACAGTGCGCCAACATGGCTCTTCTGCAGTACAAGAACCTGGTGAATTACGAGGAGCAGACAGGTATACCACTCAGCGCGAGAACTTGTCCCGAACCTGAGCTGACTCGATGGTAGCGGCGTTTAAGGACTTTTTGCAAAACTTCAAATCCTCTTCCACGGAAGCCGAGGACGCATTGGACGATCTCCACTTGGACGGCGATGGCATGAGCGATGAGTACGATTTCATGGACGATGCAGACAATGGTGGTGCTACGAGACGGCGAGCTACGAGATCCAAGGCAAAATACATGAACATGTTACAGGATGTGGCAGATCGCAAGACGAGTCAAGTCTTAATAGACCTAGACGACCTCGAGCAGTACGAAAAGAGTCTTGATGAAGAGGGTGTGTCGCAGCTCAAATTGGTTTCGTCGATTGAAAGAAACGCGCATCACTATATCGAGATCCTGGCGCGTGCAGTGGACTCGGTCCTGCCACGGCCTGCCACAGAACCCAATTTCAAGGACGATGTGCTGGACATCATCATGAGCCAACGCTCGAAGCGCAACGAGGCAGTTGCGCAGCAGCAAGAGGCGGGAGGCGACGAGAACGGCATTCCAGAGTCTATCTTTCCACCAGAGCTTACCCGACGGTACACGCTCAATTTCAAGCCCATCACTCCGTCTGGCTCAAGCAGCGACAAAGGGTCAAAAGCTCTCGCTGTACGTCAAGTCCGTGGCGAGCATCTTGGACGCTTGATCACAGTTCGAGGTATCGCGACTCGTGTCTCAGATGTCAAGCCCGCGGTGCAAGTCAATGCGTATTCTTGTGATCGCTGTGGGCATGAGATTTTCCAGCCCATCACCACAAAACAATTCACGCCACTGGTGGAGTGCACTTCGGAGGACTGCCAGCAAAACAAGGCCAAGGGCACTCTTTTCTTGTCGACGAGAGCATCCAAATTCTTGCCTTTTCAGGAGGTCAAGATTCAGGAAATGGCGGACCAAGTGCCAGTGGGCCACATACCGAGACAGCTTACGATTCACTGCCATGGCGAGCTCGTGAGATCTGTCAATCCTGGTGACGTGGTTGATATCGCTGGCATATTTCTGCCTACACCTTATACTGGCTTCAAGGCGATCAAGGCCGGCCTGCTCACTGACACTTATCTTGAAGCCCAGCACGTCCGACAGCACAAGAAGGCATACGATGACATGGTTCTTGCACCTACCACAATTCAGCGCATGACCGAACTGGAGCGATCAGGCCAGCTCTACGAATACCTCAGCAGGTCCATTGCTCCAGAAATTTTCGGTCACGCAGATGTTAAGAAAGCTCTTCTCCTCCAGCTGATTGGTGGTGTGACGAAAGAAATGGGCGACGGCATGCGCATTCGTGGAGACATCAACGTCTGCCTCATGGGTGATCCTGGTGTGGCCAAGTCTCAACTCCTCAAGTATATCACCAAGGTGGCACCTCGTGGCGTGTATACCACAGGAAGAGGTAGCAGTGGCGTCGGACTTACGGCTGCTGTCATGAGGGATCCGGTTACGGACGAGATGGTACTCGAGGGTGGAGCGCTTGTGCTTGCTGATAATGGCACCTGCTGCATTGACGAGTTCGACAAAATGGATGATTCCGATCGAACAGCTATCCACGAAGTCATGGAGCAGCAGACCATTTCCATTTCCAAGGCAGGCATCACAACGACTCTGAACGCACGAACTTCGATTCTCGCTGCGGCCAATCCGTTGTACGGTCGCTATAACCCGCGGATATCGCCAGTGGAGAACATCAATTTGCCAGCCGCATTGCTCAGCAGATTTGACGTGTTATTCTTACTTCTGGACACGCCCTCGAGGGATGCAGATGAAGAGCTCGCTCGCCATGTCACACATGTGCACATTCACAACGTACATCCAGAGCCGCAAGGAGGTGGACTCATCTTCTCGCCGAACGAAGTGCGTCAGTGGGTAGCTCGTGCTCGATCATTCCGACCCGTGGTACCGAAGGCTGTATCCGACTATCTCGTTGGTGCCTACGTGCGGCTTCGACAACAGCAGAAGCGCGATGAAGCTGGCAAGAAGACATTTACGCATACCTCGCCGAGAACTCTGCTCGGTATCTTGCGTCTGTCGCAAGCGTTGGCCCGTCTGAGATTTGCAGATGAGGTGATCACTGAAGACGTCGATGAGTCGTTACGGTTGATTGAGGTCAGCAAGGCTAGCTTGTATGATGACAACCAAGACCGCAGAGGTGATCACTCGCCTAGCACGAAGATCTACAACCTCATTTGTGGTATGCGAGACAGTGGTGCCGCTGCGACTGGCGAAGGTCGTGGCGAGCTGGATATGAGACGGGTACGAGAGCGAGTGCTCGCCAAGGGCTTCACGGTACAACAACTCGAGTCAGCGATTGATGAGTACGCCGCGATTGATGTGAGTCACCTGGAATGTGGGCGAAGCATTGAATCCATGCTAACGTGCCTTGATAGGTCTGGCAAACCGCAGCGGAAGGGACGAGACTCGTCTTCATCGAGACTGGTGAGGACGACGAAGATATGGGCGACGAGGACTTTTGATAATAGAGTGCCACCAAGAAAGGACGATCATCGTATTTGGCGTTGTTTTCTCCACAGCTGCGGATTCCCAAGTCCTTCAGTTTTCAGAGCGATGGGAAACCAAAGGTCGCCCACCAGCATTTGTGTACTCCCAGACCAGATCATTTTTGGACGAAATATATGTCTGTCTTCATCGGCCACTGCGGCGCATGCAGAGAGAGAGAGTTTTGAGGCATCTTGGCATGATCCACAAGGTCAGGTAACGGGTGCCCCCCTTCCCCCACGCGAATACAATACTCCGCATAGGTACATTATGTTGATTGGCTGGTCTGCTGGTCAACGCGAGACAGGGTGAACTCCAGCGTCTTTTCGCGCGTTGTTTGGAGTGTGACCTGTTTTCTTTTTTTTTTCCTTTTTCTCTTCGACGAGTGTCCTTGATGAGGTATCGTCAGGACTTACTTGGAAACAAAACAGAAATCCCCGACTTGAGATCTCCTCCTCCATTTGGACTGGATCATCATCATGGTACTCCATTGTGAGTATCGGGAAAAAAAAGACAAAAGAAAGAAAAAAGAAAACTGCTCAGCTCTGCTTAGGTTACAGGTAGGTATCAAGATCAAGGGGAATTTCAGCTGACCTACGCCTTCTCTGGTACAGGTACTATCTTTCGTGCACAGCGAAATAATAACTCGATTAGCCGGTCAGCCAACCAGGAGGAGGGGCCCTTTTTGGTGCAGAGGATCTTCACCTTACCTACTTTACTTTATATGCTCGCTTGAGGGTTCGAGGGTTCGAAGACTGAAGATTGTTTTCAGTTGTTATTGGTACCCTTTCCTTCCTTCCTTCCTTCCTTCCTTCCTTGCGAAGTGGTGGCTGAGTGGGTGCTGCTAGAAAGGAAAGAAAAAAAAGCAAAGAAAGAGAGAATATCGATTGAATGGATGAATGAAGCAGTCCTGTGTTAGCCCGCCAGGCTACCTGCGTGCATGGACGATGAAACCGGGTACGTACAACGAACCTTTACTTTTCCTTTTTTTTTTGAGATCCCCCATTCCCTCTTAGCGGCGCTGGACCATCAATCCCTCGCTTCTCCTCCAAGTCTTTTTCGGCAGCTTTTCAGCGAGCAAATTCCATGGCTGCGATTAAGACTTGGAGGAGAAGCGAGGACGGCATGGATGGATGGATCGACCAACTAAACTCGTTTGCACACGGCACAGTCAGTCACGATGTCATCGTCGTTCTTAGTTGCAAGATACGATCTCCTGAGCAGCTTTGTGTGAGATTGACTCTTCCCGTTGGGGTTTCCAAAAGAGGTTCAAACTTCTGCTGGTCCCTGCGTTGCTATTTGCGATGGATGCTGTTGGAAGCACACTAGCAGGTTGTCAAATTCCAGGTTCCGAAGGACTTTCCACTGGAGGAGACTGGCGGCCTGTGGGGCATGTCCTTCGAGATCCGGGTCCTCATCTTAATGAATGCTGATGATACAATTTCTTGGAAGAATGGTAGGTACCTAGGTAGGTAAGGTCATATCTACGTCTTGCTCTGGTCATCAGCGATTGCCTCAGCACTGGTTGCGCTTGCTTTGGGCACTCACAGCTCTAGTACCTTCCAGATTCCTACCGTCCTTTCTAGCTTGTTGTCTTGGCACAGGAATACTCACAATAGCGACTTCGGACTGATCAGGACATCTGGGATTGCCACTGAACCCTCAGCAAAACACATCCCTTTGAACTCGATTAATGAACCACCAAAAGCATTCACGGCTCTCAAAGAGTATTCACGTGTAACCTTCTTGCCTCCGACGTCTCTGGTGGAAGCGGCGACATCGAATAGGGAGAGTCAGCGTCGACGAAGAGACATGACTGGAGGAGTCATGTGACAAGATCGCCATGAGCCGCGACAGAGAGATACGGAATCGCAATCGGGCAAGGTACGTCTAGCGGGAAGTACTTTGTCTCGTGATGTACCGTGACGTGTACTGATAGTGCTGCGGCGACGATGAGAGCAGATCCTCCCGCGGGCGAGAAGGATGCAGCAGAATCACGATAGGAGAGAACGGATCGCGAGTGTCAGGCGCATGCAATGCTAGCACCCCGAGGACCAGGAGAAAGACATCATCGGAGCGCCCGAGGAGGGGGGAGGAGGAGGAAAGGATGATTGTGTTGCAGCGGCACGTTCTCGGGACTGGACAACAGAAGCGCGAGGGAAGAGACACTCTCTTTGTTGACAGCATCATCCCACGACCGATAGATGGGTTGCAAGTAGGCATCTGCCGGCTTCGTGAGTCGGTCGGCAAGGACTGGGGTTGGGTGTTGCTTGCTGGTCTGGTCTCGTCTGGTACACACACACTATATGCTGACATCTAGAATCGCCTTGGATCTTTCTCGATTACGAGGATCTCCCGCCCTTCGTACGATCCACGCGGTTAGATCTACCTGGAGGTCCCGGGAAAAATAAAGGGCACCTTCGCTGTCTGCCTGCCTGTCTGCCTGTCATCCATCAGCGCGTGCGGGGGGATCCCGATTTTACGATGAACGATCTTTTCCGCGATACACATTTCTCGTCGCAGCAGGCAGCACCGGCTGGACAGCTTGATCATCGTAGGAGCAATAGTGCATGATGATAAGGAATGGAAAGTTGCCGCACTCGCTTACTTATTACTCTCACAGGGCATTGCAGACTTCCGGGCAAGAGCATAATTCTTCCATCATCTTGACGGTATTAAGTGTTCTTATTTGCTTGCTTGCTTGCAAGGGTTGCCTCTCTTTGGAGGCTGCAGCTTTGTGTTTGCCGAATGCAACACACATCTTTTCAGTCCCGCTGTCTTGTCCCCCCTCCCCCTCCTCTCCTCCCTCGATCAGGCAGCAGCATCACTCTCTCAACTGTGCCGTACCAGAGTCCGGTCAGTCCGGTCAGTCCGGTCAGTACGACGACGACAACTTATAGGTGTAGACAGAGTAAAGAATCTGGATGAGAGGGAGGGAGGGTGGGAGGGGGATACAACTGAGGGAAGCACTGGATGAGAGGCGTCGAAAGGATTCCAATGCCCGTCCGTTGATGTGTTGGTCCGGCGGCGCATGGGACTGGGAAGAAGCTGTGCCTCGATCCTGCCGCCAAGCCCAAAAGGTAAGTAGTCTCTTTTTTTTTCTTCCATGGTGAACATCATCGAGTGGGTCAGGGATGAACGCAGTCAACAACAACAAGAACGTCCATCCATCCATCCATCCATTTGCCAAAGAAAGAAAGGGAGAGAGAGAAAAAAAAGAGACCACCAATGAGAATGATCGAGTCCAGGACACAAACAACAAAAGTCTCTTCTGCCGCACAATTCGTACCCAAGCTCGCATATTATTATTATTTGCCGCAGCCGACCGGCACTTTCTTTTTTGGTTCCCTACATGACTCTCTCCCTCCCTCACCCTCCCTCTCCCTCTCCCTCTCCGTCCCGTCCGTCCCTCTTGTCTCGGGGTAACCCATAAACCGAAACCAAGTTTCGCCTCCCGCGAAGCTTTCCATAGCTGCCGTACTTCAGGGCAACCTTAAGGCCCGCTAATTGAGTCGCCGTGCATGACTGCACCGTCAGGTGACCTAACTATCTACCTCCTACCTCCCTACCTCCCTAGACCCAGTATGTAAGGTAGGTAGTTTTTAGTTCGTAGTTGCGATACGGGTCGGTAGGTAGGAAGGTAGGTAGGCAGGGGAAAAGTTCCACGCCGCACAGCACAGCCCAGCCCAAGCGCAGCCCAAGCGCGGTTCCAAGCCCAGAGAAAGGGAGAAATTGTTTTTGTGTGTTCTTGTTGCTGTTGTTGTTGTTGTTCTCATCAAGATTTTAAAAATGATGTTTTGGTGGTGGAGCCATGGATGATGGATGGATGGATGGATGCGAGATCTACAACAAATCTCTCATCCAAGCCTTGTGCCTGGTCTGGTGTGTGCTTTTGCGGCGCATGGAAAAGCTCGCGTGGCGTACTGGTTTCGGGGTAGAGGACGCCCGTCTCCCCCCCCCCCCCTCCCCTCCCATCCCTATCCCCAACCCCAACCCCATCCCCGCCCACTCACGTTCGGCTTTGCTTGGTAGTATAAGTCTTAATTAAGGTATTCTTTTGTGTCGTGTGCCGCGTGAAGGTCGGTTGGTTAGTGAGTTGAGAGCTGAGAGAGCTGAGTGAAGTGAGTGAGAGTGAGAGGGAAGGTTGGGCTTTGGGGATTATTGTGACTTGGCCCGGCACTTCGGTTTTGACTGTGTGTGTGAGTTGAGTTGCAAGCAATACAGCAAGCAGCAGGATGCTTGGTATTACTGCTGTGCCGATAAGGCTTTACATGCTCCGAGCCTGCCCGCTGCTGCTGCTGCAGTCACTACCTACTACTCCTTCTTGATTTATTATTTGAACGAATAAAGGACTGCGTGCGGCACAGTGGGACAACGACGAAGGACGACTTAAACCAATCCAACTCACTTATATCGAGAGGGTATACAAGAAGCTATCATCGAGGGAACTTGTCGAATAAGAACAAGAAGAAGACGAACAGGAAGACCAAGAAGAAAGAATATGACCACCACTACCATCAAATCGGAACCACCACCACCACCATCATCATCATCACCATTTGTTGTAAACTTCGACACCGGACTCCTCCTAGAAGAGAAGAAGAAGCACATGTCTCCACGTGCTCCTCCTTCATCCGTAGGCGCATCGGATCTGGGACGTCTGGCGTTGGGCCGATCATCCGGTGCGAGCCGGAGTATGGTGAGCAAGATGGGCGTCACGACGAGATCGGGAGCCAAGCGAGAGGAGGAGGCCGCTGCTGCTGCTACTGCAGCTGCAGCTAGCGCGAGCAAGGGAGAGTCTTCGAGGGGTTCGGCTGCGAAAGGGGATAAAGGGAAGGGGAAGGAGAGGGGTTCCACGACTATGGCTATGCGCAGATCTGGGAAGGCTTCAGCTGCTGCTGCGCGCAAGGACCCCGACGACGATGATGGCGATGATGATGATGATGGCGACGACGATGAAGATGACGATGATGACGAGGACGACGAGGACGATGATGATGATGATGATGATGGTGAGAGCAACGACGATGGCGAGCGCGGCCCCGCTGCTTGGGGAGTGAGGCAGCGGGTGATGGCCATTCACTTGATCTACGAACCATCTCAGCACTCTCTTTCTGAATTCATGAGAGAGGATTTGCCGGAGAGATCGGAGCACAGGCAAGTGATTACATGTCTGTGAAAGACAGACACAGACACACATGCTGCCTCTCGTACTAACATCGGGCAGCGCTTTGTATCGCAGACAAGTGTTAGCCATCTCCGGGCTCGTGCGCACTCAGGCGGACTTGGTGACCCTCAATACACCCGTACCATGCCAGGGTCCGGCATGGTCCAAGCAGATGGTAGAGCAGATGCGCAAGCGCTGGCACAATATCAGAGATCAATACACCGCGTACATTGCGTACTGCCGGAATCCGCAACTGCCGAGACAAGGCACGGATGTCGAAGGCACAATCTTGTCGATTCAACAACTCCTTTATGCTGTGCAGGACACCCTGATACAGTTCACCAGTATGGCGGACGGTGCCTCACTGCAGATGCTGGACCTTCTCCGGGAGGTGCTCCTCCACCTGCGCTACTGGCGTCATGATGCGAGGCCCGCTAATGCACCTTCATATGCTGGCGGCAGCCAGAACTTCGAGTACAACCTTTTGTTTCGCTTCGCAGGATTCCCAAGCAACTGGCGAAGCTGCGTGGACGTCGTCGGTGTGCTCGGCGAGAAATATGGCGCTCATTTCAAACGACGGGAGAAGGAGTGGCAGTCTGCCTACTATGAGCTGTACAAGGCGCTGGCGCCGTACCCGGGTGATACAGGAGCCTTTGTGGGAGCGTTCCATGGAAGGTTGAGTGAAGTAGGAGGTACGTTACGTTCGGTGTCGATGGCAGAGAGTTGCTCTTTTCGTGCGCAGAAATCAAAGCTGACGAAGAGTTGTTGTAGTGTCGATGTCCACCTAAAGAGGACAGACAGCTGGGGCCGAAAAAGCGATGATCCGCGGGCCAATGCCACGGGTTTGGGAAATCCCAGTGCTGTGGACTGGGAACCGCGGGCGCATGTGTCTGGGTCAGTGGCGCACAGGATCGACGCGAGAGTGGATTGCATTTGGTGGTGGAGCACCTCCCACGAGGGCGCTGCTTTGCATCTGACGGCCGATTCAAGGGCACCCTTTTCTCTCCCCCCTCCCTCTCCTTTTACAAATACAATGTAGCAATAGATTTTCGCGCATGATCTGTTTGTTGGTTTCCGTTCGGTCATCGAGCGACTCAAATCAGGTACCGAGCACCTTCCTATGGTTCCACTCTGCGCCGCTTTGTCTCACCTGTCCCATGGTTGACGGGCTTTTTAGTAGGAAAAGCTTCGGGTCAGCTCATTCGACCCGTTGTCACTCGCTCAGAGAAGCCGGCGAGAGTTTGGTCAAGATCGTCTCGTCTGCGAAGTGCGCATGCCTGTAATGTATCATCGCAAATGATGAATGGCGGCCGGCTGGCGTAACTGCGACTGCAAAACATCGTCTAGGTTAATGTACGCGCGCACGCATGTTCTGGCATCGGAGTTAGGAAGCATGGAATGGATTGGGTATAATGAACGCTGTCAATTCCGAAAGCATTACGAAGAGCAGCGGCGCAACCAATGAACCACAAAGATGCGATCGAATGTCCCGAGTACTGCTGCCGAATACGGACAGCTGAGGCCCGGGAGGGGCATGGATTGTCGCAACGGATGCTTGAATTCCCATCATCGATGAGTCGAACGAATGCTGCCCAATGGAGAGAGAGCAATACGTGAGTCGGCATGGACAGGCTGTCCTCGGTGAAAGGTCCGAAGGAAGAATGGTGCCCATTTTGTTGTTGTTCGAGAGCTCGGTGCCTCGGGCCCGGCAGCTATGTATACCTAAGCACACAAGCTTATTATGCCCAGCACCATCAGACGATATTCAATATTACAGGGTGTCATCAATATCGGAATGTCGCTCCGTCCTGAAGGATTCGCTTGCTGCCCATCCTACCCAATTTTGGCTGAAGAACGTGCGATTTAGCCGAGCGTGGGAGCCATTGGACGCGGTACCGATTCCGTCAATGGCCAGGCAGCACGCGTGATAGATGCAGCACTTCGCAAACCGCGGTCAGTGGTGAGTTGAATCGTGGTATGATGCGGTTGCACTTCTGCAGAGAAATACATCTGCTGTCACTTGCAGCACACCTGTGTAACCTTAATTTACGGTAGAGCCTGCCGAAGAACTGGCGCCAGCGCTCGCGGGGGAGCTGGGGCTGGCAGTATTAGTGTTGCTCTGGCTGCCATCGTCGGTCTCGTTGATGGGCTTTCGAAAGCGGCCCTGCATCCAGCATCGATACATCTTGAGCTTACGCTGTCGGTTGACGAGCATGCGTCTGTCGACGGCTAGGTTGAGAATTTCGAAGCTTCTGGCCGCAATTGGAGTGTTCTGGGCTTCGCCCTGGTTGTCTTGGCAATCAGTCGGAAGCCAATGCGCACCACCCCAGATGCTTCGCAACTCCTGTTCGTCGAAAAAGTAGACTCGCGTGCCATCGCCACGGACATAGAAGTTTTCGTCCAGATACCTGCCCTTTTTGAAGCGCACTTGGGCCAAGTCCCCGCGACCGTAATCGCGAAAGAGTATCTCGCCGCCTGGCTTTAGCAGCGTGTAAGCATTATGCACCGCCTGCGCCCACTGATCCGGAGAAAGCGCGCTGAAGATGAAGATCATGACTATGATGTCCACAGATCCAGGGCCCAGCCCTGGAGGCAGTTCGGCACTCGCGGCGTCCCATACATCGGCCTGCAAGATGGGGACCTCCTGGTTGTTATAAGCTGCTTGGGATCGGATCACCTCAATCGCTTTCTTGCTGTAATCGCACGCATGTAGTTTCAACTCCGCGTTGTGATTGTTCGCGAGCACTGGAAATGCAGTATTGCCGGCACCTGCACCCACCTCTAACACCGTTGCAGGCCCGTACCCTTCTCGCGTCACCTCACCAAGAATGGGGAACTCTTGCACGAGCCATTTACGGTCCTTGAAAAAATTGGCCTGGTTGTTGCTGTAGAACTTGTCCCACCACTTCTCGGGCCGTTCGTTGAAACGCTTCTTGTCAAAGTCCGAGACCTGGTTCTCCTTCTGGAACAGCGTCTGTTGCTCAATGAAGTCTTTGTATTCGGGATCCACTTCAACGTGATCCCACGCGTTGTGTGCAAAAATGTCGTCGCCGTCTTCCAGATGTCGCGACCCAAATTGGAAGGGATCGCTGCGCTTCTCCGGATTATTCTTCGAGTCTGTAGCTGGTTTCCGGATGGGTTCGAATGTCGCCGGTACACCATAGGCATCTTCACCTGGCGCTGTTGGGTCCAGAGGCGGCGTGGCCTTTTCTTTGACAGTCACATATTCCCGCATATGTTCCATGCCCTTCGTGAGTTGCGCCTTGGCCTGCCTCGCCCGGCCGGCCTCTGGTTGGCGTCGTTCTTCTGCAGCGGCCATTGTGCGTGTCCTTCGATGGTGAACTCTTGGCGCTGCAGAGAAATTCAGCTTGGAGAAAGTGGTTGTTCACTTGGAACTGACTAGCGGCGGCCCGCGGCTGTCGGCTAATAGCCACCGGTGACGCCTGCCGCGCGCCGCGCGCTTGTGGAAGCAATGTCATGTCTAACAATTGTCTATGATGCCATGGATTACCATAGTGTCAAGAATGCTGGGACACATCAACAACACACGTGGCACGATACAGAATTGTTCACTTCACGCCCTCGACACACATCGGGACATGCGCGTACAGACTGTGGTATAGCAACACATCTCTCGCCCGTGCTACCGCCATCATGAACTCTATCCGTCCCCTCTCCTCCACCCTCCTGCAATCCTGCACGAAGACTCCCTACACCTGCCGAGCTGCCAGCCTCGCAAATGCCTCGATACGACCACCTACGAACCGTGAACGACCGCAGCGACGAGGTTTCTTTGGAGCTCCGGGAGGCAGCGCGAATCCGTTCGGCTCCAATCAGACCTTGACAGCGCAACGGACATTGCCATTTCCCTCGACCGTAGTCTACGACATCATCTCCGACGTGGCATCATACAGCCAATTCCTGCCCTACTGCCGCGACAGCACCGTCACGAAATACTCGGAGCCCGCTCAAGATGGCAAAAAATACCCCGAAGAAGCCAAGCTCGTCATCGGCTTCAACGAGCACATCAGCGAAGAGTTTACGTCGCGCGTCTACTGCGTGCCAGGAAAAGTAGTCGAGGCCGTATCGGGAAACATGAAGAGCAGTCTCTCGGGCGAGGAAATCGCGCATCACAGCGCCCGGCCAGCGCCAGATCAGGACCCGAGCAGAAAGGATACGGTTATGGCGCATTTGTTGGCCCGATGGTCGTTGAAGCCATATCACTATAAACCCCCTCCCACGAGCGCGATACACAAGGATGACGCGCATAAGAACACTGCAGAGACGAATCCTGTCAGAAGTCAGGATAAGACAGAGGTCAATTTGGCGATTGAGTTCCAGTTCTCCAACCCAATGTACGCGGCGGTCGCAGGCGGCGTTGCACCCAAGATTGCAGAGAAGATGATTGAGGCGTTTGAGAAGAGAGTGAAAGAGGTCATGATTGGCATGGGACATGTCAGGGATGAGGCAGCGAAGAAGCGCTCCTTGTAAGATAGATATGGAATGGAAACGGCATTCAAGGAGTAAAATTCTAGCAGGACAAAAAAAGAGACAGAAAGAAATGTTACTATACCATTTTCGTGTATCGATACAAGCCTCTGAAGTGGAAGAAGAAGAAGAAGAAGAAGAAGAAGAAGACAAAAAAAGATTAGACGTGCGCGCATGCATGCGCTTGATGTAAATACAACACCAATAACAACATTCACAAATCACAAATCACAAAATGGGAAAATCAAGGTGTACATACAGATGAGGAGACAACAAGAACAGTGGGAAGGAAAAGAAAAAAAATCAAGTCATGAACTTCGTACCTTACTGGGGATATCAACTGAACAAGACCTGTTGTTCTCTCTCTCTCTTTCTTCCCCCTCAAAAAACCGAAAAGACTATGCACCACCACCACCACAACTCATATCGATCGCTTTTTCCTTCGCAGATTCAAGTTCATACAGACATACATACATACCCCTTTTTTACGTCTGCGAGTGAGTGGTGTGTATGTGTGTGTGTATACACTGCGTCCTTCTTTTACTCCCTTCCATTAACTCTTCTCGCCCAATCATCACGAACTCGCATAGCATCGACGACATCAATTTCCTTTCCCAAGCCCACAAAGCTCGAATGTTCCCACCATTTCTTCTTCTTCTCACTCGTGCGCTGCTGCTGATGCTGCTGTCTCCTCCTCTCATCTTCCGTTTCCGTTTCAGTTTCCGTATCGGCGAGTCCGCCATGGCCTTCGTCGCCCGCGACTAGCACCGTGTGGCCGACCCAGCCTTGGAGTTGAGCTACAGTTTCGCCATCTCGGCCGGAGAGAGTGTCGCTGATGTAGACGATTTGAGGAGCCAGATGGCGGAGGATGCTCACGTAGCCTGCAGGTGTTGCGAATGGCATGATCTTGGTCGGGTGGTCGACGAGAGATTGTGCTTGTTGTTGGAGATGGTCAAAGGTAGGGTTGGTGGCTTCCATGTGTGGGGAGATGGATGGGAGCTCGCTTCCGGGCGTTTGTGCAGGAGTCGAGATGTTCGAGTACGAGGAGCCCAGTGCAGAGGAGGCGCTTGTCGAAGGGAGTTTCTTGAGATTGGGGGCGTAGATCAGGACGAATAGGTCAGTAGTGTCGGAATCCAAGGCTTCCGGGAGGTGGGATAGAATGGACTAGAGTCTTGTTAACGAGAGCTTGGAGGTCACAGCTGGCCAACCAACTTACACCGTGTTCAGTATGGAACGCATCTTCGTCATATGTATTGTGGTCTTCCACGTCTGCGCTGACGACAATAGCTACGATCCGCTTCGCGCGACCTTTTCCTTTACCACCACCTCTGGAGCTTCCTCTCTTGCTACTCTCCGTATGGTCTATTTCAGCTGTTTTGTTTCTCTGCCTCTCCTCTGCCTCTTCACTCCATCTTTCATGATCGCTGAAACCTTCACGCTCGTCCAGCCCCCGCCTCTCCACACTGTGGTCTCTGCTGTCCACTTCCATGATGCTTCCCAGTGCTTTGCCCGCTGCAGCCATGCCACCCATGACCTGCTTGGAAGCGTTGTCAAAGAACTGCTGGGGGCTCGGCGTTCTTCGCATTACGCGCCCCAAGAAGCTAGCATCATTGCGTTCTGATATGTTCCGCGCGGCATTGGAGCTCTCATCATAGTACGCACTCGCAGACTCGCCGCCATAGCTAATGCCCGTCACATCTTCACTGACAGGCTGAGGCGGCTGCGTAGGATCCTGCAGTGGTATATAGCCACCATCTACAGGTCCAGACCGGGGTGGGGGGCCAGAATATGGCTGAGAGCCTTGAGTTGAATATGGTCCTCCTGGTCCCGGCGCTGTCGTTGGACGGGGCGGTTTGTCGTTGGGGTAGTCCTCCTCATCATGCTCAGTACGCTCACTCCATATCCATGCTGCTAAGCCGCCCACTGCAATCGTTCCAATTGTGACCAATGGAACCCAGTAGCCGAGGACAGAGTGGTTGCGATTGTGGCTTCCTCCTGGTGGTAGCGGCGGCGCGTACAGCGGGCGACCACGAGCGGTGCGTGGAGCGGGCGTCCTGCGGATATTGTTCCTGTCGTACGACATGCCGGAGTCTACACCAGCATTGTTGGTGTACGGGTGTAGAAGATGTCAGTGTGACTGTGGAGTGTGGAGGAGGGCCGGTGGGCTGGGGCTGGACAGCGTCATGCTCATGCTGTTTGTTTGGCGGTGGCTGGAGCATTGATGGCACGGTGACAAGACGTTAGCATCAACTCTATCGCTCGCTTATTCCGCGCTAGCGTATGACTCTTGATGGATTAGGTATTATTGTTCCAACGGAATACATTTCAATACAGACATTGGCTCATTTCAAGAGAATAAGACTGCACGGACTCCAGAACAACAACACCAGGCACAAGACCGGCAACGAGAGCATTGCGTTTTCAGAAGATGCCTCACGCCACAATGCCCTCGCCCGGGCTCCAGGCGCTGATACTATGCGGTCCAGGCGCATCTCTCGCTACGTTCACATCGAATCCGAAGGAGTCTCCCAAGGCCCTGCTACCAATAGCAAATCGGCCCATGGTGTGGTATCCGATGGACTGGTGTCATCGTATGGGCATAAATGGTAAGTGCTTCAAAGGAGAGCGAGGCTCAGAACGGTACTGACATAAAACACTGTAGACATCACATTGGTCACGCCCGCCGAATCAAAGGCAAATCTCGAATCAGCGCTTGCTACCAACCCACACTTGACCAGCTTGCCATCGCCCAAGGCCAAGGTGGTGGCACCAGAGACGCTCACCCACGACGAAGCGACTGGCCAGCTCCTCTGTCTTCCCGAGATTCAAAAAGCCATTACCTCCGACTTCGTCATCCTGCCTTGCGATCTGATCTCGGAACTGGATGGCACTCGGCTGGTGCAACAATGGATGTCGCTGAATCCTCTCTCCAGCACCCAACAGAAGGGTGGAATGGCAGTCTTTTATCCCACGCAAGGTCGGGATTGGATCAGTCACAAAAAGGACGAAACGGACTTCATTTCCACCGTGCCGCTGAATGCATCCACAGTTCGGCCACCACATGGATCTCTCCGTCCTCATATCGAGAGGGTCGTGAACACCATGCCGACGGACACACTCAACGACAAAGTCGAGGAAGCCAAAGGCGTGTTTGAGCAACGTTGGCAACTCACGGGAAAGTACGGCCGTGTCAAGCTGAAGATGAAGTACCGCGATGCCCACGTCTACATTTTCCCACTCTGGGTCAAAAAGTTCGCAGCTCAGAATCATTTCGAGTCTATCAGCGAGGACGTCTTGGGCTGGTGGGCCAAATCGCAATGGCAAAATGGCTTGGGAGAGAAACTCGGTCTTGATGAAGTGCTTAATGAAAGACCACACTTAACCGGGAACATGGAAGACTCGCAATTTGCGGATGACTCTGCAAATGCCACAACGCATTCACCCACGAATGCGCCAGTGTCTACGCAGGAGTCCGCAATCGGCTTTGCCTCTCGTGTCGGGAAGAACGCAAACAGTGTCATCAGAACGTCGTCAGTTGAAGTTCCGCCATTGCTGGCATATGTTCAACCACTACCAACACCGACGAGCCCACAAGCTCTCATTCGTCGCGTGGACACTTCCCATGCACTACTCAGCATCTCGCTTCACCTGGCCAAGCAGGAGTCCCATCAGCTATCGCACGAGCACAAGGTTCATCCATCTGTCATTCTCGAGCAGCAAGCTCGCATCAGTCAAGAAGACTCTTTGGTAGCAGAGAACGTCAAGATTGGCATGCGCAGCGCCATCAAATCGTCCGTCATTGGAGCCAATTGCGAGATTGGCGCGTATGCACGGATCACGGGATGTCTGCTGATGGATGGAGTCACTGTCGGAGATGGCGTCCAGCTGACGGGCTGCATCATTGGGAAACGCGCACGGATTGAGGGTACCGCGCGTCAGGAGAGTGTAGCTCCTGCAGATGGCGAGAAGAAGAAGGGCAAGAAGCAGCAGGGGGATGACGACAATAAGACAACGCTGCAGGACTGTGAGGTCGCTCCTCACTTTGTTGTAGAGGCCGGAACGGATGCGAAGCGCGAGAAGATGACCGCATTTGAGATGGTCTCCACAGAGGATGAGGGCGAGGGAGAGGGCGAGGGAGAGGACGAGAATGAGGATGAGGACATGGAATTGTGAGATAGGGGTCAGACAGCGCAGACCGTGTCGTGGAGAGCAGCGCCTTGACCGGAATACAGGGTCGATCTGACCCTTTCTACCATACTCCCTCGCTGTATTGAGGGTTGTATTATTGATTGCCTGTGTTGCTCCTTGGTAGAGTGGTCACTCCCAGTCAGTAGAGCGTCTAGGCCGTGTAAATTAGTGATGATTTCATATAAAGATCACTTCACGTGGTCCAGCTGCCGACAGCGTGGTCGTATTCGCATAAACGTGGTCCAGACAACGGTGCCGTGATCGGAGATGAAAATTGCGGTGGCCAATGGCAGTCGCCAAGACCAAACAAAGAGTCACACACATGCAGTCCCGTCTACACTCCCTCCCCTTACTCTTCTGTCGGACCATCATCAGTTCAACATCTGACAAGGCATCGATGGCTACTTTTCGCATTGCTGCACGACTTTCAACAATTCCGGCAGCGTCTCCTGTAGCCTTTGCATCTCAAGGACTTCGAGCTCTAGGACGGGCAGGATTCGCGACGAAGCCGACACCAAAGACTTCTTCAATGGCAGCGAAGTCCATGACCAAAGACCATATCCTGACATTGTCCTGTCCGGATAAACCAGGCATCATCCACACGGTCACAGGCGTGCTGTCCAAGCACAATTTGAACATTCTCGACCTGCAGCAGTACTCTGATGTCGACCGCCAGAAGTTCTTCATGAGGATCCATTTCGGCCATGCCGACTCCACGCAGCATCTGGCTGCGCCGTTTGGCGACCTGGCTGCCGACTTGCAGATGGAGTACGACATCGTTCCTTGCGCTCACAAACCCCGAGTCCTCATCATGGTGTCCAAAATTGGCCACGCGCTGAATGACCTGCTTTTCCGACAGAGCACGGGGCAATTGAACATTGAGATCCCAGCCATTGTATCTAACCATCGTGAATTCGAGAGTCTCGCAACGACGTACAATATCCCCTTCCACTACCTGCCCGTGACGAAGGACACCAAAGCCGCACAGGAAGGCAAGATCTTGGACCTGGTGAGAGAGCACCAAGTCGACCTGATTGTCCTGGCACGCTACATGCAAGTACTATCACCTACGCTCTGCGAAGCCATGTCGGGCAAAATCATCAACATCCATCACTCATTCTTGCCCTCATTCAAAGGAGCCAAGCCCTATCACCAGGCGTACGAACGGGGAGTCAAGATTATTGGCGCCACGGCACATTTTGTCACTGCAGACTTGGACGAGGGGCCCATTATTGAGCAGAGGATTGCGCGAGTCGACCACAGTATGGATCCCAAGGAACTGGTGGAAGAGGGCAGCAACGTGGAAAGCCAGACGCTCGCGGCAGCAGTCAAATGGTGGAGCGAGAAGAGGCTCTTCTTGAACGGCACCAAGACGGTGGTGTTCAGCTAGGCTCACCAGAAGACGGCAACAGGGAACGAGAGGGCCGTGTTCGAGCTCTTCGCCATATGAGCAATGTAGCAAGAAATGGCTATTGAGAGACAGATCCAGACGAAGGTTTGATGATGATCTAATAATATGATACAGATGAGAGCAGAGCACGTCATACCGGTAAACAGACAGTGGTGCTTCCTGGGTTGGCCCTGCGTAACATATCCCTGCCCCTGTCTGATCGGAAACAGTCTCTCTCCCGCCTCTTTCGCTCTCTCTCTCGAACATCCATTCCTGCCAAGCCTGACATGACCGACCTTGTTGCTTGACTAAGCCCTAAGCCCTCATACGTCGTGCGTAACATCATCGGCAGATACACGCAACCTCCTCCCTCTCCTCTCTCGACTCCACCGGCTCTACTTCACCTTCGCCATGGGCATGCGCGACCTGTACCACCACACATATCATGAGCGAGACTGCAGTCATTGTACCCGGAGCGGAGTGCTCCGACGACGAGATCTTGGGAGTAGCTGAGCAGCATACACCCAATCTCGAGGCCACGATCGCTTTCGCAGAAGCAGCAGCAGCAGTCGCACCTGCGCTGGACCGAAGAATATTGAAGAGATATGATATTCACCAGCCCTCGCCGGACGCGGCTGTCAAAGAGGTGCACCTCAATGGTCTACAACCCTACCAGATCACTCGCCGATTACCTCGACCCGACCGACCGATGAACACAATATCGGCCCTGCCCTCTGGCGAGGTCATGGCGGGCACGAAAGCAGGGCGTCGAGAAAGCCACATCTTCGTGGGGAACCCATCACAAGGCACGACAGTCTGGCTCCCTGTCGTCGCAAGCGATGGAGCATGGAACTTCAATGCCATCGATAGGGCACTGCGTTGGCGAAGAATGAGCGCAACAACAACAACTACTACAAAGGACACTCACGAGCAACATATACCTACCGACCTCGAGCTCATCGACGCGACCACTTCTGAGCCTCTCGTTGAATACCACGCGACAGAAACCGGCGCAGCGCTCTACATCTGCTCCGAGCTCGAAGAATCCTGCGAACTGCTGGTATTAGCATCCATCCTCGCAATCACAGAACCTCAGCGGCGCGCACAGAAGGATATCATCCGACCGGAGAGTCTCGTGGATCCTTTCCTCTCGCACTCCTCCCTCCCGTCTTCGCCCGAAACCTCTCCCAACCCTTCGCCCAAAAGACCTTGCCCATTCGAACACGATGTGATTCTCTCTCGCGATTCGGTCTTGACGGATAAGTTGGCGGAATTCGCGAGAAAATTGAGTGAGACGAGTGAAGAGGAGTGGACGGCACGGGCGGTACATCATCATGATTGATCCTTGCTTCATCATCATCAGCCCCAGGATGATGATGATGACGGGAAAGGAAATCCGGTGCAATGACTACTCCAAAGTCCGCAATCTAGGCCCTGTGTTTGAAAGGAAGGCAGGGAATGGAGGAAGGCAGGGCCATTTGCGCCTTGAAATGAATGAAGAAATCAAAAACATACGGAAATATCTACCTCTACTATCCTCGAAGACTCGAAGAGGCCTAATTTTGATTGTATATAATTTGAAAAATGAAAAAACAAATCTACCCTACCTGATCGACTGCTCTGCTCTGCTCTACTCTACTCTACTCCACTCTTTCGGGAAAGAAAAGGAGAATAAAAGGAAAAGGAAGTACATGTAGTGCAAAGCTACCTCCTAGCTACAGGAGTTGGTAGGTACATAGCTACTGTAGCTAGCTAGCTATTATTAGCTACTACTACTAATATATATATACTCCCTCTCTCTCTCTCTCTCTCTCTCTCTCTCTCCTCCTCTCTCTCTCTCTCTCCCTCCCTCCCTCCCTCCCTCCCTCCCTCCCCTCTCCCTCCCTCCCTCCCCTCTCCCTCTCTATCATATTAGGTCATGTAGGTGGGTAAGCAAGTATATTCCTAAAATCAGTAGGAGATTAGAGTCGAAGAATTGCCTCGAGGCTTTGAACAAGGTAGGTTCAGTTCGGTATACAATAAGTTGCTCCTTCTTCAAGGAGAAAAACATAGATGTTGTCATCGAGAGAAGACCTGTTACCTGTCTCATTTGATTCCGATCCGACTGCGTGTTCGATACGATACAATGTGAGGCTTCGCAGGCGTCGCGGGCTTCTAGTATGTTGTCATCAGGGACTCTGATGCTGTCAGAGAGCTTGATCTTACTACCTACCTTACTCTTCCGATTGGGAGAAGCCGGAGTGTTATTTACCTTATTGCACTGCCATACTGGATACCTTATATAGTCATGTCATGATGTTCTCATCGGCAATGTTGTTCCTGCCTTGGCAGTATCCCGGCAATGTCATGTCAAACCAGTCTCAAGTTTCAGAATCGTGGTCCTTGGTCATCCTGGTCAGTGGCTCAAAATAGAGTTATAACGTCCTCCTACCAGTACCAGATATAGCAACTTCTCAGTTTGTGGCGGAGTTCCGAGTTCATCTCTTGTAATTGCACTCACGCCTGATGTAAAGTCGTGCTGAAGTCGACATTCGCTCCAAGTGCATCGGTGCTTTGCAGACTATGGTCGGCAGTCAACATGCATCTCGGAAAGTCGGCCAAACAACACATACATGACGACGGCCATCGCAAGCGCTTCATGAGACAACTGCCGACAGTCGTGCGAACTAGCGTGGATCAGCATTCTAGTCATGCTCAGACCTGTGAAGACGATAATGACATCGACATCCAAAATGACACCACCACCGCGCCTCGCAGCTCTTACGATCCGCCTGCAGAAGCGCGTCTCACCAAGCCTCGACCGAAGGTGTTGCGTACTGCCGGCTATGAGTACTACTTGCCTGCTTCTCTCAGACCCGCCGGCACCTACACCGGTCGAGGAGCGCATGCGCTCGAGGATATGGATCTGGGCGATGACTTTGGTCACCAGATGCGCATGATCCGCGCCAGACAAGATCGCATAGACTCGTGGATCAATCATCTCGACAGCCAAATCTCTCTGGCGAGGACTGAAGACGTGAATCTGGAGAATGTGCCGCTAACCCATGATATGCCGCCTTTGACACGGGCTGAACACAGTCGGCCTCGGACGTGGAGTGGTCAGGAGCAGCTGGCGGTGCCGGTCAAGAGTGTGCATGGAAGCATTCTCATGGCTAGCAATGCCAGTTCGGGCGGATTATCGCCATGGGCGCGCAGTGGCAGCATTCCTATCGGCATGATCGAGCAGGGCGCTGGCTTCGTCATGACAGAAGGCCCGTGGGCATGGCGTGAGGTCCTGATCGTCAGCTTACTGTGTTTGACGCAAGCTGTTCACATGTATCCATACGGACAGGCATTGGCCACAGCAGTCTCGCTGTCGACTTCACTACTCCACGACGAGCGTTCGACGAGAATGATATTGGATGACACGGCGCCAACGGTCGTAGGCCTTGCGCGGTGGATTACGGCGTCGTATCCGCTGACTCAGGGAGTATTTGTTCTCCTGGGACGTCGGCTGGGAATAGTATACGGGCATAAAGTGATACTGCTGATTGCCTGTGTTTGGTGGACGGCATGCCAGCTCGCGTGTGCATTTCCGGCGGGAATCGCAGTGCTGTGCGTGCTGAGAGGTCTGGCGGGCATAGGCGCTGCATTCACCACCCCGAATGCGGTCGCGTTGCTGAGCATCACTGTTCCTCCTGGGCGCAAAAAAGCACTGGCAACCAGTCTATTCGAGGCCATGACACCGATAGGAGCAGGTTCGGCTTGCCTCATCTCAGGACTCTTGGTACAGCTCACAGAATGGAAGTGGAGTTTCGTGGTGCCGGCATGCTATGGTTCTGTAATCTTCAGTCTGGTATGGTTCGTGGTGCCTCGGGATAGGGCATCTGACCATCGAGAAAGTATCGACTGGATCGGAGGATATCTGGGCGTGGCAGGCTTAGTGGTGTTCAATTTCGTGTGGAACCAAGCTCCGGTGGTTGGCTGGTCAACGCCATACATCTACATCCTGCTCATGGCCGCAATAGGTCACCTCATATCCTTTGGTTTCTGGGAGGCGAAAATCGCCAAGAAGCCGCTCCTGCCCGCCGGAGTATGGAAGACACGGCATTTCCCCAGGACACTTTGGATCGCTTCATGCTCGTTCATGGCTGTGGGGATATTTCTCTGGTACTTCAGCCTATTCGCTCTCCAGATTAGACAACAGACCTTCATTGCGAATGGTGCCAACTTCCAGCCCATGACCGTCTTGGCAGCCGCAGTCGTCGTAGCAGCAATGCCATGGACGCTTCGCATACCGGCGAAATATGTCTTCGCGGGTGCCAATGTGGCGTTGGTCATTGGCATTGCCCTTCTGGCCACTGCGCCCAGGGACTTGACATATTGGGCGTTGTTGTTTCCGGCCATGTGCTTTGCGTCCATCTCGGTGGCATTCGCGCTGCCGGCTGGCCAGATGTTGGTTCGAGACAGCAGCAAGGAGGAGGGGGAGGAGGAGGAGCAATCGATTGCGGGCGGGCTGATCCGCACAATGGTTGGTTATGGGTTGAGCACGGGCATAGGAATCGCAGCCACGGTCGAGATGGAAGCCAGCGACCAGGGGCGGAATCTTCTGGCAGGTTCGCGGTCGGCGCTCGTGTTGGCCATGGCATTGGCGGGAACAGCCGTGGTGGGCTCCATCATGTTCCTGGGCAGTAGTAGTAGGAGTAGATGTAGGAGGAAGGAGAAGAAGGGGCAGAAGGAGTGTTCGCAGCTGATCAAGGACAGGAAAGGGAAGGGGCGAGAAACAGACTCACCCGTCGTGGAGTTGGATGCTGACAGATGTTACCCCCCACTGTAGTAGAATGGAGGAAGCTTGGCGTCCCAGGCCTGTATCTCACTCCCACTCCCATTCTCACTCTCACTCACTCTCTCTCTCTCTCTCACTCTCCCTCCTCCTCCTCCTCATCATCTCCTCGCCATCGACCTGCACCCACACACCATGGACGTCCCATGAAAACGCGATATCGTCCTCTTTACTCGCACCATGGATCCAAGCATCTTGCCGACAACGAGTACTGGAGACGGAGCATCCTCGGACTGGTCGACCTCTAGGGCGAGACCCACCCAAGCGCGCCATGAATGATGTGCAAGAACATCTCCACGATGTAGTGGATGACATCGTAGCAAGAGAACTTCGGGCGCTGTAACACGAGGATGCAATGGCGATACGGACTGTGCAATGTAGTCAAAGGTGGAACATGATTCATCATAAGAGTATACATCACTCATCTATCTGGACGCTGTCTTCCGCGTCAAACTTTTGACTGCGAACACAGCCTCTCCTCTGGTACTGGTCTGTGCCTGATGTGGCTGTCAAATCGTACTGGCCAAGCCCTCGAGATCAATGAATCTCTGGCTCGAGCGACATTATCTACTGCAAGCTCTCTGCAGCCTTCGCTGGGGATCGCTTCTGGGGGACCCGGCCCTCAGACGGAGTTGGAGTTGTCGGCACACGACCATGGGTCGGTTCGGTCCTTCGAGTTTATGATGCCCAGAACGGATCCGTAAGTACCACCTAGGAACATGTGAGCAAGGACTCTGTGCCAGTCGCGAGATACTGGGAAGCTTACCGATCGTGATGAATGTGCCCATGATGATGTTGAACAATGCCCATGCAACCCCTGCCTTCCACATGGCGTTGCGGTCCTTGTGCCAGTTGTCGTACAGCCACATGAAGCCCATTGGCTGGAACATCATGAGCGTGGCGAACACGGCACCAATCAGGGAGATGAGGCCGTCAAAGACGGGAATACCGGAGCCGATCAAGTACCCGACAAGCGTGATGCCGCCAGTGCAGCCCAACCACGCAGCCCAATGGATAGGAGTGTTCGATGTCAAGTGCTTGGACGTGCGCATGAAGCGCATGAAGAAACTCTTCGCGGGCAGCTATATGGACTGGACTTAGTATCGATAACCCTTGCCACTCGACTTCTGATGGAACTTACGTGAACGAACAACATGCAGCTAGCCACGAGACCAGGAAGGGCGATGCCGTAGCAGACCTTCTTCATCGTCACACCGGCCGAACCAAGGGCGGGCGAGGCAACGAATGAGCCGCAGTAGTAGTACACAACGATGCCGATGACGAGGTAGACGAGGGAAACCACGACCTGGGCAATAACGAGCGCCTTGGTGTAGTCGCGAGGGTTGCGCATCTCCGAGGCGATCGAGAAAAAGGCGGGAGCTCCGGCAAACGCGAAGACAATGGTCGAGACGGCCGACATGGCCTCCGCGAAAGTCGGCTCTCCAAACAGCTTCCAGTCGGACTCGTACACACCCGTCTGTGGTGCAGCGGCCGGTCGATCTTGCACACCCACTGCAATCGTGAGAGAGAACACTGCGATACATTAGCGTCGCTTCACACCCTGCAGTGTGTGCGTATGCTTACCAGCTGTGAGGATACCGAAAACACCAATCCACGCGATCCACGAGACTTTTCCCAGAGTCTGAATGCTACCGCAGGAGAAGCCAATGATGGCAGCAACGGCGACGAAGATGGCAGTGCAGGCACCGTGTGTGGAGAGTGAGTTGAATCCGATCGAAATACCAAGCATTGCCGAGGCAGCCAAGAAGGTGAAGTAGATGTTGAAGCCTGTGGTCGGCTTAGCTTAGCAAGTGCCAATTGAGAATCCCTCACGTTGACTTACCCCAGTAGAGCAGCTCCCGGCCCCATTTGCCACCGATGATACGACCTGCTTCATCGATACCGTACGTCTCAGGATGGTTCAGTTTCCACTGGCCGACGACCCAGCCACACCAGGTCGTCATGGCGCCGATGACAATCAGAATGATGACACCTGGGATCATGCCCAAAGTGTGCAGAGTCGAAGGGATACCGAGGACTCCCAATCCAATTTGCGTCTTCAGCATCAGAATGACTGTGCCCATCCAGCCGACCTATTTCTTGGTCAGCATGACCACTCTCTTCTTCTTCTTCTTCAAGACCACCAAACTCAGCAGTACTCACGTCCTTGTAATTTGGACCATCCTCGCTGATCTCACCGAAAACAGCGTCGACCTCTTTCGTGGTCTTTGGGAATTCTTCGACATCGCCGTAGCCAGATGAAGGCACCTGCACCAGGTCCTCGCTTGCGGTCTTCTTCTCTTGCCCGAGCATGGTGGCGCTGTGCTGAATGCTAGTGGAAAGAAATGGTATTGAAACGGCAGTGGAGAACAAAAACGATTGCGCGGGAGGTGTGTGCTCATATAGTGATTGTGGTGCTGCTGCCACTACCACGTATCCAGTGAGGCTATTACATTATGGGTTGACTACTCCTATGGGGTCGGCGACTGGCGGTGGGCTCTCACGACTCTCGAAGTGTCCGGTCACTAGAGTGCGTCCTAGAAGATCCAGTTTATTCCCGCTCCGAATCGCCATGTCTCACACACCACTGGACCGGAGAAGGGCTCTAGTGGCGTTGTACCTGAATATTGCCGAGATCTGAGCAAGGATATTTCCCCATAGCGTTGCCGCGACCACGCGACCCTCCACTGTTTTTGGACCAAATCACGCCGCAGAAGATACGACCTTCGAATCACAACCCAATGAGCGATATTTCGGTGCCTCTGCACCACTGTACAGGCATGGATTCCTCTTTCGAGTAAATCTGACTGATGAGACTAGAAGGAGACTAGAAGTCGACTAGAAGCTGACCAGAAGGTTTCACCTTCAACTTCGGTGCACGACCCGGTGCGCGGTCCGGTGTTTGCATTTCGGACACCATTGCGCGCGATAAGCACGGATATCTTCGTTATTTACGCTGGATACTGTACAGTGTACAGTGTACAGTGTAATTGCTCCACAAACCTCACTGTCGCTAGATCCACAAGCTCTCGGATATCAACGCTGATTGGCCACGAGACCATTTCAACAATGGACAACAACAGACAGCATGAGATCGTTCTGAGCAGTCAGTATTCACAATATGTGGGAGGGACAGTGAGGCGTCTCCCAGTCTCCAAATTGTCGGTCACATGAATTTGATCACTCAATCGTTCATATACTGCCTAATCGGGATATCCAGCGTTAATAATCACCCTCTCGCCCATGTCTCCGATACGCACAATGGCAAAATCGCCGCCCGGCTGCTTTGCGTAAATGCTACGCAGCCTCCTCAAGTGTGGTGGACCACATCCCAAGAAAGTACGCCAGAAATCATGCTTGTACGTCGGAGATGCGCTTGCTACTAGGAAGGTCGAAAGCTGTACTTTCGGTTGATTCCCCGAGCAGTCGTCATATGCTTCCGTGAGCCATTTCGAAGCCATGTCGGAGAGGAGTTCAATCAAAATTTTAGGTTACACGTAGGTACTAACGCATGCACTCCTCACTCTCCAGCAACTGGGACTACCTGCCTGTTCTCGACGAGCTACACATAGTACTGCCAGCTGTGCAGCGAATGCAACCTGCGCACTCAGCACGATTCCAAATAGCAACACCCGATACATCGCCGCCTGATGTCCCGGTGTGACTGTGTGTGTTTGTGTGTGCAATAAAACGATGACATGTCTCACACTAACTTAGTCTCTTTATGTGCGATTGCCGCCGGACAGACGGACGATTGATTAACGAAGCTACTATATCGGCAGAATCCTTTCGCGAGCCATATAGCGCGCTGGTCTGTGATGAGAAGCAGACGGCGTCGCAAGAGTCGTGGATCCAGATAACGCTCCGCACTGTGTATGGGCGGGAATTTGGGGCGCACTGGAGAAATGGCTAGGGAAGATCTCCTTTCGTCCAGGAACGGTTCAGCCCTATAGGCATGTTCAAGTTATGTACGAATGTACATCTGCCGCACAGTCCATTATGACGAACCAGCGAGCGAGCGAGCCAGGTGTCTGTCGCACGGCTCGGGTGGGCCGACCGCACACGCTAGAACTAACTACCTTAGTATCATTCTCATCTCACGGGAGAGGTGGCGCGCGCGCCCGTCCTCGCTCGATCACTTCTTGAGTTGAGCTTACACAATACGGTACACCACTGAGAGGCTATGTCCTGCCAAGACAGACCACCGGCTGCAACGGTAGCGGACGGAGGGAGGAGGAAGGAGGAAGGAGGATGGAAAGACATACGAACCTACTAGTGTAGTATAGAGTAAGCTTACTATACGTAACTTAAGGTATGGATGGATGTATGGATGGATGTAGGGCCGACTACTGCGTTTTACGATTCACGCTGCTGCTTGAACAGAGAGAGAGAGAGAGAGAGAACTCTCTCTCTCTCACGTTGGAACGAAACGAATCGGGACTGGACTGTAGACGGTGGAATGGAACGGAACGGAACTTCGACACATACTATATGTAACTGGCTGGCTGGCTGACTGACTGACTGTATCGGCAGACAGATGAATGGAATGCAATTTTGAACTTGCTTGTCGCTTTTTGCAGAACCCCAACTCAACCTAAGAGGAAGCGGCAAAGGAGCAGAACAGGAGGAGGAATAGGAAGAGGAAGAGGAAAGGAAGAAGAAGAACAAGCGAAGGAACAGGAACAGATTGCATTTATTACTTTTTCTCTTCTCCCAGTACCAACCACAGAAATGGCAGAGGTACACATGTAGGTCAAGTCATCGACCAGGTCCTTGGAAATAAAGTAGCGCGATGGAAAGATAAGACAAGACAGATAGACGAGATGGACAAGAGAGATAAGACGGACAAGACAGGACAAGACGGACAGCCAAGCAGCCAGATGCATAGACAAGACAGATAGACAAGGCAAACAACAATTCCTTATTATAGGAAAGGGGAAAAATGAAAATATAATACAATAGAGAATAGATTTAGGGGAGCTATGTAGGTAGGGATAAGGTAAAGTGAGGTAAGGTAAGGTAATCTTATACATCTTCCCCCCTCCCCCCCCCAAATCTCCTCCCTTTTTAAAAAGCCTTAAACTCCACCAACCTCGTCCTCTTCCCCGCCTCCTGTCTCCACTGCACCCTCAACCTCTCCGTCCTCAACTCCCTCCATCCAACATTCGTAATCCCATTCGCCACCGGCCGTTCCCCACTCGCCCCTTCGCCCTCAATTTTCATCCACGAAGAATTTTCCCACCGCAGAATTTCATAATCCGCGGGTACCGCAAACTCGGACCCGTCGTCGTAAAACGCGAGTTCGCAACCCGTTAGAGATGTCGCAGCGCTGAAAGTTATCGTGTAATGTTGTGTGGAAGCGGAAGGGGTGGAGGAAGAAGACCAACCATTGGGGAGTTCGGACCAAAACCAGATTCGGCCGTCGATTGCGTCGTGGAGATTTGAGGGGTCGGTGTTGCTGGATGCGGAACCTTGGGGGAATTGGCCGAGTTGGAGTTGGATGGATTTGGTAGTTTTAGATCTTTGGATTGCGGGGACGTTGGCTTGAGAAGAAGGGAGTTGGGCTGTGATGCGAGATAGAGTTGGGGATGTGGCGAGGACTTGTTCGTTGATTTCGATGAGGAGACCGGGGCCTTGGTTGTATTTGTTTCCTGAAGAGTCCCATTGGATGGAGATGTTGTGGCCGTGATAGAGGAGGTTTTGGAGGCGGAAATAGGAGATGGAATTGGAAGGGATTAGAGGGTGGATTTCGAGGGTGTTGTCGGCTCGCGGTCGGAGGCCTACGAGACCGGAAATTATCAGGTCGTTGTAGCCCGAGTGGAAGTAGTGAGGAGAGCGGGCGAGACCGACTATGGGACCGGCCGTGTCGGGTTCGTAGTCTTCTTCGAGATTGAGTTTGTTGTTCCAGGTGTGGAGACGGGTATAAGTCTGTAGTTCCTCGAGATAGTCTATTTTGGTGATGAGGGATTGATTGTAGGAATTCAAAAGATTGGCCATGCCGTAGAGAACTTGTGTAGTTTGATACGGCCACACGGGACCATTCCATTGACATTCGCGTCGGCTGCCTTCGTAGCGGTATTGACGCATGTAGTATTCGTACGATGGCTCTACCGTGCGCAGCCCATTCGAGCCTTGGAATTTGTTGCTGTCTCGAAGATGTTTCCATGCTTGGTTGTATTTGTCGTTGTTGTCTGGCATGCCGAACATCCAAGGGACATAGCCTGCGAGCTCTCGACCACGAATGGGCTGGTAGTATTGCACGTATTCGTTGGACGTCTGGTGGCGATCGATAAAGTGCTCGAGAGTCGAGTTCCAGATATCCGCTTGAAATCGGGATTTGATGTTTGCAGCTTTGGCGCGATAGTCGGATGCTACACTGCTCTGGCCTGCCAATTCGGCAACATTGGCAATGGCAATCGCATTCGCCCACATGTAGGAGTTGATTGTGGGCCGGAAGGCTTCGCCCCCCCGAAACCCATCTTGGCCCCCAGACGCATCGATACTGGAGATGGTATACTCGGTCGCATCTGCCAGTGGCTCACGCCAATAGAGTCCCTTGCTGGTGTCCAACGCATCGTTCCACTGGGTGAAGAGGTTGGTCATGGCGTTGAGATGTGTAGTGATTGCTGCCTTGTCGCCGTCGACCAGATATCGTTGCCACACCGAGTCTGCCATCCACTGCACGGGGGGTTAGCGTCGTGTATTCGAATATGGGAAGTACAGTACAGGAGGTAGATATAATCATATCGACATGCGACGCACATCGGTGAAATGACGATCATTGCCGCCATTATACATGTGACGGATGTAGTCGTCCGAATAGCGTCGATCTCGTAGCCATCGTCCCTCTCCGAGATGAAAACCAGTAGCATCGTTCAGTGTTGCCCATGGCTCCAGTTGCCAGCCCACATCGTCCAGGAACTCTGTAAAAGTCCATATATATCATGAGAAATCAGAGAAACCACACCGATCTCATGGGGGACATGTGTGTGTGTGTACTGACCAGTCGAGACATAGCCCCGTTCGCCCAAATCTCGTTGATGCGCGCGGAAGATTTTCCATCGATAGTAATAGACATCTTGAATATCCGAGTCGGAAATCTCAAAAAAGGGAATTTTGTCGCGATACCATGCTGCATCATTTCCAAAGTATTGTTCGCCGAGTGCCGCAGTGTCGAGTGCTGCCAAGGCAGTGCCAGCGGCAAAGCTGGCGATTAGAATGCTTACCACTGTGTGACACATGCTTCGTGGCAACGAGGGTATATTAAAGCAAGATGGATGTTGTTGGGTCAGACATGAATGTCTGTGATGCCATTGTGTGAACTGGTTATATGTATAGAGGTACACAGCCAACAACATACGAGGTCGTGTCAGCCCCCAAACTAATATGCATAAAGGTGGTTTCGAGCGGAGTCGAGATTTATCCGTCAGCTTGTCTCCATGCTTGAGGCCCGTCACTTGTGTACTTGCTAGTCAATAGTGTGAGACAGAAGAGCTTGTGGGAATTTGCGAGTGAAGATGGAAGCGAACCATCTCTCTCTCCTCTTCCTCCTCCTCCTCTTCTTCCTCTTCTTCCTCCTCTTGATAAGGGCCCTCCTGCTAGGAAGACAACCACTGCGCAAAAACATAATGATCCACATGACATGGTATGCAGTGTGGTATTGTTTCAGAGTACCTAGGTATTTTTACCAGCCCTCTGAGAGTAGGTAGTCAGCAAAGCACCACTAAAAAATGAATTTTAGCCTATAACATCCCCCGTCTACAAATCGCGACCGAGATTACACCTGTACAGGTCACCACTAGCACAGAACAAAAAAGAAGGCAGTGCGGAGAATCTTGGATGTTCTGGTATGTACCTCAAAATTGAATTTCTGGTATAGGTACGTACCTTACATGTATCTACTACCTCACTACATAGTTCTGATAGACGGTAGACGGTATGATTTTGAATTTGCGGGGGTTACACCATCACACCGTCACAGTATACACAAGACTTGAATCTCGATTATCGGCAATAAGGATATACAAAAAATACCCTCTATTCAACTCTACAAGCAAGGTTAACAACTTCTACAATAGAATATCTACAGCACAGGACTAGCTTCTTCTATACCTTGACACCCCCTCAAATATCTATAAATCATAACCCTCTATTTATAAATAAAATTCCTCCAAGGATCCACCCCATGACCTCTTACCCGTCTACCGAATTGCCCTTGTGCGGGGAGAGCAACCGAAAACAAACCCCCCCCCCCCTCCTAGTAGTAAGTACTTTCTCACTTACTTACTCTCAAGTGGATGCAAAAATATTCTTCCGGTCCAAGAAACCTCCAAGATCTTACTTACCTCTTACTGACTACTAGGAGGTACTACTAAGAGGGTACCTCCTAGATACGATAGAGATCATCGTTGTTCCCCTTGTAAGGCGAGGGGAATTTTTGCACCAGTTATATATGGAGAAAGCCTATGTCTATGTACCTAGAGGGTAGGAGGTAGGAGGTGGACTGGCTATCGACGATATACGAGGATTTGTTCTTTTTTTTTTTCGGAGCGGGGAGTCAGACTTACTTCTGTTCAAGTTCTTACTCGTTGGATTTTTGATTTTTGATTGTTTTTTTTTTCTTTTTTTCTTTTTTATAGGGGTTCAATCTAGAATACGGATATTGTATATTTGCATATCCTGCTGCTCAACCTAACAGATATGTACTCTTTGATAGTCAAAGATCTTCAGCCCTTTTCCGCTATGCTCGCATCAGCGCCCCCCCTTCTTACTCTCAAAAATGACTGGTCCTTCCTATACCTAAGTACCTGTACTATCAAGCACAACAAGAACCCCAAGATATCTATCCAAAAAACACTTTCGTGACAATTCACATGTACCTACCTACCTACCACATTCTACACCTCCTGATTTTCTTCTTCTTCTTTTTCACATCACTCAATCATCACTCCCCCTCTCCCCCTCTACCTCACCCTCATTACAACGAAACGGACACCTCCCCCCAAACACACGCTCCCAACACGCGACATGAAAAAAATGCCAACAAGGCAAATCCGCCACAACATCACCCTGCCGAAACTTGTCGAGACAAATTTGACACACGGAGTTGAGGACACGTGATGTAGCCTGAACGTACCATTCTCTCGCGCGGAAATTTGGGGTGACTGATCCAGGATGCTGTACAGGTGCGGTGATGATGACGGGAGGAGGTGGTGGGAGAGGCAGGTGTGGTATGGCAGGGCGGTTACTTGAGGGAGGGGAGTTTGTGGCGAAATTGTTCATTATGTCTCTTATGCTGGGAGGAGCTTCTTCGGGGTGTGGAGTGAAGGTGTCGAGGATAGGGATCCACATGGGTTGTGTGAATCTCTCATCTGGGGGTTCTGGGTTCGCTTCAGGGGTAGATGTAGATTCGAGTGCGGCGATGTGTTCGAGATCGGATAGAGCGACGCTAAAGAGGATGATGTCCGCAGTTTCGCGTGTGAGATTGTTCAGAGGAGTGTCCTGTGCTAGTGGAGAGTAGCCTAGCTCGGATCTCCGGGCGTGGATTCGACCGAGATGTTCGGTTCTGATGGCGTCCTCTTCGTCGTGACGAAAGGTCGATGGACTACTAGCTACAACAGTCGTTCTTTCGACTTCCCTTTCGTGGTCGCGGTATAGTGCGGTGCCCATGCAGAAGGGGCAAATGGTCTTCATGTTGGAGCCATGGCGTCGAGCAGCTTCTGCCGTGTCGCGGAGTACGATGCGAGTCGCGCTACTGACATTGACGAGGCCATCGTGACAGTAGACAAAGGGGCAGTCTCCGCCGAAGAAGGGGTGGTAGAGGTCGTCAAAGGTTGGTCGTGACAGCACTTGGTCTTCGTCGGAGAGCAACAGGTCAATAGCAGTGACTGGCTGGCCCATTTGGAAATTGCGCCAGAACAGTGCTGGACTTCGCTGATATGTGATCCAGTCTTGCGAGCCGATGCTCCCTGATCCGCGTACATATACGGTACGTCGCGTCCTCATGCCCACTGTACGCACGGATTCAACGAGAAGAAGACGAGCATTTCCGTAGGCTGGTGTGGTCGAGCCCTCTGGAGTCGTGATCAGAACGAGGTCCCCGCCGCGCGTGCCTTCGAAAGCAGCTCGTTGCTCCGGAGTCATCGTGATTTGATAGTAGACAGTAAGGTCTTGTAAATTCGGAGAGTCATGAAATGAATATCGTGGACACTTATGTCTGCTCCCATCGGCCGTGAATGAAAATTTGACAGCATCCTTCACTGTATACTGTCCTGTAGGTGCCGGCAGGTGGTAGTGCACCTATGCATCTTTCACCACTGCTTGGAGCAGTTTTTTCTGCGTATCCATTGCCTTTCTGGCAAACGGCCCCAGCTCATATTTGTTCTCCCATTTTCCATTCTTCCCTCCATCGAAGATTTCATACGAGAACCAGCCTCGAAATCCCGTCTGCAATACCGCCCGTGCAAAATCTACTGTAGGCAAGTATCCCTGGAATGGCAGGGGCCTGAAGTCATGGCTCCAGCGTCCTCGTGCTCTGAGTCCATCGATGTCCTTCTTCTCCATGGGGTCTTCCATCTTATACGCATCGCTAATTTGTAGCAGATAGATCTTCTCCTTGGGGATGGTCTTTGTTAGTTTATCGCAGCTCTTCTTCCAGTCCGCCTCTACTTGGTCGGGTGTACGACCATCTTCGATGAGTCCGCTTTTGGTCGTGGGATCTCCCCATTCTCCCCCGGCACTCTGAAACGTGTCCAAGCATAGCCCAAAGTTCTCTCGATCCACCTGACGACAGATATCCCACACATCCTCCCAATTAGGGGCGTGCGTACTCCAACACCAGTTCTCATATGCGATCCTCTGTCCCTTCTTGCCCAGATGGTCCGCAAGATGCTGCAAATCTGTGACGAATCTCTGCCTGTCCTTGCCAATCTTCTCCTCAGGGCTATCGCTCGACCCCACCTGCAGCATATCGCAGTCTACGGCCTTCATAATCTTCGTCCAGCCTTCGACTCGCTCCCAAGCATCTTTGTACTCTGCAGAACCGTGCTCCCAACCTTCATAGTTTGCGAATGGCTGCATCATGAAGACTGTCAACTTATTCTGGTCAAGAATCTTCTTGAGCGCCTGGGCTGCTTGTTCAAGCTTGTCGAAAGCGTGGTCATCGATGTCTTTCGTCTTGAAGTGCTCGTTTGCAAAGGATACGAGATCGGGCATGGACAGCTCAATGGCCTGGAATGCTGCGTTGGAGATGGCCTCGAGCCGATCCGGGAGGCTCTTCTCGGGGTTGGTGCCTATGCTGCAGGAAGCGTAGGCAGTGGGGATGCTGTCTAATGAGTCCATTCTGAGTGCCTTGAGTGAAAGAAATAACTTCTGGCCTGGGAAGCAAAAGAACAGTGCTAGAAGACCTACGGGAGTGGCTAGCCATACTACCAGGTATATGCAGTGCTACTAGTGGGAGGCCAGCTCTCTCTCATTGTGATGTAAACATGAGCGAGGAGGCACGGCATGAAGCTCGAGGTACATGACGTCGCCCCCAAATGTCGGTTAGTCGAGCCGTGCCGAATCACTGTAGACCGACAGACGCTAGAGTGAAGTGAAGTTGGTCATCTCGAGCATGTGTCCTAATATCACTAGAGGGGAGGAATATGCACAACGATGAGTGAACCACAGATGGGTTCACGTGGAAAGCACGGGCAGAGCGGTGTCTTGGCAGGAAGTCCATACCTGTCCGTGTAACCTGAGGCCAGGTGCCATACTCGTACCTGGGCTTACTTCCTGAGATCGTCTCGAGAGCAATGCCGAGCAAGCACATCGTCCGACCTCTCCTCCACACGAGGGGAGGAGTAATTGTATCATATCATCACCTGCAACAACCCTCGCTGAAGCACATGCTTTGAGACTTCACTTCCCAACCTACATCTGTGGTGCCTGTGTCAAAGGTACATATGGCCTTTGAACACAAGGGCCGCGTATACATCGTGATGGAACGAATCCACGGCACACCTCGTCGATGCAGCCCGGTATTTGATCCCTCGTCTGCCCTAACAATCGTGGGGGCCTTTACACTTCGTTCGCCAATTCCACAGCGTTGTGTCTCGTGTCCAGCATCTGCCAGTCGTATACTGCCACTTGCCATCAGATGCTAGTTTGGTTCATCTGCTCTGTACACTGGAGCCTCGATCGTGGTTCGACGGATCGTAGTGAGGCCCCTGGGTGGTGCAATGCTCCAGGCAGCCATCCTCGTAGATGCTGTCTGATGTCCGAGGCTGAACTCGGCGAGATATATGCACAGTTGATGTCGATTGACGAGTCTTGTGTAGTCCCTCGCAGAGCCCATCATCATCCAGCAGTCGACATAGTGGTGTTAGTTCTGGAGTAGGGGATAATGTGATCGCGTACTCGACAGTGCCTCCTGCTGTACCGTATCGGATTGGTTTTAGTATCATCCTGTCAGCATTCACCACCAGCCAGTCGCTCTGAGCCCACGAAAACAATGCCGTCTCGGCTTTTCTCGTGATTCCACTTGTAGGTCATTCCTTCAGCTCGATGGCTCGTCGGGGGTCGAGTCACGTGACGCCACCATACTCGCCGGCACGAATTCAGCAGTTCCTCGCAGTTCAAGTTGCGACGGATTGTTCCATTATCGGTACTGGCAGAGCCTGCGGAGTCGTGGAGCGGAATGCGAAGTTCGGTGCGATCGAGATTAGATGACGAGGTGGACTTGGCCGCAAGCGTCAGCCCGGAAACCAGGAGCTGCTGAGTTTGAGGCGGAGGCGACGAGGCACGGTGATCTATGCAGGAGAGAGTGCGGTAACCATTATATTGTAGCCTGGCAGTCTTCGCCGTGTGACAGTCGAACTGTGCGATGGGTGGAAGGCTGTAAGTGAGGTAGAATAGTGAGTAAGAAAGGGGTGTGTAGGGAGAAGAGCAAAAATGTGGGAATGTGGACGGACAGAAGAGCCCCATCTTTTGGCGTCTGGTTCCCTTGAGCGACTCCTCGAGAACATCACCTTCGTCAACACCTGTGCCCGCCTTCGTTACCACCACCACCTCCTCCCCATCACCGCCCCCGCGACACTCTCTCACCCACCGCCGACACGAAATATCCGCTGCGCCATTCTTCTCCGCGCCGTCACACTTGCTCCGTGGCATCAGCTGCAGCATCCGCGTCGCGACCTCCGAAAAGCTGGCTGCACGCGTCAGCAACGCCAGGCTTCGCTCCGATCCACGCCCACGGCACATGGTCCCTCTTTCCGCGCGGGTCTGCGAGAGATGAGGCTGAAGTGAGTGCTCCGGCGACGATATGTCGCAGACAGCTGGTGTCAAGCGCAAGTTGGATGCTGCCGCCGACTTTGTGCGTTCACGACCATCTCCAGGCGCCTCCTCGCAGTCTTCGCGGCTGGCGAATGGCGCACATTCTAACTCTTCAACTTCTGCCACCACCAATGGCAACCACTACACCTCCCCAGACTCCGACGGGATGCAGACATCAGATGCTGGTGACATGCTGCGGGGCGTAGGCTCGGCGAGCTCATTAGAGACCACCGCATCTTCGGCCTTCTCGCGCAACTCACAGTCATTCGCCCACAACAGCCAAACAGCAGCCCACGGCTACACGCCTCTCACCAACCACACAGATTCATCTCCACCCAAAGGTCCCTTTCCTCAGCACTCGAAAAGTGCCATGGAAATGACTTCCCTCGACGGCGCCGTCGCGTCCGCCTCATACGAGCCTCTCTCGGACTCGACAGCGCATCCCCCACAGCAACAGCAGCGTCCGCAGATGCTGCCGCCCCCTGGCAAAGCGAAAGGGTACAGAGCGGTTTGGGATCCAGAATTAGACAACAAGCTCAGCAGAGAAGAACGAAAACGGGCCGCATTCAAGAAAAGAGACTTTGGCACAGAGGTACGCTACATATTTCATATCTTGCTGAGCTTGCACAACATGACACACATAACTTGAAAAGAAAAAAAAGTTGAAAAGAAACCGCTCTGTACCCTTTCGCTGACACAATGGATAAAATCAGGCATACGAACCGGATCCGCCACCAGATCCACGCCTAGCTATACCTGGCTATATGTCAGGTCTGTGTCGGCCAAAAACACATCCCAGCAAAGCCATTCTGCGAATCGCGCCCTACAACTTGCCACCATACAAAGTGGACAGGAATTCCATTGGGCCAGGCGAAGCACAACAAGTGGTTGCGATAGGATTCGATCCTTTCTTGGCGGAAAGCACCTTGAAGCTGAACTTTAGCACGTTTGGCAGCATTGCTTCTGTTCAGAACAAGACAGATCCAGAGACGGGTAGCTTCCTCGGGATCGCCTTGGTGAAGTATCGGGATGCCGTGAGGGATGGTCTCGAGGTTTCCGCAGTCGCTGCAGCCAAGCGAGCTGAGGCGGAGTTCAGCGGTGCACGCATTGGCCTTCATACAATCAAGGTGGAGCTTGACCGCGAGGGCAAAAGATGCAAAAGATATGTGGAACAGGCCTTGAAACAAGCACGAGACGAACGTGACAGACTTCGACCTGCAGCACCTCCTGGTCCCCCCGAGACCAAGACTCGAGACTTCCTCGCGCCCCCACCGACAGCACCCAAAGGTCCGTCCGGCAAAAAGTCGAAAGCACCTCCTGCAGGTCCGCGCGGTCGTGGCGGTGCAGCAGCACCCGAAGAAGCTCAAAACTCACGCGCCGCGGCGGGTTCGGGAATAGAGGATGGATCCGTTCTGAGCAAGATCAAGCGCAAGCCATACATACACATTCCCAGCAAATCTGTACCTGTCCTCGCAACGACAATCCCGCATCTGAAGAAGCGACTGAAGGCATACGATTGGCGAGAAGTGCGCCTGGATAAGAGTGGCTACTATGTGGTCTTCGACGATTCTAAGCGTGGAGAAGATGAAACGGAGAGGTGCTTCAATGAATGCAATCATGGTGCTTTGTTCACTTACAAAATGGCGATGGAGTGCCAGAAGTATGGCAACCCAGACTATGAGAGAAGTCCCAGCCCTGAGCGGGTGATTGCAGAGAGCAAAAGGCGCGAAGAGTTTGAGCGGCTGCAACGGGAAGAAGCCGAAGATCTCGAGATTGAGAAAAAGAACAGAGCAGAGAATCTTGATCCAGTGCATGGTGCGCTGGAACAGCTTCGGCTGGAGCTGCGTGATAGGATTATGGGCGACATCAAGACCAGAATTGCCATACCAATCTTCCACGAAGGTCTGGATCCGACTCGACATGTGGACAGACGTCGTAAGCTTGGGCTTAGAGATCCTGTGGAAAATGACAACAAAGCGACTTCTTTGCTATTCCACAAAGCGGGAGATGGACTTCTCGACATGCCCAAAGGACGACGTGGCTATCCTCTATCTCATTCTAGGCCTCTCCGACCACACGACCCTCATCACCGAGGACGAAAGGGCGACAACAAGAACAGGGAACCTAGCAATGCATTCGTGGACGAAAGACGGCGAAAGCCCCCAGCGCGACCATCGCATACCAGAGGCTTGCACTTTAAGCTGCAACAAATGTACGCCGAAGAAGAGGAGGACTCTGACGACGACCACCCTACGCCGATCACGCGCGCCGACACCGAGGACCAGGAGAGCCGTCCACTCAGCCGCGCGAGCCGCAATTCGACGCCATTCGATTCCGAGTCTGTCACCGAGACGACACAGAGCAACAAGCGCCGCAAGGTCAGCGAGTGGGAGGATGAGGAGAAAGAGGCGTTTGATGCATTCCACAGAGAGATGCTCGGTCACCTCCTGCACAAGGAGCCTGAGGATCTTGCAACTCGCGAGCTCGAGCTAGTCGTGAATACACTGCCACGAACTTCGCGATATGCCACAAGAGCCAGGACAGAGCTATACATTCGTCAACGCACCAAGCTTGACGACGACCTCTTCCAGGTGGAGGAGGGACGGAAGGAGTCGAGTGTGGACCCGTCTGTTGCCGCAAGCAAGGAGCCAGAAGGCACGCCTGCGCTCGACATTGGCAAAGTGGTCAAGGAGAAACCCAAGCGCATTCGCAAGTCTAAGAAACAGCTTCAGGAAGAACGAGAAGCGCTCAAGGCGGAAGCCAAGAAAGCAAAGGCTGCCACCAAGGTTGTGGCCACGGAGACTGTTGCCAAGATCGAGGAGAAGGAACGTGAGATTGAAGCCATCACCGTGGACAAGAGTGTGCAGCTGCACTTCACCCACGACAAGCCTAGGCGAACTGTGGAAGAGGATCGCTCCGTGGTTCTGGACATTGATGGCTGGCAACAGTTCATCAAGGACGACGAAGATCTTGCTTTCGCCAAGCGTGCCTTTGCTCGTCACGCCGCGTACGACGTGGGCGATGCAAAGGTCTGGGCATGGAAGCAGAAGGAGATCAAGGCGCTCAACACGGATGGATTAGCTGGTAAAGCACAACCGGAGCCACTCATCCCAGGCTACTACGTGCCCAATCCGACTGGTGCTGCTCGTACTGAAGGAGTCATCAAGATCATGAACGAGGAGAAGTCTAGATACCTTCCCCACCGCATCAAGGTCCAGAAAGCTCGCGAAGAACGACAGGCTCTGGCAACGGCAGACCCGACTGCAGCCGCCGAAGCTGCCAAGGTCGCAGCTGCAGAAAAAGTCGTTACTACCGCTACTTCTCGCAGCAACCGTGTCAACAACAGGCGTCTGGTGAACGATATCAATCTGCAAAAGCAGAGCTTGGCTTCCACGGGTGATGCCGATGTCGCGATACGCTTCAACCAACTCAAGAAGCGCAAGAAGCTCGTCAAGTTTGATCGATCTGCCATTCACGGCTGGGGTCTCTATGCGGAGGAGAACATTGCCATCAACGATTTGATCATCGAATACGTGGGTGAGAAGGTGCGACAAAAGGTCGCAGATATGCGTGAGATCAAATACGACAAGCAGGGCGTGGGTTCCTCGTACCTCTTCCGTATGCTGGACGACGAGATTGTGGACGCGACCAAGAAGGGTGGCATCGCTCGTTTCATCAACCATTCTTGCAGCCCGAACTGCACTGCCAAGATCATCAAAGTCGAAGGGACGCCGAGAATCGTCATCTATGCCCTCAAGGACATTAGCAAGAGTGAGTGTAATCCACATGTGTGTGTGTTGTTCCAATAGAAGCTAACCGATGTACAGATGATGAACTCACCTACGACTACAAGTTCGAGCGCGAGATTGGCGCGACGGATCGAATCCCATGTCTTTGCGGTTCCGCCAACTGCAAGGGCTTCCTGAACTGAGCGATTGATACCCTGTTTCGACTATGGCTGGTAGGGAAGCAAGGCATTGCTCCTACCTACATCTGAGACTTTTAACTTTCTTGGTACTTCGAGCGAGGGCACAAAATGGGTTGCGGGTTGCATTTGCGTGGCGTGGCCTGGCGTGGCGGGTCAAGAAGGCTTCAACAGATTGCCCATGGCATTGCTGTTGAAGTGGCTTTCCGGGAAGGTCGGGCGGCGCTTACTTTACACGCAACAGATTCACTGCGTGTTTCCCCCTGTGTGTGCATAAATGGGGAAAGGTACGTGTGACGAGTACGCAAGTGAAGGTGCGGCTAGACAGTGCCGTGTAGCAGTAGTATTGCAGCAGAAAGAAAGGAAAAAAAAAGGGGAACCAAAGCCGAGATACACTAGTCGAGAGAATGAAGACTTGACAAGAAGAAGAATACCGACCGGCTCTTGACAGCCTTTGCACCTTGCTTCGTCGAATCCGAACTTATCGCTTCCATTCGTGATGCTACTTAGCTACCTAGTACCTACCTACCTACGCTACGTACTCCCCTGTGAGACAATTCGAATGCCAGAGCCTATTGGGGCAAAAGTACAATGTATTCAAGCAGCAGCAGTAGTGCAGTTTAGTGATAAATGTCTCAAGGTACCTTATCTACATAAGGTATATTGGACGAACTACCAGATTCAACTGGCTGGTCGGTAGATGGTGGAAAGATAGAACGACTTCCCCCTTTGCAGATAAGGTGGGTAAGGTAGGTAGGTATGTTGTTGGGTTTCCATGCAAAGCAGTGTTTTTCATGTTGTATAGGTAAGGTAAGGTAAGGTAAGGTATTGCGTGGTGTGTGGTGTACGTGTATGTGTACAGACCTAAGGTATAGGTATGAGGTATGAGGTATGAGGTATTGAGGTATGTGTTCCTTGCCCCATTGTGTGACTCGTGCCTTCTCGTTGTATTTTTTCTTGTGATGCATATTTCAACGTCACCTTGTAGATATCACTCAATGTGCCTACAGGTAGGCAAGGTAGGCATGTGACGGATCATCATCATTTTAGAGTCGACTCGCGGGGTTCAACATGCAGTATTTACCCAAATCGCTTACAATACTGTCGCCTCGTGTAATGCCTTAACCGGGAAAGAGGGCTGATATCCAACATCTCCCCTTCGTGAACCTCGTATACATCTGATCATCATAACGGCCTCGTCTTCTCGCCTCTCCAAAAGCCCATCAATTCCCCAGTCTCTCCCACCCACTCCCTCACACCATTGACAGCAGCCTTCGCCATTCCCGTCTGAGTATTACTCCTCTTATGCCTCGTCCGCCCTCGAAACTCCTCTCGTCCCCCTGCATGCTGTGCCTGCACGTCCATATAACTTCCACTCCCCGCACCCGCATTCAGAGTAGGCGTCTGACCCGGTGTAATGAAACTACTCCCTGCTCCGGTGGCGTATTCGCTTCCCATTGATGGCAAGACATTTTCCCCTGCAGAAAGCGACACAAACAACGCAAACGGTACGAACCACACCTCGAGTCCGAAGAAACTCGCAATCTCCGTAAAGGACGGGACGTCCTTGGAAGAAGGTGGATCGAGATAGCTATATCTCCCGTTGCTGTGATGCGTGGGAGCGGAAGTGACGGAGAAATGTGTGAACCAGAGATAGTGGTTCACCAGCACCAGCACGCAGGACGCGAGGAAGATGGGATCGGTGAGTTTGACGACGGGGAAGCGGCGCAGGTTGAGCGAGTAGATGACGTGGCTGGCGATGGAGAAGGCGGAGAGGGCGAGGGGGAAGCGGTCGATGGCGGCGAGCAGGAATTGAATGGCGATGACGGTGTAGATGAGTCGCGAGAGGAGTTTCTTGGACAGAACGGTGTGTTCCTCGACAAGTTCGGAGAGGTAGTAGAGCCCAGAGGCGATGGCGAGGGTCAGGAAGAGGAAGCCTCCGACCAATCCCAGGTAGCCCTGTGTGGTGGTTAGTCAATGGGTACGATGTTGAAGAAGATGAGGACAGGGTCATCTCACGAGGAGTGGTAGAATCCACATGGTGGTTATTGCATCGTGGTGGATCAAAGGGCAAAGTAATTCATCTACGTGGACAAGGACAAGGATGATCGCGAGTGGAACAGAGACAAGCTTTAGTGCGGCTCTGCGCCGGCCGATCATATTTCTTATCGATTAGGTAGTCCACCCAGCACTTTTCTCTCCTCACAACACCAGCGACAACTACTGCTATATACACATCACCCTCTCATGCAGAGGACCAGAATACCGCCACCATGTCTCGCCCCGAAGACATCCTCCCGCCCGATCTATTCTACAATGACACCGAATCGCGCAAATACACGACATCCTCACGCATCAAAAACATCCAGGCCGACATGACCAACCGCGCCCTCGAACTCCTCGACCTCCAAGAATCCTCCTTTATCCTCGACATTGGCTGCGGCTCTGGCCTCTCGGGAGAAATCCTCTCGGAAAACGACCACGTATGGTGCGGAATGGACATTTCATCCTCGATGCTCGCGCAAGCTCTCGAAAAGGATACCGAAGGAGACATGTTTCTCGCAGATATCGGACAAGGCGTCCCGTTCCGCGCAGGGACTTTTGACGCTGCCATTTCAATTTCTGCTATTCAGTGGTTATGTAATGCGGAGACTTCGGATGTGTCACCCGAGGGGAGGTTGAAGAGGTTTTTTGATGGGTTATATGCGAGTTTGAAACGAGGAGGGAAGGCAGTGTGTCAGTTTTATCCCAAAAATCAGTTGCAGAAGAGTTTGATCAGTAATGCGGCGGTTAAGGCGGGATTTGGAGCGGGTATCTTGGAGGATGATCCGGAGACGAAGAATGTCAAGTACTATCTGGTGTTGACGGTGGGAGGAGGGGATGTGAGAGGGGCAGTGAGTGGGATGGAGGGTGTGGATGTCATGGAACGGGAGAAAAAGTCGAGTGTAAAGAGAGGGAAGGAACAAAAGGGGAGCAAATCGTGGATTCTGAGGAAGAAGAGTCAGATGGAGGCCAAAGGGAAAGTGGTGAAGAGCAATTCCAAGTATACCGGCAGGAAGAGAAAAGTCGCGTGGTGAGCTGGTCTTTTGCTAGTTGCAGCTTCACCACACCAGCCAGGACGCCTGAATAGCAGGCTGAATCCCACGCTCTCCTTCTGTGATTTGCGCGTGTGTGTGAGAGAGAGCGGAGGAAATCCACGGGCGGGATCTGGAACACTACGACCACTCATCATCGTGGGTCTAGGCCTCGCTACAACCGCACTGAAAAGGGATCCAGAACATCTCACGGGACCGAAGCAACCTGCGAGTCCATCACATGTCTCATATGCTGTGTGATCCAAGGAAAGAAGAGACACCTTATTATACTCGGCACACTCCACACACCCTCGAGGACCCTGGCTTCTTGACGACTTAACGAACAATACTACGACTCTTGCCGCCAGGAGAAAAAAGAGAGAAAAAGCAAGGAAAATTGTCTACTAAATACGCTGAGCAAGGTTTCAGCAAATAGCGCTTAACAAACAACAACCGCTACAAAACTTTGAGCGGCTTCATCAGTAGCGAGACAGCGGGCGCTAATCTCTCCCTCTCCCTCTCCCTCTCTCTCTCTCTCTCTCTTCACACACACACTCCCCCCACGTACCTCTTATCCTCCTCTATATAAGTCCAACAAGCAAGATCTCTGTCTCTCCCTCCCTCTCTCAAAACCTATAAGTAAACAGACAGACCCCTATCTAGCTAGCCTTCCCCTCTTCCCTTATTCTTCTTAAATTCCTCCCTCTCTATAAAAACAAAAACAACAACAACAATAGCAGCACCACCACCACTAAATCCCAGCCATACATGCATGCATGCATACGAGAAGGAAGGCGGAAAAGGAAGCGTGCATATTCGTTCGTATAAAGCTGCACAACACAACACAAAAGCCTAGTAGAAGCTAGCTAGCCAACTACATGTAGCTACCTCCTAGGAGCTAGCTAGTTTTTTACCCGCATTTTGCCGCCCCCCGCCTGTCACAAGGTCCGTCTTTCCCGTCGTGAAGAAATGCAAGAGGTCTTGGCGGGATGATTGGTTCTTGAGGGGATTTGTTGGAATTTGCATTTGGACTTGGACTTGACGAGGGAGAAGGTTGTTGGGGGGGAGGTTGCTAGGAGGGAGGAGGGAGATTGATCTTTTGGTTTGGTTGGGTTTAGCGTAATGATTTGTGGAAACTGGAACTGGATGGATACACTATACTGTACTGTATGTATGGATATTGCTCTGTTCAATCAATCTGACTCAAGGCACTACACGTTTTTTCCAACGATTCGCGAAGCAGGAGTAGTAAGTAAGTGGCACAGAGTAGATAGTAAGATGGTTCCAAGCCTTTGATAAAAACCATCATACCTAATGCATACTTACCTACAACCAATCATCCTCATTACAACCCTCCCATCATCCAAGCATCTCGTCCCCGCCCCTCACAAATCCACCCCCAAATTAACATGCACAGCCTTGGTCTGGGTATACGCCTCCAACGCATAACTTCCCAATTCCCTCCCAATCCCACTCTGCTTATAACCCCCAAACGGAATTCCCCAATGTGAATCTCCCGAAGAATTCAACCAGACCATTCCCGCTTGAATTTTCGCCGCCACCACATGTCCCTTGCGTAAATTTTCTGTAAACACGGCCGCTGCGAGCCCGTAGGAACTGTCGTTGGCGAGCTGGATGGCTTCGGCGGTGCTGCGGAATTTGGCGATGCAGATTACGGGGCCGAAGATTTCTTCGCGGACGATGCGCATGGTGGGGGAGATCTGGGTTGTGTTGGAAGAGAGAAGAGAGGGAAAAAATTAGGGGAGGGGGGTGGAAGGGAGAGAGGGAACTTACATTAGAAAATACCGTCGGTTCGATAAAATATCCTCCTCCTCCTCCTCCTTCTTTACCTGCTTTAAATGCTCCTCCACCCATTTCCACTTTTGCACCTTCTTGTTTCCCGACTTCAATAAAATCGAGGACTTTTTCATATTGTGCTTGAGAGACTTGTGGGCCTTGAAACGTTGCTTCGTCAAAAGGATGACCGACCGTCGACGTGGATTTGGTATATTTGATGAATTCTTCGACGAATTGGTCGTGGATGGATTCTTCCACGTAGATTCTTGTGGTTGCTGTACAGACTTCTCCTTGGTTGAATAGTCCTACCAAACCCAATAAAGGGGGGAAGATGTCAGTTTCTTCCTGTTCGTGGTATTGGAATTAGAGAAAAAGAGAAAAGAGGTACCTCCCGAATGAGTCCATTTCACCGCCTGCTCCAAATTCGCATCCGCAAAAACAATACTCGGACTCTTCCCACCACATTCCAGCGTAATATTTTTCAAATTGGCCGAAGCAGCCTTCATAATCGTTCGTCCCGTCGCCGTACTTCCCGTAAAAGCAACCTTGTCCACATCCAAATGTTCGGCGAGGGCTGCTCCGGCTTCTTTGCCATAGCCGGAGAGAATGTTGATTAAACCGGGAGGAGCTCCGGCTTCTTGTACTAATTTGCCAAAGTAGAGAGCGGAGAGGGGAGTTTGTTCTGCGGATTTGACGACGACGGCGTTGCCGCAGGCGATTGCAGGCGCGACTTTCCATGCGAGCATCATGAAGGGGAAGTTCCTATTTTTTTCAAGACATTCGAATCAGTTTTCGTCCCTCTGTTTCCTCTCACCCCCCTCTCTTCCCCCCTCAGAAACGAAAAAACGGAAAAGAAAAGAATAAAAAAAAAGAATAAAAAAAAAACCAAAAAAAAAACAAAAAAAAGAGAAAAAAGAAAAGAAAAAAATCACAAACCAAGGAATAATCTGCGCACAAACCCCCAAAGGTTCCTGCAACGTATAACACAACTTCCCCGGTCCCGTCTCAATAGTTTTCCCCGAAATCTTATCCGCCCAACCGGCATAATATCGAAAAACCTGCCAACTCTCTTCAATATCCGCCTCCAAGGCATCTTGATAACGTTTCCCATTATCAAACGCGTCAATTGCTGCTAATAATTCCCGGTCACGATGGATGAGATTCGCGAGACGGGTTAGTAATTCTCCTCGGGAGACGGCGGGGAGGGATGGCCATGATGAGGGGTCTGAGGAGGAGAGGCAGGTGCGGGCGGCGGAGACGGCGAGGTCGACGTCTGAGCGCGAGGCGGAGTGGATGGAGGAGGTGATGAGGTTGCCTGTGGAGGGGTCGTGGACGGAGATGGGAGTGGAGTTTCCTGGGACGAATTCGTTGTTGATGAAGAGGCCGGTGGGTTGGGTGTAGGTTTTGCCGTTGGGGAGGGTGATTTCGATGGAGAGGGAGGAGGGGGAGGACATGATTTTTCTTTTGGTCTGGTGGGTGGGTGTAGGAGAGAATATATCTTCTCTTCCAGTCTGTGTCCGGGACGTGAACAGAAGAAGAGTCGAGTCGAGTCAGGCCTGGCTGTCTGGCTGTCTTGTAGGCAAGTCAAAGGCAAGTCCAAGTAAACTAAAGACAAAAGACAAGGCAAGATATAGCTTCCATCTCACAACAGATATAACGATAAGGCACACACGCACACATATATATATAAAAAAAACATCTCCCACCCGAACCAACCCAGCAAAACAATTGCCGCCCCTCCATTCTCCAAGGATACATAAAAGGCTACCTACCTCCCTAGGTAGGTCTCATCCGGTTGTATGATTCCTCCCTCCCTAGTCCCTGAACACCGTCGTAAGATACAATACAATACAACCCAATCAACCAAAAACCCCATCGTTTGTCAGCAAGAAATCAGCGATACCTTACACTCAGTAGATTCATCCCAATCAGCAACACAAATTCCTAACCTCGGCCCACCGCGCCGCCCCTTCAGCAACCAGGTAAAGCTACCTGACAATATTAGAGAGCAGGGAGGGGCGGGGGAATTAGCCAAAAGAAAAAAATCCGATAAGCAAGTCAGATAGGCCGAGTCCCTAGAAAGCAGCAAACACACACACACACTACTGTACATCCGAACGAACGAAAGAGGAACGTTTTCGTATCGTATCGGATCGGGAAAATTTCCTACATAGAGAAGGGAGATACGACCTACAGGTAAGGTATGGGTATGGGTATCTGACTGTTCGTATTGCGTGCTTTTTTGCTTATGTATACATATACATACAGGTACCTGACTGTAACTGTTGTAATAACATCATCATCATCTTCATACCCGACTGTAAGCAGTATGTAGCCTGCCTGCCTGTAAGCAGTATGTAAGCAGTAGCCAGCCAGGTAAGCAAAGTAAGCAGTTTAAAAACGAAGATTTCTTTCCCTAAAAGGTAGCAATTCGGGCACACAACAAACCAACCAGGGGCTTTTCTTTTCCGAAAGAACTGGGGGAGGATAAAAAATTACCTTTATACCACAAACAGTACATGGATGATGGGGTGGAGAAAAGGCAATGTTGGGTGGAGAAACAAACAAACAAAGCACTGGACGACTGGAGAATGGATGATGTTGGATTGTGCTTGGGGTTCTTGGCGGGGGATGAGTCAGCGGAAAGGGGAAGAAGGACAGAGAAAGGGAGAAGAAGGAGAAGGAGAAGGAAAAGGAAAAGGAGAGAAAAAGTGCCGACGTATAACTATGTAAATAACCAGTCTAAGAAGACTGGACCTTGCGGCCATGTATATATAATGTCAATCTGTTTTGGTTTTTCCCACCTCCACCTCCCCCCCTGCCAACCGAAACCACCGCCGCCTTTCTCATCTGTCCCTTTCAAAGGGTGTTCAAATTTCCATCTTCAAATTCCAAAAAGAAAGAAAGAAAAAAAAGAAAGGAAAAAAAAAAAATGTATCGTATCGTGTCGTGTCGTGTCGCTAACGCTAGAGTTGGGTATCGTATTAAATGCTTGTCGAAGGTATGATGAAGGGAAAAAAAAATAATAATCAAAAAAAGGGGGGGCATATTCAAGAATCCAATCGTGTCGAGGTCTTGACGACGCTGTCGCCAAAAAAAACCATCGCTCACGAGAAAGAGGGTCATCCACAAGGTTGTTTTCCCTTTCCTTCATCCTCATCCACCAGAAGAGAGAAAAGGGTGGCAAATGATGAAATCATCATCATCATCATATCTCCTTTCCATTGACCTCAACCTCGAAGCCTTTTTCCTTTTGCTCCCGCGCCTTGGCCAACATCAACTCTCTCATCCAATCGATGCGCTCGTCCTTGGTCTTGACTGCAAAATGATGCGTCTTTCCCTCCGCCCTCTTCCTTCGCTCTTCTCCCTCCTTTGCGCTCGGGACGAGCTGGAATGCAAATGCCGTCGCATCTTGCACTTCCTTCTTGGATTCCGCACCTTTCGAAATCGCCAGCGCCTTCAAGGCACTGCTGAGTTTGTTGTTGCTCGCAATCGACGAACACGCCACGGCATAGTCATCCACGTTGATACTCTCCTTCACCTCAGCACTGAGGCGAGCGGAAGCATGTTGCGTGAGTTGCGTTCCCCTGAGTCGGAAATGAGAATCCGTCCATTCGTGTCGGAGCATCTTGGTCTTGCGCTTCCGCATCCAACCCGAGTGGGAGCAATCGGGTCCATAGCCAAAGTCTCGCGTGATGGGAGAGTGTTTAGCGGGATCACGGACGGAAGATGATCGTGTGGGAATGGAACCAGTGGAGCACGATGTGGAGATGGATGGACGAGACTCGAAGATCTGGCCTTCTTGTACGGGAGGGAGTGCCATGCTGGGCCGACGCCAGTGAGCTGGGTCTGTTCGTGACTTTGCTCGAGAGAGAGGTGCCTGTGGGCGGTATTGCATATTGGGTGGTACACTTTGTGATGTGTCTCGGGACAAGGGAGCAGTAGGTGGACCCACTGCGGTGATGGGGACGTCGACGACTGACGAGGGAGTTCCCAGGCGATAGATGCCCTCTGCTCGAGCTCCTGGTGAGGCTGTGGCTGATCGGGAGATGTTCGCTGGAGATGCAGTCGCGCTGCGACAGATGTACATGGCGGAGGTTGCAGCGGGATCGGTCGTGGGAGGTGATGTGATTGCGGAATGATGCATCTGTGGTCCTGCGGATTGTGATCGTGGGATTTCGAGCTTGGGGAGATGCTTCAAGTGGTCTCGCGGGCCGGGTGTGTATGCTTGTCGAGGCACGTCTTGCACGAGGGCGGGGGCTCCGTAGTGTCGAGGTATCGCAGCAGGGAAGGGTGAGATCGATTGGGATGGGAACATCTCGTACGGCGGCGACGGTGGAGCATTCTCGGCTGCTTGATGGTGAACGTGTTGGAACTGCAGAAATTGCTTGACATTATCCTGAGCATCGCGGGAGCCCAGGTGACTCAGGACATCTTCGTGGAGAGCAAACTCGGGTAATTGACCGGGACCAAGAACATCAGATGAAGCCACTACTGATGGGAAGCCTGCGGACTGCATTCCTGCATCCGATACCGGACGGAATGGGTCCTCGAGACGAAGGTGACCTTGCAGCTGTGACTGCGGTTGAGGTCGGACATTGGAGATGATGTTGTCGGCAGTGCTGGGGTTTCCTGGATTGCCAGCCACAAAGATATGCCCTCCTTTCGTCGGACTGACGGGGAAGCGACCGATTCCATGCTCATTCTTCAGCTGCTCCAGCTCCCGTTGCTGCTTTCGCCACTTGGCACATCGTTCTCCTTTTGCACATTTGTGCGGCTTGGGCAGAAGCTGTTCAATGGCGACGATGGAGACCGATTCGGCAGGGGTGATGAGATCTGTATTCTTCGTTGCCTTGCGACCTCGGCGTCTGCTCTTACCGCGACCCTGTGATGGAGAGTAGATCTCGTCACCTTCATCGTCGTCGTCGTCGTCGTTGACCGCAGGCGGTGCCGCAGTCCGTCCACGAGTGGGTGATTGTCTGCTGTGCGAAGTACATGGCCGGCTAATGTCCTGGAAAGGAGTAGGCTGGGGGCTGGGATGGCCTTCGTCTCCTTTCAAGGTACAAATGGCGTTCCACAGCTGATGTCGCTTGCCGAAAGAGGGGATGTCCAGCTCCTTGAGATCCTCGAATTGTAAGTTGAGCAAGATGGACCCGTCAATGTCATGAATGTAGAAGCACTCGATGACAGAAGGATCGGCTTCGGTGGCGTACATCCAGTCGATGACCTGTTGCGTTGACCAGGCCCTGATGTGTGCATGTGAGTCATATGCCGGTTGCCGTGATGGCGAGTCCAGGGGGTACGATCGATCTCGCGGCTGCGTGATGGTGTCTTCGGAGAAAGCGGTCGCTGCTCGCGATGACTGGAATGGCGTATCTTTGGGCAGCAGCGGGGACATCTGTAACGAGTACCCAAAGTCAAACTCTGCCGATACCTGTGAAGAGCGAAACAGATGCGGTCCTCTCGGTCCCGACACGGGCTCGATACGCAATTCCATAGGCGGCCGGCTTTGCGTGCTTGTTCTTGGGCTTGGCGTGCGAGCTTCATCGTACGAGGAGATGGTGGTTTGGCTTCTGCGTCTGCTATCGTACTTGGGGGGTGTCAGAGGTGGTACTTTTCGTCCTTCCACACGTGCTCGCAACAATAGACCAGACTTACCGACTCAAAGCTGCCCTTGGCGGAGGCTCCTCCTCCTCCTCCATAGTCGCTCTCATCCTCGAAATCAGTGTCGAAGATCTCCGTCACCTCCGAGGCCTGCGAAACGGGTCGCATGGCAGCCGTCCTGGCCTCGAGGAATGAAGCAGCACCCTTCATACGCTGGAACATCTCTCCTCCTCCCGCCTCCAGAGGCGTAATTGGCGTAATGGCCTGCATCACGCGTGAACGGCTTCACTTGGTCTCGTTTGTCTAGTCAGTGAGGGAGGAGATGAAGCCGGTGGGCGATATGTCATAGTCCACACCGCATGGAGGTAGGCTCAGGTCAGGTCGGTCGGTCAGGTAGTATGGGTGCGGCACGTAATAACGAAGAGGTCGCGAGGTGGTCGCGGTGCGCGAGTGGGCGCGAAGTGGGCCTTGTATACAGCAGAAGGCCATGTTGCTGCGGGCGCATAAGCCCCGACATGCTGTGCAGCGTTCCTCCAGTGCAGGCACGTATAGTGGCGCCCAATGCGGTCGGCCTGCGATTGCATTGGATGGCGAGAGAGTGAATTGCGCCAATGAGTGGTTGTAGGTGCCGGCTGAGGCCAGGCCCGGCTCGAGATTCGTGACCGCCTGTCCCTGGATCCTTGTCACACGTCGCCGTGTCGCCAGGCCCGGGCGGCTAGAGACTATTGGCTGTGTCTGCACTAGTGGCCAACCCACTCCTTCCTCTCCTGGCCAATATCACACCAAAATAGCAGAATGTGATGCACGAATGTGTGCTAATTAGTCCTATCTTTGGATCTGGAGCTAGAACTAGAGTAGTAGAAGAATCACTTGAATAATGATGCAGGCCAAGTGGACTGTGGCATATGGTCTCGTGAGTCGTGCCCACTGCCCACTCCCACTGCCCACTGCCAGCGATAGCCGAGACGCTTCGGGACGATGCGGTGAAGGCTCACGGGAAACTGCCTGGTTTCGTCGGCAGCGTACCTCATACATGTTCCCAGGTCATGTAGGAGGTACTGTATGTATGTACGGTATGTAGGTAGGTAGGTACTGGAGGAACAATGCTCGCAGACGGAATGGTGCATCTTCGTGAGCACGACAGTTCTGGTGCTCCACACGTCATCTCATCGCTGCTGGACTGGACGTGTCGAGGGGATGAGGTGGAGGTGGACGGGGGAGTACCTGATTCTCGTTACCTCATAGTGCATGCATGCATGCTGCGGTGCAAGTGGCCTCAGGAACGACGGTCGCACAACTTCAGGTCCCAGACACGCTTGCAAGTTGCGCGACTGCCACGAGACCGATTCGTTCTGTGCGCCGTGCTACGACAGCAGTGGCCGAATACTACCCAGAGACGGGAGCAGAGAGCAGAGAGCAGAGAGTAGAGATCACGAGTGCTGCACACGTGCACGCCCAGAGACGGCACAGCTTGTAGGAGGCTAGGAGGTAGGAGGTCAGGTAGAGGTTAGGTAGAGGTAGTGCATCTCACTGACCTCAGCAGTCCGCCCTGCGCTGACCCCCGCCGTGCTGAGACTCAACAACAAACAACAAGACTCAAGTGGTCAACAACATCATGTCGACATTGTGCCCAATGGACCTGGCTTGCGGCGCGTGACTCGGGTCAGCAAGCACAGTGCGATGAGATGAGCCTGCTTATGCCGTTGAGCCTGATGTTCCCTCCCTCCATCTCTGGGGCTCTCTCTCCCTCTCTCTCTTTGGCCGGTTGCTGCTAAGCGACTGTTAATCTCGCAAAGCATGTTTTCTCGCTATGCGCGCCGAATCGTTTCCACTCTGGCGGTATCCAATGGCTACAGCGAGCGCCGACGCGATGCCACTGGAGCCTGCAATTGCCCATCCCGGTGCGCTCGCATCATTGCCTCTGTCTGGATCATGATTACGACAGTACGCCGTCGCACTTTTACTAGGTCAGGTAGGTAGGAGGTACCTTACTGTACCTGACTGCAGCACAGCACAGCACAGCACATACGGCAGGGCAGCTCAATGTCTGGCCACCTGGGCATGCTCACTCCCTTCCATTACCACCTCACGCTCTCACGTAGATGTGGCCCATCGGATGCACGGCGTTTTGTTTGTGCGTGCCGTGCCCTGCGTCCAGACGTCGCTCCCACGAGGTGCAACTACCTCTTACCTGCTACGCGGCAGGCGCGTCTGGCGTGGTGAGGTTGGCTGTCGTTGCCAAAATGGCAAGCGCCAAGCTGCGGGGGAGGAAGGCACGGCCGGCACGTTAAGGTAACTTAAGGTAGGCTCAGGGCCATGTCGGCATGCTCATTGGCCCGTCATTATCTTCAGTGCACACGCTAGCGATGCACAACCTCACGTCCATCACAAGCCTCACTATCTGCACGCAACCTATCGGCGGCTAGAGCATCTTGCTTGCACTTGCCTACACTTGCTTGCAAGCGTGCCTGCCCGCACTAGTCGCCGACTCACGCTTGTCGCACAACAAAATTCTCCTAACCCCCGAACTAACCACACCGAGCTGCAGTGGCGCATCTATACAGACTCCCTGGTATACTGTCGAGCACTGAGCACTTCCGGGAGAGATCTCTCCATCACACCATTCACTCCTTGCCGGCCGCACGCTCGTCTCTCATGCAGGTCCTGACTCTCTGCTCTGTGCTCTCTCCTCATCGTGGCGGGAGAGTGTCACCAGGTCTGTGAGCACTGCGGTAATCGGCTGGTGCGCAATGCTCCATCTTCACATGGCGCACGGCTATTCCCCAACTCTGCAACGGTCCGCATCGGGCACTTATCGCAGAACGACTGCACCCAAGCAAGTGCAAGCTATACATGTATCCATTTGCCATTTGGTGCTCTGCTGCTGTAGCCGAAGCAATAAATGCAACATCGGGATACGGTCAGTCCAGACCCACACCTGCCCGACCTCCCTCCAAGGCTCCAGAGCCAGGATTGCTCAGGACCTTCTTCGGAGACGAGCACTACTGGACGCTGTGCCGTTGACAGACAGATGAACTCGATCACAAAGGACTCCCCCCAAGTGCCGGTGCACCGCATCGAGGTAGGGGCAAGGATGCGGCTCACGTCTAGTGAATACAAGCTCAAGATTTAGTGGGCATAGGAGGTAAGGTATAGCCTTTCCACCATGCTATTGCGTCTTGGGCCAGTCGGGTGTGCGCATGGGTGCAAGCAAGAATAGTGTCATCAGCGCGGCCCGTTCGATTCGACAGACCATGCAGCCAAATCCAATAGCGACATGGTTAGTCTTCCCACGAATGCACCTCAATTAACAAAACAGAAATGGCAGGAAGCCCCCCACCCACCACCTGCTGTGCCCCAATTAGTGCTCTTTTCGATGCCTGCTCCAAGAATAGATTGAGGTATTTGTGTCTCTTTTTGCAACGAGAGCAGTCATATAAGGCATCTATCCTCCCCCTTCCTCACCACCTCAGCAGTCGTCGATCGATTAATTTACCGTCTTTTTGTTCCCTCTCTCTCTCTCTCTCTCTCTTTCCTTTCCAAGCCCGCTGGTCAGGCTTTTGTGTTCCCTGTCGTTCAGTCGAAAGCGTCGTTGGTCCCCTGCCCGTGTCCCGGCCATTGCAGCAACCGAGTTAGCTCTAATACATATACCCTCATGTCTTCTTCCGCGCAGGCCTCGAGCCACACCAAACCCATCTCCAAGATGGCCGCTCCCAAGAATGCGCCTCCAACAGCAACAACAACAGCAGCAGAAGCGAAGGCGGTTGCCGCCAAGATGCATCGTCGTTCGCGGTCAGGTGCGTTTCCTTCGTGTCGGGTGCAACGAATCGTCTAGAGCTCGATCGACGACTGACGTGTGTGTGTGTGTGTGTGGTGCTGTCAGGTTGCTTCACATGTCGACTACGAAGAAAGAAGTGCGAGGAAGGTAAGCCTGCATGCAAGGCTTGCTCGCACTTGGGACTTCGATGTGATTACAAGCGACCCATGTGGTGGAGCAACACGGAGCAGCGCAAGCAACAAAAAGAGCACATCAAGAACGCTATCAAGCGAACGCAGATGACGAAAAAGGCCACTCAAGCTCAGCAGCAGCAGCCGTCCCTCCACGGGAGCAGTCCGCCACCGCCTCTCAGTCACTCGGTCCCATCGTCAGCAGAGCCTCAGTTTGCAGAGTCCTTTCCCCATTCGAGATGTTCTTCAGGCTCACCTCCATCCACCGGCTACGACCTCCACTATGCAACGCCGGAAGGCTACTTTGCGATGCCTCCCCCTGCGCAGGCATATATTCCACCGGGGCCGTATCCCATGTTCTCCCCTTACGAAGTGGACATCAAGACCGAGCATGAGATTTATGTCAACAACGTTGCGACCAGGAAAGATTCCACCATATCCACCTTCAGCACGTATCAACCACCGCTCACAGACGACTGTCCCTATCCCACCGACACGTGGGTGCAACAGGAGCACTTTGAAAGCACCTGTGAGGAGTTTGCCGAGGAGCCGGTCGACTTCAACTTCTTTGAATATCCCCATGGCCCGCTGACCCCCAACCACGAAACGGTGATTGAAGTCGACGATGGCGACAAGTACCTGCTCAATCACTTTCTCGACAAAGTGACGAAGCTCATCTTCCCCGTTCTGGACGCGAACCAGCATGGTTCCGCACGTGCTGATGTCATCCTGCCGGCGCTCGAATCGAACAAGGCGTATCTGCACTGCTGTTTGAGCATCGCTGCGACGCACATGAAAGCATCGGAGGGAGTGGCCCACGAGCAAATTGACAATGACATTGTCCGACATCGATACGCTGCCGTATCCGAGCTCTGCGACGCTCTCGGATACGACACTGACCACGCACAGATCCTGGAGGCCACGCTCGGTATGATCTTCTTCCAGTGCTCAGTTGGTCGTCCCGACGATGTGCTCCCCGATATTCCATGGCACCAGCACTTCCAAGCTGCCACTAGTCTGGTGCAGAAGCTGGATCTGCAAAAGTCAGTGGTCGACATGGCCGGCACTAGACACCAATCGCCCTTCAACATGACTCTCGCATCGTGGATCGATATTCTCGGATCGACCATCATCGGCAGACAACCTCAATTCGCCGACACATATCGTGAGCTGAACATGAGCAACTCCTCTCTGGGCCTGGCGGAGCTCATGGGCTGTGACGACAGAATCATGTTCCTCATCTCGGAAATTGCATGCCTCGACTACCAAAAGTCCGTCGGCATGGACGAGGCCGCCGTCTGCTCGTACGTCGTGAGCCTGGGGAATGCTCTGGGGCAGATTGAGCACGCTGCCGCGCCTGTCGAGAGCTGCTTCTCCACGACCGGCGCCATTCGACCCAAGCAGTTGGCTCTCAACATGACTGCCGTCTTCACCATCGCGGCTCGCATCTACCTATGCACTCTGGTACCAGGACACTCCTCCAGTGACCCGAGCATGGTCTCCCTCGTCGCCCGGTTCTCGGAGCGGATGAACTACATTCCCGCCGGACCCGATGGCTTCGACCGCTCTCTCGCCTGGCCCCTCCTCATCGCGGGCAGCTCATCACTCCTCGCCTCACCCTTCCGGTCCATGCTGGACGAACGCTGCCAACGACTCGGCGATGCCGCCCAGTTTGGCTCTTTTGGTCGTGTCCGAGAGCTGTTGAAGGACATTTGGCAGATAAACGACCACGCTGCCACCACCTCGGGAGACTTCAAGGGCATCCGCTGGCGTGATGCGATACAGTCCAAGGGCTGGGACTTTCTCCTCATCTAGGGAGGAGCGTCCTCTGACCTTGGCTGTTATCCTGGCCTTGGATGTCTCCCCTATCACCCAACTACCCCACTGACACCACCCAGACAGACCTTCTGGGACCTTATTACCATTCTTTGTGCAAAGCATAGCGACGGCGCCCATATTCCACTCACTCACTCACTTTATCATCCGGCATGATGATGGTGATGATGATGATGACGACGATAATCTTTCTTGTTGAAAGATATGAGATACCCCCCCAACGATGCCCACAGCGCGTCGAACAACATAACATAGCATCGAGGCCATGATCTAGTGCAGCTCTCTGGCCGAGCGAGATTAATTGCATTATATATATATTTAAAAAAAAAACAAAGAGGGAAAGCAAAGCCTCTGCCTTTAGGATAGGTATAGCAGAGCAGATACGAAGGAATTAATTTCCACCATCTCTGAGAGGTCTAGACCTAGCTGTTCCTGTTCCTGTTCCTGTGCTCTTTTTCTTTCTTTTCTTCTCTTTTCTTCTCTTCTTTTCCACTTTCCACTCATCATTTCACTTTTCGCTTTTCACGTTTTTTTTTTCTCCTTCCTCTCTCTTATCCTTCCCTTCCTTTCCCTAGGTATCTATTCATTCCTCTTGTTTCATCGTGCATCTGATATATCTGGTCGACCGCGATCCCGCTACAGACTCAGTAACTACATGCATCTCGAGCAGGGACATACATATGTCAGGTATATATATATACAGATTTCTGTAGGTACTAGTTTTCAATTTTTTTTTTCTTTTTCTTTTTTTTTTCGGAAAAAAAAAGCGGATTACCATCGCCATTTCTTCTGCGTTTTCGATAAGATGTCTGCTTTGTATCAAGTTGGGGGCTGAGTTGAGTTGAATACGAACGAGTACATGTGAAAGTAAGGTAAGCAAGCAGATGACAATAAGAACGAAAGTCTACCAGAGGTACCTCCTAGGGCGTGAGTGAATTGATTATCAGATTAATGAAAATCCCCCCACCCTCGGCGATTTCGTTAAGGTACGCGCCAACTTCGGGGGCTTTGCAATACCCTTCCCCGACCTCCTATATACCTTACCTCCTATTGTACCTCCTAAATGGATAGGGCGCCTACATGGTCCAAGGTTAAATTTAGCTTTCTCGAAAAAAATACTAAGGTAGTGCGTAGTTTTAATAGGGAGGTAGGTTAGGGAGGTTTAAAGGTAGGTAGGTTAGTTGAGTTATAGTAGAAAATGCTGACAACTAGGTTCCGATCTAGATCGCCTTGTCTCCGTGTCCCCCTACCGTATTTTACTGATTACTCTCCCTTGTCCTTGTTGTTCTGGGGAAAGGAAGAAGAAGAAGAAGTGGAAGAAGAAAGGTTGAAACACTCCCTGTTCTTCTCTTTTCTTCTCTCTCTCTCTTTCTCTCTTTCTCTCGTTTTCTCTCTCTCCACCTACATACCTAGGTACATACATACACTCGATCTCGGCATCGGCAGATTAGCTTCATTACAGCATACCCCGACTGACCGCCCGCCCGCCCGCCCGCCTCCTGTTGTTGTTATTTGTTGTTTGTTGCTGCTGCTGCTGCGCGTCCGACGCGAATCTGGTCCGGCAGTGAGTAGTGATTTGCAGAAAGTGGGTCGACCGCTCCTTCAGAACCCGCGTGCCCTCCACGCTGGCGACACGCGACGCCCGTTTGTTGATCCCAGGGATCTCGTTGGTCGGGGAGATTTTTTCTTCGATAAACAGAGGGAGAGACAGTGTGTGAGAGAGAGAGGGAGAGAAAGAAGGAAAAGAAAGAGAATATGACTTCTGAATCATCTCCAACACCAACACCACCACTATCAGCATCTGCGCCTGCTTCTCCTCCTCCTCCTCCTGCTGCTGCTGCTGCTGCTGCGATCAGGCCCGTGTTTGAGCCTGTGGACACTTTGCTCAGTGCGAGCACAGCTGCGGGCGGACACGACGATGTGGAATCTCCGTCCCTGACCAACGGCCGAGCGTTGGCGCGATTCGAATTCGAGCCGGGAAGGAGTAAAGATGGGACCAAGGTGCTGATGGTGGAGTGGGAAGAGGACGACGCGACCAAGAGTGTCGTGGGAGATTGGGAGATTAGCTGGGAGGGGAAGAAGACGGTACTGCCAGCTCGGGATCAGCCTCAGACGACTCCGACTTCTTTGTCTTCTGCTGCTACTGCTGCTGCGGGAGATCAGGAACAGCCGGTCAACAGGTTATACTTTTTGTTGGGTCCCGGTGTGACGATCCCGACGGCAGTCAAGTTGCAAAAGGCACACATTACATGGCGGACGAGTCCCTTGCCAGCCATCTTCCCGCCAGAACTGGGAGCGACGGCGCGGCAGGCAGGCAAGAAGGGGGTGTTGCATACGATTTGGGCAAAGAAGCGGCTGCAGGTGCTCCAGCAAGAAATTCAAGCCGAATCGAAAGAGAATGTGGAAGGCATTGGGTTGGAAATGGCTGCGGCGGAAAAGCAGTGGATTGAGCAAAACTTTGGAGTACAAGCCCGACCGGGCGGCCTCAGCGTGTCGACACACCCATCTGCCATGAGCTCGGTCTACAGTAGTAGTGGTAGTAGTACTACTACGGGAAACCTACACAGTCCGGCGAGTCCGCGAAGTCCCGGAGGTGGTCGATTGATGGATAAATTGAAGGGTCTCAAGCTAGGCACAAGTCCCTCTGAACTGGCAAGTCCGCGAACAACAACAACAACAACAAGTGATGCAGCTCCGCTGCCCGAGAACTATCACAACCCTCTCAGTCCCGAGAGCTCCGACGTTGCCGTGGGGAGTTTTGGCAGCTTTGCAGAACTCAAGGGCGTACCGCCCACCACCACCACCACCAACAACACCCTCGCCGCCCAGGCGCCGCCGCCGCCGCCGCAGCAGCAACAGCCCCGAAAGATGATGCCGCAACGACCCCCCGAGTCCTTTGCCGCTCAACAACGTCAGCAAGCGGGCGGCGGCATCGGCGGAATGGGCTCGTTGAATGCATTTACGAGTGGTGATTTGGGCATGTCCCAGAGCGGGGGCGTGTCTGAGGATCATCACGACGAAGACGATCTCTTTGCCCTTCCCATGTCTCCGCGAAGTCCTGAGATGACCAAGTCTCCTTTTTCATTTGCGGTGCAGGATACTATGAAGTATCTGAAGGAGGAGAGGGCGTTGTAGGAGATGTTATATGAGGAGGAGGAGGATGAGGTGGTGGTGAATGGTGGTGAATGGTGGTGGGGGAGTTTTGGTCTTTGGTCTTGTGATGATGAGGTGAAATGCAAATGAATGATTTGGGAGCTAAGGTTGGTAAAGTCAGGTTGGTAAGGGAGGGGTTGATTGAATGATTGATTGATTGATTGATAGAATGAAGCAACAAGAGAAGAAGAAGAAGAAGAGAAAGAGAAGAGAAAGAGAAGAGCAGATGATGAAGATGATGAAGAGAGAGAAGAAAGCAGAGAAGAAAGAAGAGCAGCAGCAGCAGCAGCAGCAGCAGCAGTTTGTTTTATGTCAAAGTAAATAACATACCCCAATCCTTCCCCTTTAATAGCAATGAATTCAATCTATCTGTGTTTTCTTTTTGGTGATATACACACACACACACACACACACACACACACACACACACACACAAATATATATATATACCTAAAGAAGGAAGAAAGGCCCAATGTATTATGTACCTTACCTCAAGTCAGGTCCCTTTTCAGTTTCTACCTACATTATTAAGTACTACCTACCTACCTAGGTACATTATTGTACATGTAGGATGTACATGTAGGTACTTTGTGTTTTCCAAGTCCTTCCCTTCCCTTTCCTTTCCTTTCCTTTTCTAGTCCGTCGATAAGGTATACTTACCCGCTACCTACGTTAGGTACATAAGGTATCTATTCCTACTATTTTTGCAAGTTGTTCTCTCTCTTTCTCTCTCTCTCTAGCTAATATCGGCTGATTGCGATATCCATAGCATTCATGCAGGAAACATTTCAAAGGCATGAACTTGTTCGTGCCTCTTTCATCTGGCTTGGCGAGGTACATACATGTACCTGACATTCTCCTTCCACTGACCATGGCACGCATCAGAACTCCAAATAATTCTATACATACCTCCGACTCTTGAAAATTTTGGCCTCTAGTTGTATACGCTACTCCCCTGATCTAGATTGTACTATAATTACTTGTTCTCAAAGGAGGTATATAGCAGACTGTACGCAAACGAGAAGCTACCAGACTCCAGAGGTTGCTATCTTGTTGTCACCTATAAAAGCTCCGGGTGCAATACTCTCTATACCTACCTACCTATACCATCGATTGACTTTTTTTAATTTCCAGGCTCTACAGTATCTCATCACAGTGTTGAAAAAGACATCTGGAACCACATGGATGTGTACCTAATGTGATGAAATGATGGGAATTCTCCGGAAAGACGGAAATGACACGTCCTAGGTTGAGCGTTCGATCATTGGAGGAATTCCTGGACAGTTTTTAGAAAAGTACATGTACATTTGTACCTACCTCGCCCGATTTCACCTGCTATGTACCTAGGAAATGATGAGGGTAGTAAAATAAGATTGCGTCCGAAGTTGAACAATCCATTCCCCATGTTGGGGGGGGGGGGGGGGGGAACCATCACTATGAAAATTTTTGGGGTTGGTTATTTACTGGTACCTCTCTTCTCAATTCGTCCGGTATAGCAGGCATATACCACGCCCGTGTCTGGGGAAGTCGGGTCTGTGCAGAAGCCAAATTCGGGGTTTGCGCATGTCTCATAGGCTCTTTCTTGGATGCACAAGAGGACCTGACCCCTGGTACGCTGATTGATCAAAAGGGCTTTTACATTTTATGCTTGCTCGAAACCAACATTCAACAACAACAACTAACTCACTAAGGGCTGCTCCTGACCAGGAACATGGACTTTTTATGGAGTTGTTGGAAGCCCCATCTTCCCCATCATGGAAGACTTGAGGTACTTTAGAAGCCAGATGATAGTACGATTCTGTGCCGTACCTGGTCTCTCTCCTCATCACCCACCACTACTGCTGTGCCATCCAGATCGTTACCGGAGTTCCTCCTCCTCCTTTCAAGAACCTGACAGACCCCACGAAAGGGACCATGCAGTCACCATTGTTCATCGTGGCCTTTATTGGCATATTGATGTGCAGATACATGTAAGTTTCTAGAATCCTCCGACTTGAACACGCATACCGCATACCTACCACCTCAATATGGGGTGGGGGGCAGAAGAAAAAAAAAGGAGGCAAAAAAAAAACACCCCAGCTAATTATAAATGTTCGAGTAGCTATGTTCACGCACAAACAGACGACGGCAGCGATGACAACAGTTGGCTGGATTATGGTTCCTTTTGTCAATGCATAACACTTCATGCCCACGACCACTTTCATCCACAAGATAATGTCACGGCCAAAGTCTGCAACGATATCAATGGGACTACGAACGATTGGCCAGCTGACAAGAACAGCATAAGTTTTTTGAAGCATGTAGGTATTTGTACCTACCTTCTTACCCTCCTCCTATCATCAATACCAGCAGCATACATGTACTGACCCTGACATTTTTTTCTGTCCAGTGTGATTTCGACTTCGACGACGCCGAAGCAGCAGTTACAACCTTCGCCGAAAGCTGCCGAACCGCAGACCAAGAATATTTCCACCTCAACGTCACGGGTGCGCAATGCTGTCCCAAAGGCGATGGTGCGTGCCAAGGTGACAATACGCCTCCTCCAGAGGAAATTCCTCCCCCGACAAACAAGACCGAGAAGCGTCAAGACGAAGACTATTTCGTCGATAAGACTGCTTTTTGTCAGTGTTCGCAGGCTTTTCCCAATGAGACGTTTTATGCCGTAAAAGTCAATACGTATGAAGTCTGTGATTGGTATAATCAGACGGGAGGAGCTATTGATGTTCCGAAATATACGACGGAAAGTGAAGGGACTATTGCTCATGTATGTGGTCTCTCCCCTTCTTTCTTCTCACACACAATGGATTTTTTCTTCCCCCTCTCGGCTAACCCACCTTCCTCATCCAGTGCCAATTCCCCGACGCCGAAAAATCCATCGACCAATTCTCCCAAGACTGCAGAAACGTCGACAAGTATCTCTTTCAAGGCGTCACTGGTGCCCAGTGTTGTCCCAAAGGCGATGGAGCGTGCGTGGCGAATAATACGGGAATTGATGATACGACGTCGACGCCGATGAAGAAGTATATGTTTTTATAAATAAGGGGTTTGGATTAGATGTATGTGCATGTGTATGGGTGGGTGGGGGCTGGTTAGGGGGAGAAGGGGAGAGGAGAAGAGGAGAAAGAGTTGTATGTGTGTTGGGATCAATCAATCATACGTACATACGTACCTGGTATGTATTGATCATTGATGAATGAATGCACAAGGTACTTAGTTGATTGATTAAGCAGTAAGTACCTTACATGCAATCAGATCAGGTCAAGTAAAGTCACCCTCTTCTTCATTTTTCGCGCTCTGGCTCAAGGACGTTGCGTTGCCGTTCCATTAGGGAGGGAGAAGAAGAAGAAGAAGAAGAAGAAGAAGAAGAAGAAACAAATGAGGAGGAGAGAGGAGGGAAGGAAGAAGAGGGAAGGAAGAAGAAAAAAACAACAAAAGAAGGAAGAGGGGAGGAGGGAAGGAAGGAAGAAGCAAAAAGAAGAGAAAAGGAAGGAGGAAAGGAAGGAGGAAAAAGGTCAAATAAGACAATCTAGACATAACCTACTTACCTCCTACCTACTTACCTCCTACCTACTTCCTACCTCCTTTTTCTTTTGTTCGTAGGGAGAGAGAGAGAGAGAAATATGGCTTGGCATATCTTATCATCCCGCAAGGAAAAAAAAAAAAAAAAGAAAAAGAAAAAAAGAAAAGAACAAAAAAAGAACAAAAAAAAAAGAATTCTGAGGGTTCGAGGGTTCGAGGGAGGTCTGTAAAGGGAAAGGAAAAAAAGGGGGCCGTTGCCGAGAGAATGAGAGTGCATTTTTCTGCTTTCTGGGAGCTCCTTGGGGAAGGGGAAGGGGAAGGGGAATTGTCAAGATTTGGGAGAGGGACGTCGAAGATTTCTGAGTTGATCTCTTTCTACTTACTGGCCAATGGGAGCACAAGAGCGGAGATGATGAAAAAAGGTGAAGTGAAGAGGGCCGGTCACCGGTGTAGTCTCTGATGGATCCTTTATGCATTCATTCATACATTTCAGCGAGCGAGTAGAGCGACTCAAACGCTATACGCTCTTCCATCTAGTATATCTCGAGAAAGCTTCATAAGCATTCAGCTCTTCTTCTGGGGCCTGCCATTGCATCGTCTCACCGACGTCTATGCCCTCTGAAAAGCTCAAATCATGTACCGCTGCTATGCCACTATGGATGTCTGAAGCCATTCCCCGGCTCAACATATTACCTCCACGAGCGTATTCTGGCCATTTGCACCGCAATGGGTCCACGCATACCGAGAACTTCCCTATTCATCTTCAATGAACTCCACCATGACAGTTCCTTGCTTGAGACCAGCATCTGCGATTGAGACATCCAGCTGGTCAATCAAGTTCTTGCCCAAGCTGATGAGCTCAAATGCATGCCCAGCATGACCCTCCACCGGACTCGACTTCAACCATTCGTAGATCCTCCTCACAGGATCTGCAATGTTGAAGCGGCGAATGATACGTCCTCCCGAGTGCCGGAATTGTATCCGCGTAGTCTCCGGACCTGTGCTTGTGGGCTCTTCGTGGACGTTGGAACTTGCGATTCTCGAGAATGGTGTGTCCCGAGTCTCTGACGCTGACACTTCGTCGACTTCCATAGCGCTGCTGTTGCCCACTTGCGTGGCGGGTGCCTTTCCCTTGCCGTTCGTCTTGGTCAAAGTGTCTGGATCTTCTTCTTTCGGCGCAGCACTACCCGCTCCCATACTCGCTTGCATGGCCAACTCGAGCTGCTCCTCTTCACTCATGGTGCTGATATCCTTCTTTGGCTCCTTTCGCTTCGTCTGTACCGGGTTCTTCTGCCCTATCTTCAAGCTGTAGCGGTCAAGGAATTCATGTAGATCCATCAGAAAGTCGGCAGCCTTGGGTGCCGGTGAGCCAGACCATGTCTTGACTTGCTCGCCCGTGCGTGGATCAATGATAGCAATGTGGGGGTATGCAGCTTCGTTGTCGCGGTTGCTCGAGAAATAGTAATTCACATAGTCGCTGCCCCGCGGATCGTCCTTGTTGTATTGCAGAAAGAGAAAGTGCTCCTTGATGGTCTCGCGAATCTGATCGTTCTTCCAGATGTCTCGATTGAGCACCTGACAGTCGAAGATGGAGGGGTCCTGCACGTTGACCAGGAGCCACTTCTCCTCTTCTTTGCCCTCATCTCGCGCATCTGCCAGTGAAAGAGGCGTGATGAGATCCACTGGCGGTCTGAAGAGCTCAGCAAGATGGCTCGCTTTGGCAGACTGTTCTGACGAGCCGCCAGTCGCCCGTGACAGCGTCCTTCGATGCGCCTCGGAATCTGTGGGGTCGTCATTGTTCCATATCGAGCGTGTGTCGCGCTGATTGAAGATACCCGGCGCTGCACGATGACTCCGCATCTGCTGTCGCTGCATGAGCTGCTGGGCAATGGCCGCGTTCATCTGTCCAGCATCGTTCGGGTCAAAACCACCTCCACCGCCATAGCTTCCTGGGCCCACCAGAGTCTCCGTCGTCCTCGCCATCGGTGCTCTCACATCGTCCTCGCCCGCGCCAGCTCCGCCAGCGCCGCCACTCCCGTACATCTCTTCCTGCAACCGCCGCGCCATTGCCTCGTCATCCTCCACATTGTGCTGCGGCCGCGAGGCCGACGCGACCGTCTCTTGAAAGTCATCGTCATCGTCGCTATCGATTGTGATGGGCTCTCCTGGCCCGACTTGTGCGGGAGGCTGCGAGTTCACTCCTCCAGCTGCAGCTGCAGCATTACCAAGATCTGGACTGCTGAAGAAAAGCTCAACAGCCTGCTCCACATTGTTGTCTGTGAGTTGTAGGAATCTCAGCGCCTGCTCGGGTGTGCCTGACGTGAACGCTGTGAAAGTCGCGACGTCCTCATCGTTCGCCATTTTGGCCGCGATTTCTCTCCCGCGTGCGTGACGCTCTCCAAGTTGATGATGAAGAGGTGTGCGGTATCTGTGGTTGATTGATGGTAGAAGAAGACTGAGAACAGAAGGAGTGCCTTTTGCGAGTCCGAAGATTCAGGTCGGGCGTGTGGTGTCGAGTCGTATCTTGTCGTGGCGAGGAAGGTATGGTGATGTGATACCGGTGCAGCAGCGTCCACGGCAACGTCGTTGTGTGTTGCTGTTTGTCAGAAGGAAGCGGAAATGCCTCTTGGGGTCATACGACGTGGTTCAGCGAGAAATGCAATTACACGAGAAATACATGTTTGTGGATACATCAAGTCAGGTCACTTCGGGAAGAGGGTTTCGTTCGTAGGCTGATCGAACGTCGTCACCGCATGTGCCTAGAGCGGAATGCTCCGCACTGTGCATTCACTGGTGCAAAGCATGTGACAAGAGGGAACTGACAGTACCGGCACAACTCTCCTCGTTCACATTCAATCAACTACATACAGGTACTGTTCGCATAAACAAATGGTATCGTGCGTGCTGCATGCTCACTCTCGTGCCCCCAACCCAACGCCATTCATGCTCGCCTTGCTTGGACATGTCAGAAAATGCTGGAGACATCGCTATCCTCACATCACCATATCATCATCGACCTGCCCCAATTGCGCGTCCATCGCCCGTTGATTCATCCTCTCCCAATCTGCATGACATCTGATTTGTTCATACATCCCATACTGATCTTCCATCGCCGTCCCAGGTTGTGCTTGCGCATAACTCGACTGCCATAATCCTGCCGCATAGACAGGGTCTGAATGCATCTGCTGGTATCCATTACTCATATACGGCTCTGCCTCGCCTTTTCCCAAGTATCCTCCTCCACTAGCGAAACTTGCTGCTCGAGGCTTGACGACTGCCGACACGGGACTGACAGGCTCGGACGAGTACATATCAAAACCGTATGCTTCCCTGGGGTTCACCCTTGCCTGCATCTGCTGCTCATACCTCGCTCGAGCGTCCACTTCTTCTTTTTCCACACTGGTCTGCTCGTGCTGTGCGTGGACATGCTGCTCGTGGGGGTAGCTAGGCGGTGCTATCCTCCACAGCTCGAGAAGTCGTAGTCTCTGCTCGTAGTCAGCGCCCGCAAAGAGCTCAATCTGGCTGGGAAGCAAGGAAGCGGGGTCGATGCTATTCTGAGTGAGCATCTCAGCCATCGCCTCGGGCATGATCGCCTCTCGATATGGCGGCGGGGGAGATTGAGCGGGCTCAGGCTGCGTATCTGCTGTAAGATGGGTAGAGTGTGTGTAGTGTGCGGAAGCAAAGGTGAGGGGTGCCTCGACTTTCTCAGGCATCATCTGCATCTGTTCCACGATCGCTCGAGCCTGTCCTTCATACTGTGGCTCAGCAATGACTTTCTGTTGCTGCTCGGTCGACAGGTTCGCGAAGAGCTGCGAGAGCTCATCATGCTGGTACTGGTTCATGGTGCCTTGACTTCTTCCTGCAATGTCTGCTCCCAGCGCCTTGGTCCCACACTACAGAAAGTCGCAGAAGTTAGTCAGGCTAGGGAGGAGGGGGGATGACGGCCTGTCTTTCGAAAAGGCCGCTTACGTGATTGCAAGTGTGTTCCTGGATCCAAACCAACACGGAGTTGTATTGAACAGGAGTGTTGTAGCCGCAAGTGTCGCAATAGTGGACAAGCACTGGCAACATCAGGTCTGCTGAAAAGGCTGTTAACAAGGCCCGGCTCCAACCCAATCCTACTCAGTCACGAGGTCCAAGAGGGCTTCAATCCAGTCCGAGTCCTTCAGAGGGATCCTTCAGAGGGGGAGCAAGCTATGTGCAAGATAGGAAAGCGTTACAGCAATGAGCAGCTCCTCTTACTCTCAGCGTTCGTGGTTGCTCTTCTCGTCGATACAACTCGTATAGCTTCTCGTCAAGAAGATCTTCCACGTCTGATGAGAGGTCCAGTCGCTGTCAATAGCAAGAAAAGCAAGAGTCTCGATGAGTCTTTCCCAAGGTTGTCACAAAGAGGGGCAGTGTGCTCTTTCTCCCGCCTTGCCGTCTCTTTCTCGGGAGGAAGTTCTTTCTTGGTGCAAGATCTTGTATTCAGTCGTAAGTTACGCTATCGATGCTACCTAGAAGTGAAGGGAGAACGAGAAAGGGAAGTGGGTGTGTGTCTGTGGAGTGTGGAAAGGAAGAAGGAGAAGAGGACGAGGAAGAAGTACGTGGTAAATGTGACCAATTTTAGTCGGCGTCATCTGGCGCTAGGGCGAACATCGATTGGCTCGGCGTTGGCAGTTGGGCATTAATTTCACTCTTTGTTTTTGACCGGACAGAGTACATGTAGTAGGCAGCGATTATACCTATGCAATTGTATGCCGAACAGAGCCGAGTCCGCAGGCAGCAAATGTAGCAGCTCTCGTGTCATCATCATCATCATCATCACTGGAGAGGTTCTTGTTGTGGTTACAGGCACGGGATGATGGTCATGTGAATCTCAGTGGTCAGTACGGAAGGCCATAGCAAGCACGAGACATAACTGTCGCGCTAGTACGGCAGGCGGACTCGTGAGGCAGCTACAGCTTCGCGTCTCGATTGCAGCTCAACTACATCCATCCATCCATCTGCCAACCTACCTAAGCCAGGCCAACCACCATCACGACCAACACCTTCTTCGTCACCAACTGCACCCCACTGGAAACTACCAGATACAATCGCTTCGGACTCCATAGTCATTCCCACCACTGCGACGCTCTCGCATCCTCCGTCTTGCCTTCATAAAGCGCAACCATGGTAAAAAGAAACACCCGACCCAACTCAGCCCATACCACTTCACAAGCAATAAACTGACTGCTTCTTTGTCCATAGACGTCGATAGGTACCGGATACGATCTTACCAACTCTGTCTTCTCGCCCGATGGACGCAACTTCCAGGTCGAGTACGCAGTCAAGGCAGTCGAGAATGGAGGTACAGCAGTGGGCATACGGTGCAAGGATGGTGTGGTGCTAGCTCTGGAGAAGCTCGTCTCCAGCAAGCTCATGAAGAAGGACGCAAACAGCCGGATAGCTACTGTCGACCGGAATATCGGTGTGGTGAGCTGATTCGCCTGTAGAACAAGGATAATCATGATACTGATGAGGACGTGAACTCTAGGTCCACTCTGGCCTTCTGCCTGATGGACGGCACTTCGTATCCCGCGCGCGCGACGAGGCCTCACAATGGCGCGGAACCTACAAGGCACCCATTCCAACCGCCTCTCTCGCATCCCGCATGGGCGCCTACGTGCAAGCATACACCCTCTACTCGTCTGTACGACCATTTGGTATCACGGCAATTGTGGGAGGTTGGGATGCCGAGACAGAGCTCGATGTTGATGGTGCAGTTGGCAGCGGACCGAGTGTCGGTGCAGGTGGCAAGGCCCAGGGTGTGAAGGAAGGTGGGCCGTTCCTCTACATGATTGAGCCCTCGGGGCTGTACTGGGGATACTACGGCGCTGCAACAGGCAAGGGACGACAGACGGCAAAGTCAGAGCTGGAGAAGTTGAAGCTGGATCCCAAGGACGGCGAGACGATCAGCCTGGAGCAGGGTGTCAAGGAGGCAGCCCGTATCATCTACGCTGCACACGAGGACAGCAAAGACAAGGAGTTTGAGCTCGAGTTGACTTGGATCAGCTCTGTCAATGGACCGACAAAGGGCAGACACGAGGCTGTACCAAAGGAGCTCAAGGAAGAGGCAGAGCGTCTTGCAAAGATTGCACTCGAAGGTGAGGACGAAGAAGAGGAGAAGATGGAGGAGTAGATTGATGTGATGGACTGTAAGATACAACAAGTGCATACGGTGAAGTCGCAAGCATAGAGCGGCGTATGAGTTCATGGACCATGATGGCCTAGGCGTAGAGACGCTTCTGAAAAGACGCATGGCATGTATCACGATCTCCATCTCCCATGACATTCTTCATTGTTTGCACATGTCATGTAATGTAACGGGCATGTTGCAATTGACTGCGATGCTGATTCAGCAGACTCCCGTCTCGGACATCCATGTTAAGATCAACCCGGGTCCAAGACATTTTTTTTCGCTGTGAAAGTTTTTAATTATTCTCGTTTTTTTCCCTTCTTCTAGAAGACTCCTATCTGACAATGACATGTTTGCTCTTTTTATTTCCGAACCTCGCGTCTGATTTGATTTTACCAACTAGGAGGTACCAATCGATCAATCTAATCAATCAATTATCCAAAGCTGCCGTGCTTTTGGAAGCTCGGGCCAGAGAGATTCAGAGATCAGAGAACTCACTTACTCACTCGCTTTCAAAAAGAAATGTCGGAGTGAATGATTGACTGATTGAATGATTGAGTGACTGACTCTCATTTATTCAAAATCGCCACCGCTGCCGCGCTCTTTTTCTTCTTCTTCTTCTTCTTCTTCTTCTTCTCTTAAATCGATGAGTGATGATACGATAATCAATAATCGATCCACCAAAATCGATAGATTTCCCGTACGTACAAATTTTCATTGAAATTTTTCGTTCTCAAACGCTCGCATGCAGAACTTGCTTCTATTGGTTTCAGTTTCGGGGATTCGGGATTCGAAGAAAAAATTGTAGGCACGCTGATTGTGATTGTGCAGGTACCTACAAGTAGGTAGGTAGGTAGGTAGGACCTTAGGGTAAGGGAGGGTTGTGCTATGGTACGGCTGTTTATTGGGTGTTGTTGTTGTTGTTGCTCTGATTCTTCTTGTCGAGTGGCACTTTGGTCTTCTTCTGATTTGGGAAATTCCCCCTCCTACTTTGCCGCCTGGGTTGGCCTGCTGTCTTCCTTCTTTTTTTGAGGTTTGAGAAGAAGAGCTACTGCTGCTGCTGCTGCTTCTGAGATATTCCACATCCCACATCGCATACCTAGGAGGCAGGACCGAGGCTGAAGAGATTCGCGAGTGGCGCTTGAGAGAGTTCGGGGGGTACTACATGTACTGTCCGAGTAGAGCTCGATGGGTAGATTTGATGTATGTGTGTGTGTTCGCCTTGTAATAAGCATAATGCATGTCGAAGATCAGGTAATGTATTTTCTGAACGACATGTGTTGCGAGGTTGGTTGGTCGGGCAGAAAGAAGTTTCTGGTTGAGGCTGTTGTGGGACTTTTTTTGCGGTGTTATGGGCCCGGATAGACCTGTACTGTTTCGATGTTGACGTTGATGCTGCAATTTTCCTGTTTTTTTTTGGTCGGATGACAGGACTGGGCTGGCTCCGGGGGGGTTCCTTAAGGAGGTATGCAAACCAGGCGCTTTTTTCCCGAACGTGCCACGAGTCTTTCCCTTTCCAAGAGCGGCGAAATTTAGTCTTTGCCACTCTCGCCCGGCGCGGCGGACGAGTATAGGTAAGGCAGCCTTAGATTCCATGCTACAGACACGGCCCATGCACGCTGCTGTCAGATACAGTGACAGGAGCGATCATTCTCCGCACGTTCACGCCAGCTGCGGACGTGATTTCGGCTTTGATAGCGATGAGTTGGATCTCTTCTCAGTAAGACTTCTGAAGGCCCCGGTTCGTTTAGCATGGGATTATCGAGATTCTCATCATCGTCAATAACAACATCGTCATCATCGTCATCGTCATCAGATGCCAGATTCATTTTTTCGAGAGCAGCTGCTCCACTGCCTTGTTGTTGTTGTTGTTGTTGTTGTTGTTGTTGTTGCTCTCCAGATCTCCGTCGTTTCACATCAGTCCGCAATTCATCTTCTCCGAAGACTGCCTCGTCGTCGTCGTAGTCGTCGTCGACACGACAATCATGCTGCCTTTCTCGCTTGAAACCGATGAGCTATTCCAATTTCCCCCATCATCAGCATATTGTTAGGGGTCTCACACCCTATTATTGCATCAAATATTCATACTTGCCTGGTACCCGAATGCTGCTGCTGCTGCTGCGGGTCATGATGATGATGATGATGGTGATTGGCCGTCGGTACCTGTAGCTCTTTGGTGGAAGTGATTTCTGAAGCGATTTTCACGACCCACGCTACGAGATCGTAGGTGAAGTCGACTACGGCAGCCGGATCTTGCGGACGCGTTGCCGGATCTGGTAGTTCGATTGTGCATCTTGCTGTTGTGTTGCCTAGAGGGAGCTCTATGGTTTTGATGTTGGGCATGATTTTTTTTCTTCAGATTCCAAACGGACGCGGGTTTTGGGGGACGGGGAGAGGAAGAAGCATACACGGCCGTGTGGAAAAGGTGAGTGAGGATGAAAAAGGTGGAATAGGTAATAATACAAGATGTTGTGTGGGTATTTTTTGTTTGGTTGTTTGAGGCTCTCTCTCACACACACAAATAATAATAATAATCAAATGGCCCCCGTATGGTACTGCACTGTAGGTTACTGTACAGTATACACTCATGAAAGGGGCAAATATCATAAAATACAGAAAAAGGCAGGAAAGTTGTTGATGATGATGATGATGATGATGAGAGGCTGGCTCTCTATGCAGCGAGGTGTCAAAACATGGGTATCCTTGAAATGACTAAGATAAATATATTTTGATAGAACAGTCTGGACCGGTCAAGGCCGGTGGTCTGACGAACAATCGAATCTCTTCCGTCCAACTCCTTCTGCCATATCACTCGTTGCTTCGTTTCGCCTCATCCCTTTTTGGAACCCATTTTCTTCTCTCTCTTTCTTTCCCTTTCTCTCTGTCTCTCTCTCTCTCTCTCTCTCTCTCTCTCTCTCTCTCTCTCTCTCTCTCTC